GCGAGGCTAAGAACCTTTTAATCAACCTAAGGGTAATGGATTCCATGAATTAGTCTTGAGGATCTGCGTTTATTTCAAATCAGTTTTGTTTCCCCTCCCAACTCAAATTGATATCGTGCGATCGTGGATATTCAATCTGAGGTTCGCGATTGCGATTATGGAAAGGGATTAATCATCAGATTTGATGATTAGGTTGATTGACCCTATGACCTTAAATCAAGCGGGCTGATACTCTGCGATTGTATGAGTAGAAGCATCGTCTTTGATCAAATGCTAAGCGATCGCTTAGAGAAGGTTGTCAATTGGAAATAAGGATTCTGATTCGATTGACAAATCAATCACGATTCTGATATCCTCTTATCCGAGGAAAGACGTCCATTGAACCCAAACCTTAGGTTGGTTATTTTTAATTACGAATTTTTGATGGCCCTGTCGAGGTTGTACTTGGCAAGCGAAGTTTGCACCTTCTTCATTGCCGGTACGAGGAACTTGGTTGTGTTGTTTGGGTCCACGAACACTACGTTGCCCACTGCTATGGCTTCGATTTGTGTGGCGGGGTAGTAGCCGTAGATGTTTGCTTGTACCCATGCGTCGGAGAATGACTGGTCGCCGGCGGCTGAGGAGAGGAGCTCGTTTGGCATGGCAACCACTACCTTTATACCTGAGTTTGCAAGCGCCATTAGCACCGTGGCGTCGGTGTTGTAGATCTTCACACGGTTGAGACCCTGTTCCTTGAGAAGCTCCACCGCTTTTGACCAGTGTTTAAAAACCCGGCTCGGCCATCGACCCGGCCGAGGTCAGGGGTCACGGGGTCACGGGTTCAACCGGGGGGTCACGGGGTCACTATGCTGACCCAATTTTATATATTAAAAAAATATAAATATATATATCCTATATGAAAATATTAAAAAGCAAATTACCAATCATTAAAGATTCAAAATATCCTTAACATAATTCACCAATTATAACCACAAGTCAATATTATACAACCTAATTAAAGTATCAAGATACCAAAGTACAAAACTCATATTCTAATGATACCAAATTTTCAAGATACCACAAGTCTAGGTCGTTTGGAGAGAAGAGAACGATTAGATTTAAGTTTGCAAGCATTTTTGTTTTTATTTTTTAATAAAACGACGTTGTTTCATGGAGTTTTCTTTATACAAAAAAAACATGCAGTGACCCCCTTTGACCCCTCTGACCCGGGAGTCACTGAAACTCGGCCGGTTTTGGGGGTCGGAGGGGTCGATGTGCATATAGGGTCCAACTTGTGACCCCAACCCTCAGAGGGGAGGGGTCAGGGTTGACCCGGGTCAACCCGGGGGGTGGGGTGGGGTTTTAAAACACTGCTTTTGACGGCGCAGGTAGGTTATCAGCCACCCTGCCGTAGTTTATTCCGACAGATGCTGCTCCTGCAAAAGACTATTGAAAAAGCCATGTAAATGAATCAACAGAGCCAATAATTCAAAAATAAAAAAAAAATACTACGTTTTTAAGAGAGAGAAAGAATGAGAGACGCGTTTACCTGATGATGATGAAGCATAGAGTGAGATGAGGATGAAGGAAAAGGAGAATGCAAGAGAAGCCATGCTCCGGTTCGAGAAAAGCAAAGCATGCAAAACAGATAAAGAAAAAGTTGCAGTTATTTTGATTATGATGAGAAAGTGAGTAAATTTTATACAGTGTATCGCAATTCATATCTAGTATGGTTTTATCGATTTTTTTGTATCTGTCGTGAATCGGATCATATCTTAATACACAGAGGTATAATAAACAAAAATTAAATTTTTTTTAAATTACTTCCTTTATTAATAGAGATTTTTCATATTGATTTTTAAATTTAAATCATAAATCAAATCTTTATTTTCTTTTCCATATTAATAATAATATTTTGGATTATTATTTTAATTTAAATCATAAATTAAATCTTTATTTAATTTTTTACATTAAAAATTAAAAATTTTGATTTAATTTTTATATTGTATCATATTGTATGATACAGTATCATATCGTACGATATAAATTCATTTTTAATACACCTTACGATATGTATATTTGTGCTTGTGAATTGTACCGTACAAATCATATCGTGTATCATATTTGTTATGGACTTATATAAGGTCCATATATCCAAAACCCTAGTAAGAGGCATTCATGTGGCAGTAGGGGTGTTCGCGGTCTGGATTGGATCGGTTTTGGAAGCAGAAATTATCCGATCAAATCCCTTCAGTTTGAACTTTTTTCAAATCTGATCCGATCCAATCCAATCCATTTGTTTTGTTTGAATTGGATCAGTTTTTGATTTTTTGAAAAGTCTAAAATTTATTTCATGATTATTGTGCAAATAACATATTTTTTGTATATATTAGCTTTGTAATTTTTTTTTTTAAATACAGAAGTATCAGTGAACGATAATATAGTTTTTTTTTTTTGGACAATGAGATATGAAGCACCACACATATGAAATTTTGCTGATGGGATATAGCTGGGTTTTTTTTGGGTTTAGTTGACGTGTTAATGGATTTTGGGTTTAGAAATTTTTGGGCTATAATTGAGGAAAGGCCTAAGTAGGTAGATGAGAATTAATATATTGGATTGGTTTGTATTGGATCAGTTTTTATCAATCAATCCGAAAACCGATCCAATCCAATTAAAATTTGTTGTTATTTTTTCGGTTTTCAGTTTTTTGATTTTCGGTTTTTTGTTTCGGTCACCATAGTTTGAACCGGTTTGGATTGATTGATGAACATCCCTACGTGACAGCTATACAATGGCACAATTGGTCTTATGTACGACAAGGCTCAAAACTCTTATGCTTACAAGTGAATTCTAAAATGAGATAAAACCTACAAGACCTAATTTTTCTCTTGCTATTACGTTATCACTGTGCACACATCATCCCTTCTGAATACCATTACAATTGTGTCCAGTGATTTGCTACCTCAAACTATCTATTTTATAGAAGATCATAATATACCAAAATATCCCAAATAATATTTTTATTCCTAATACAACTCAACCTACTGCTACTAATTTATCATAACTTTTGCCTATTTTTTCTCTTTTTCAAAATAGTCTCTCAAATATTTAGCTCGTAATCATTTTCTTAAAATAGAAATTGGGGTTTGCATTTGTCATTTAACATGACATAACAAATTTTTCTACACACACAACATTTTGTTAGGCCCACACTTTTTGAAGAAAAAAGAAAAAAAGAAAATTACGGCACGCAAAACGAATCTTTATAACATTACACAATCAGTTTTCCTACAACATAACTCTTATAAAACCCATAGAAATTAGGGTTTTGCTTTTCTTATGTTGTAGGATTGTAGGAGAGAAAAAAAATAGAGAGAAGTTAAATGTGGGTCCCATATTGTATATTAAAAAAGAAAAGAAAAATTATTTGGCACGGAAAACGAATTTGTGTAGGAAAATGAGAGTATCTTATGTGGCATGAGAGTATTATTTCCCTAGAAATTATATGATAAGGTATTACGCCAATTTTTTTTCATAAAAACAAAGAAGATGTTATAAGATTATGTGCAACTGGGCCCGAGGCCCGTCAATATGTTCAGATTCAGACCGTATTGAATAAATGGATCGAACAGTATGGTAGGATAATTTAGAATATTGGGTTTCGTTGATCCAAGAAAGAATTAAAACGAATGTTGGTTTTCCACTAACAAAGGAAAATTGGGGCAAAAGAAGCCCACATATAAGAAGGGTTTTTTTGCTGGAAGACCCTAATAACTGTTTTTTCAATTTTGAGACAAGACTATTTGTTTCATTATGAGATGATAAAAGGCTGACAAATATAAGTTTGGGTTGAGCTTCCGAACTAAAAATTAAGGGAAAATCCAGAGGTTTCAGGATGGAGAGACGAAAGTGGACAGCCACAGAGAGACAAGACTCTTCTATTTGTCTATAAAATAGATAAATAAGGATGTTAATTTTATTGGAATAAGATCATCATATACTTTAAATTTAATTAAGGGTGGGTATATCATTATATATGAAATTTGTGCACAAACTCATCAAATGATTTTTTTTTTTTGATAAAAAAGAGAGGCAAACCACCCTAAAGGATTAAATGTAATAGCAAATGAGCCCTAGAAAAGTAAATGTATATATTTAATCCCACTTTAAAGGTTGGTGGTTCAGCCTGATCTTATATGGGGCATGCCTTCCCTAATATAAACTTTTGCTTACTAGAAAAAAAAAAAGTTAAACGGGGAATAGGAGGTGAAAGGGGACAGGTAATCTGTCAAGCCTCAATTGGATTTGCATTTTACTTGCAATGAAAGGAAAAAAGAATGTGAGTTGATAGTGATAGGAGAATTATAAATAATTTCAAATTTAATCAATTTTCTTCTTCAGGTATATATATAGAGAGAGAGGCTTAGACTCGTACAGACTACCTAATTCTCTCATTCGGATTTTAATGGCTTGAACTAATTCTTTCTAAAATAGAATAGCTTATGTAAAGAAAGTATTCAAGCTCGAGGAAGTATATGATGAAATCTTTTGTCTTTTGATCGTTCTAGTTTTCGAAATTGACAACATAATGGTTGATATGCCCCAAGTGGGCCTTTGAATAATTTTAAATATCATTTCAGTAAAAATATGCTCTTTCAAATACAACCTATCATCTTCTTTCGTGACTAGTTTATATATATAGATATTAATGTTCAAGATTGGAGGAGGGCCTGATTTATAATAGAGTCAACAGTTAGCCCTCGTTCTATGTACTGTATATAGTCTAAGAAAGTTTATATGATATTACTAATTTAAATAAATAGAAGCCATGAGAGAATGATAGCGCCTTACATTCCAAAGTATGCTTGCGTGTTTTGCGACATTATTTTGCAAAAAAACAAGATGTAAATATTTTGCAAAAGAATAGAAAAAGTGGAGCCTTCAATAAAACGTAAAGAAGGAACAAAAGCTCTTAAAGAAATATATCTATATATTTCATTAAAAAATAAATAGGGATAATTACAAACAAATTAGTCAAAAGAAACCGATAATCCTCCGAACTACTCATGAATATTTATTATAAATACTAAGAAACAATAACAATGCTAGTCTAAGTAACCGAGGAAAATAAAAGAAAAAATCGGCAAAACGGCCCCACCGAATCCAAAGCAAATCGAAATCTAAGCTTCACCAAACCCACTTGATCTCTGACCCATTCAGTACCCTGTGGGGAATTTGCAGTTCCCATACTCTGCAACACAGATTCATAAAACACGGTTTCAAAACAAATAAAACTCCCAAATCGCAAATAACGCTAGCGTTTATACTAAGATATTGACAAAAGAACTGTTACATTTTATCAAATTATAGTGCCGATCGACCAATCAATAAGCAAAAAGGGACTTGATAGATATGATATTGTAATGTGAAAAAAAAATCTCAATTATTAATTTACAGATCAACTATCACAATTTATCGATGACGGTATATATCAATCGATTTATGAATGAATGCATCAGCCGAAAATAAATAAATAAATAAAACATAGAAGAGATATTACAATAAGATGAGTTTAATGACACATACTAGGAGGCTGAGTGACGACATAAGCAGCACCACCAAAATCGCACGTGCCTGTGGCACGTGATTTCTTCTGATAGTAACTGTTGAAAGCATACGAAGCATGCGCCTCCAAGTTGTTAGGATTGTAACACGTGGAATCTGGCTGAATGGGAGTGCAATCAGCCCCACCCTCCCCACAAGCATAGTCAAGTGCAGCCTGCAGCTTCTCCGCCGTAGCATCGCCGTTAGCCACGCACCACGTCTGCCCATGATACGACGTCGGGGACACGTCTCCACTCGCCGGAGCCGGAACCTGACTCTTCCCGACGCTGGACGACGGCGCCTGATTAAGCTCCTCCACCGTGAGCGGAATATCATAAACCTTCTGTTCACTGGGATAGAAAAGGCCATAGTTTCTCTCCGATGTGGGTCCAGGTTTCTGATTCTCATTGAAAAGCGCGAACAAGAAAACGTTGAGTGGGTCCTTTGGCCTCAAGGGGGTGCCATTCCCAGTCAACACGTGCCGAACTAAGTTTCCGTTATACGACGCCGCATTGTCCTGTCCTGCACCAACCTCGTTCGAATCCCCTTTGGAGGGCCAACCGGTTTCTGAGACAGTGATCTTAACGTCGTCGTATTGGAGTGCTGACATGGCAGCAAAAACGGCGTCGATTTGAGCGTCTAAGAGGTTGGTATATCGCAACCCGTTACCCGAATCCACGACGCCCGGGTTTTCCTTAAAGAGCGCGTAGTCGATGGAGATCTTATCGGCGTTTGCAGCGTACGCGAAGAAAGGGTACGCGTTCACCATGAGGTACGAACCGGTCTGGCGCAGGAAATCCAGCATGGGTTTAATAACCGGTTCGACCAGTTCAGACTTGAACGAACCGGATGACGTCGGGTACGAGGATTGTAAAGCGGAGAGTGCGATCGGTGACGAGATTTTGATGGCGCTGTCGAGGTTGTACTTGGCAAGCGAAGCGTGCACGTTCTTCATTGCCGGTACGAGGAACTTGGTCGTGTTCTTTGGGTCCACGAACACTTCGTTGCCCACTGCTATGGCTTCGATTTGTGTGGCGGGGTAGTAGCCGGAGATATTTGCTTTTACCCATGCGTCAGTGAAGGACTGGTCGCCAGCGGCTGAGGAGAGTAGCTCGTTCGGCATGGCAACCACTACCTTGATGCCTGAGTTTGCAAGCGCGGTTAGCACCCTGGCGTCGGTGTCGTAGAGCTTCACACGGTTGAGCCCCTGTGCCTTGAGAAGCTCCACCACCTTTGACGGCGTAGGTAGGTCATTGGCCACCATGCCGTAGTTTATTCCGACAGATCCCGTTCCTGCAAAGGGCCATTGGAAAAGCCATGCAAATGAATCAACAGAGCCATTAATTCAGAATAAAAAAAAAATACAGGATTTTTAAGAGAGAGAAAGAATGAGACATGTTTACCTGAGGTTGAAGAAGCATAGAGTGAGATTAGGACGAAGAAAAAGGAGAATGCAAGAGAAGCCATGCTCTGTTTCGGAGGTAGCAGAGCATGCAAAACTGATAAAGAAAAAAGTTGCAGTTACTTTGATTATGACGAGAAAGAGTGAAAATTTTATAGACAGTGACTGGGGAGTGGGGACTTGGTGGTGGGCCAGGCCAGGGTTGAGAAAGAGCTTTCGCTTTACGCAATAATGGGACCCATGTTGGAGACCCACTAGTGCACCATTTCATAAACCGCTAGTGTTAGGTTAGAAAATATCACCATATAACACTCTTTTCGATTATGTATCTAGGTTGTATTGAATTGAAAATTTAATAGATTATTTTTGGATAAATTTTTTTATTGATATTTAATTAAGATTTTAAAAAATTAAAGGTATTTTATTATAATTTTAAACAAAAGAACTTTTTTATGATATTTAAAATCTAATAATTTTAATAAATTTTCTATTACTATTAATTTTGTGTTATTCTTTAACGAGAAATATAAAATAACTTGCCTTTTTTCGGTTTCACAGTAATTTTAAGATTTTTTGAGATTTTTTTTATTGTATATTAATATCACAACCTACTCTAGGCCCTCCGTGTTGATCGTACACGTGGAGCGTCTGCTTCGGGACCGTGTAATCGAGAGAGACGTGTCACTGTTATAACGGGAGGATGATGGGTAAGTGGGGGTACCTGTTTCTAATCTTTCTTGGCTTAACAATGAAACAATGATGATTGTGTAGAACCAAGTAGGCCAACTTATCAATAATGTTTTCCCAAATATGAACGTCTTTTTATTTCGAAAATGCCAAATATGAACGTTGGACTTTGCCGGGCATGCTTGATTTGATGTGCTTGGCTTTGTTTCTTCTGCGTTTGAAAATATAAATAAATAACGGATGACAATTAATGCTGGACTATGTATAATCATTCTTGACAATGAATTGTAGCCAGCTGTTATTTTAACCAATGACATTTTCGTTTGCTATAGTTACCCAATGAGATTAACTTTTGGCTTTCATTCATATATTGCTGTAGATTCCATGTCAGGATTAGTTTGGTGGCGTTAGCTCAATCAAATGTTTGTTCAACAAAAAATTTATTAAGCGTTTCGTAGATGAGAATTTTTTTTATCCGGAAATCTTCATTTTCAGAAATATGATGAAAATATTCAGTTTATAAAAATATTCAAAAATTAAAAATTTAGAAAAATTTAGTTTTCCGAAAACCCTGAAAAATACCTTATATCAAACGCCCCCTAAAAATTTATCGCGGCATATACATAAAGAAATTAATATTTATCATGCAATTAATATTTATCATGAAATTAAAAAAATTAATTGTATTTATCTATTTTTGTGTATATACAAGAAATAAAATTATTTATAGTTCGATCTCCTTCCATTTATTGCTAAAAGTTTTCTAATTCCTTTTTTCTTTTACCAGAAAATATATAGGTAAAACCGTGTATTAGAAGTTTGTCATGTTACTCGAAGTCCTTCAGCTATAAGTAAACATGCGTTCTTTGTTTTAAAAAGAAGAGTTCCATGTATTAAAAAAAAAAAAAAAAAAAAAGAGAAGAGTTCCCCTCACGAAAATATCTGGACCTAGATCGCCATTTGTTTAATATATAGCTAAAATTTAACTTCTAACATTAGGTAATCTAGTTTTTCTTTTCAAATATGTTTTCATGACTATCCTAAAATATATAATGTATATAACCATGTAACAATGTTTTAAGATATTTGAGTTAATTACTTAATTAGAGTTGAAATTTTCCAAGCTTCGTATTTTGAACTTGAATAGGGTACGTTACGTACACTTTAGGAATGCGATATCTAACTTAATTCGAATTTCCTGTTGCAAATTAGGAAGAAGAAAAAATGTTGTCAATATGCAACTATATATGGTATCTTCTTTGATAACTAGTGTTCATTTACAATTCTTAAAAAAGGCCAATTCAATCATATTGGTTTTCCCCTACTATCGTGCAATATTATCCCAAAATAATAATCAATCATTAAACAAGGAAAAGAATTCAAGTACGTATCCTTAATCAATAAAATGAAATGCACCTCAATCTGAAACCAAAGGAAGGCGCAAGACTTGTTCATTTCAAGCCCATGAGTAGTTAGTGATGGAGACATGAGAGAGAAGAAATGCAACAAGATCGAACAGTAATCAGAATCCTCGTTTGAAAATCAGAGAGATTGCTGCCGAAAATGTTGGCATTTTCCATAGTGGACTAGAAACGTGCGGTGGCTGGATGCATGGATATCCATATTCTTTTGCATTCTCATCCATCACACATAATTAAGAAATTGATATGGCCACAACTTCGAAGTGACAATGACTCTGTCCAGCCAAACTTCCAAACTTCCTAAAAGACACTTCTATCTCCCATCATGTGCTAATTCCTCCTTCTTTTCCCCACTAATTCGTTTAGATGCAAAGCAATACATAAAGGACTTCGACACGTTTTCATATTTTTTTACGCGCAAAATTAAAAAAAAAATGTATCCTATTTACGCGGAAAATATATATTAGGATTTACTGCTTCCAAATAGTATACTGCCATTTCAATTAATTAGTTGTGATAACTGATAACACATCATTAAATCAAATGACAATATAATACGTATTTGAAGTTTGATGGCATTTAATTTGCGACTCTATGAAAAAAGAAATTGAATAAAATTTGAAGTTGGCGCTTTCATTATTTTTTTGACATATCTATTTGGTATTTGAATGATAAGTTATATTAAATTAGCTCTAAAATGGTGACTCTTGGTTATAGGATAATATCAATTTAGTTTACCCATAATAGCATTTAAAAAATATCATTTGAAGATTAAATTAATGTAATAATAATTTGCAAGTCAAAGTCATATTTTCAAATATTTAAAATGCTAAAATGGAAGTTAATTCCAATGGAATATCTGATTCCATCATTGTAAGAGTGAAACACTATATATATAACTAAAACTGATCAAGTTGGTCCTTTAAAAAAAATATTGTTTAATCATTTGTTGGTTTATCCTCAAGACCATATTTTAAGAGAAAAAGACAACATTATGGTTTAACATTATTTGCAGTCGACATAATCGTGTATGATTGTTACACACTATATCCCAAAAATAAAATAAAAAATAACACGCATAATAATTCATAAATTATTTTATATTTATTCAATTTTATTATTTAAATTGCAATTGGACCGATTATTCTGCCATATATGCATGTGTAAGAGAAAATTAAAAGTGACGATCAATTCGGATTTTTGAATCAGAAATTTAATAGCCCGCACATAAGTCGGTGAAGTGGACCATTCTTCTATGCCACACAAAGTGATGAAAGATAACTCCTTAAGGAAACCAACAAGCTTTGCCACTATCCATGCAATCAAATGCATTGGGGGACCTTTTCCCAATTTAAAATACTTGCGGATGAAGATAGTCATTGATGAATTCTATGTATGAAACGCCACTTTGACTTGTTTTCTAGCCTGTCTATTTCCTCTAATATAAATCTCAGCAGAAAGAAAATAATAATGCTTGCCAATGGTTTTGTGGTTGAATTAATTACATGAGGTGGTTGGAGGACATTTTCTTCTTTGATGGGGTTCAACTCCCAACACCAATATAAGGCTTAGCTATGCGAAAATGCAAATAATGGAGATCTCTATGTAAGTCGGCAAAGTTCTGTTCACCAAAGACGTACTCCAAAGGGATTTTTTTACAGAAAGTTGTGCTCGAGTGTTTTCTCAAGGAAGAATTACAGAAATTTTTGTAATAAGTTATTTGTATTTTTACTCTTAAAACGAAATTATTTTGGGATTAAAAAAATTAAAATAATATAATTATAAAGACTATAATAACTCTGAAATAAATTAAAATTATAAAAACACCACAATTTTCTTCTCAAAATGATGTCGTATTGGACTTACTGCAGATGATTTATCTATCGTAACTGCAGAAAAAGCAAACATTTAATTTATTCTGCTCGCAGTGAAACATATAATTTTATAAGTCAAAATCTTTAATTATTTTTTTCTTTTATTTTACACCTATTTGATTAATTTAAACTTTTACTTAAATACAAAAAATATTTGTAATATTTTGTAATATTTTTATATTTTATTATTAATTAAAATTTTATACTTATCTCACCAATTAATTATTGAAAAAATATTGATGATGATTATAAAAAGATATCAGTAGATTAATAAACAATAGAGTTAAGACATTTCTACACTCAAGCTCTGTGTAGCATTACACAAACTAAAAAATGGCAGTTGGTTTTTGCTTTCTTAGATCCTTAAGACTCATTCAGAGCCTTGGGGACTATGTACAGTTAAATATTATATAATTGCGTTTGGTACACTTTGCTGTTCAAGCTACCGCGTTTTGTGTTTAGGGTGATAAGTGTTATAAATAAAATTAAAGCTTTTGCAACTCTTTTAAGTTTTTAAAAGGGTTAATCATTAATACGGTATTAAAGTTTTTATAAGAGTTTATATAAATCTTCAACTAACACTTAAGATTTTAGGTGAATTCGTACCTAAAAATAAGCATAGATGGCCAATTTCAGCTTTATTATTTCGCCGCTAAGAGTTTGATGGTACTTGTGGTGGAAGATCGCTGTACATTTTTGTGGTTGGTTTATTTGGTCACCTAGCTAGTTTGCTGGAGTTTGTTTGGCGAATTGTAGGGTAAGGATATTTTTTTGGCAACATAGACTTAAATGGCTAAGTCTATCTCTAAAAATATATGGCTCATGACTAAATGGAAGAGGTTTTTTCTCTAACCATTTGAGAACAAAGCATCTTATTACAGAGATAAGGACAAGGAGGTCTCTCCTGATCGATTGGGTGGAAATGGTCCATTCCTATGTCATAACGTGACATATTCTTATATTTCACATTTATCCTTGTTTCATATTTTTTATTTACATTGCATTAAGTTACAGCTCTACCTGTAATTGTAAATCTCTTGTTCAAGTAGAACATAAACTATAAAACTTGTTTTTTTTTTTTATAAATATAAAACTCTTGTTTAAGTTGTGAGATATGATTACAAGAAGCGAAAAAATATGCGATAAGTTATGTGTACAGTGTACTAATAATTTTCTACCTAAAACCAAAAAGTTAATGTGAAAAGAATGAACTCCCAAAAACAAATTATTACAATGTGATAAACTAAAGGCGCAAACATTTACTAAAAAAAAAAAGTAAACACAAACTCATAAATATACTGACTTTCCAGTTTTAAATCCTATCATGATGAGATTAGTTCTATTAAATGAGATTATTTGCATTTAAAATAATTTAAACCCAAAATTTTTACTTAAATGGAATCAAGTATGTACCACTTGAATCAATCTCTTTGAGTTAATAATCGTATTCCCTCCCCCCTAAATCCTATCATGGTGAGACTAGTTCTATTAAATGAGATTATTTGCATTTAAAATGATTTAAACCCAAAATTTTTACTTAAATGGAATCAAGTATATACCACTTGAATCAATCTTTTTGAGTTAATAATCGTATTCCCCCCCTCCCCCAAATCCTATCATGGTGAGACTAGTTCTATTAAATGAGATTATTTGCATTTAAAATGATTTAAACCCAAAATTTTTACTTAAATGGAATCAAGTATATACCACTTGAATCAATCTCTTTGAGTTAATAATTGTATTCCCCCTCCAAAAAAAAAAAATGATTTGAAGCTTCCAACAAGATTGTTTGAAATCACTTGTACAATGTGAAATTCGGGCCATCCAAATCCCCATTTTTCATATTTTCAATTGTGCTCCTTATGATTCCTTTGGATGATTTTTTTTTTTCAAAAACTATTTTTTTTCAAAGAAAAAAGTACTTATTAAAAAAAGTCTGTTTTTAAAAAAAGTAGAAGTCATGAAAAAAAACTAAAAATCTATTTTTTTTTAAAACTAAAAATCTTATCTTCTAAAAATAGCAGAAGTTAAAAATAAAAATAAAATCAATTTTTTTTTTTAATTTAAGTAATTTTAATTTTTATAAAAAATATTTTAAAAATAAGCATGATATAAAAAAACACTTTTTCTGGAAGTCATTACAATTAATTAGGCCCTTGCTCCTTAGAGTGAGAGCTGGCTCATATTTTTTTTCAATTGGGCCTTTACAAATAGAATCCTAAATAGTTGAATTGGCCCAATCAAAGCATACACATACACAAGAAACACAGATTTTCATCCGTCCGATCCATGTGTACCAGTAAAATCCGAGCCGTCGATTTTCATTGCTTTCTATCGTAACGGTAGATGAAGAAACGTTGTTTTGTCGGAGAGTTCGTTTGAATCGTCGGGGGTGGTGAACGAGGAAGATCACGGGGGTGCATACATCAACCTGAAGGTCAAGTGACAGGTTTGTCCTTTGTCTTCATCCTCAATTTTTCACTCCAGCTGCTACTTTTGTAGAATATTAGATCAATTTTTTTGTAGGTTTCCTGAAATGTTATTGTAGAATTTCATCTTACACGTGGTGTTGAAGTATTGTTTTTAAGTTTTGTGTTTCATGTCCATTATACAAGTTCAAATAAGTCGATGGCTTTCGATCGGTGTTTGTACTCCCTCCGTTATTTTTTATCTATATATTTAGATAATACTTTTTTTCCTTTCTTTTTCTCTGTCTTTTAGAAAATTAACTAAGCGTGAATTATTATTTTTTTTTAAATTTTCCAGTATTATTGATAAGTCAAAGAGAAGATTAAAGGCTTTTTGACTATTGTGCCTCTGATTAAATTAAAAATCATCACTCTGCCCGTTTTAAAACTATTTAAAAAATTTGACATTTTTCCTATATATAACACACCGTTGATTGTATAATGTAATCAATTACATGGTCCTTGTAATTGATTATTTTACGCATAGATTACAAGGCTCATGTAATCAATTACATCATTTCCAGAAACCCTATATCAATGGGTTTAGGTCTCATTTTATCTAAACCCATTTTTACCCTAAAATCTCACTTGTTTCTCATCTCTATTCCAACTCATCTAAATGACTTTCATCCTACCATCTCTAAACCCTTAACTTTGTGAAATCATTGTCATTACACTTACGTATTTCAATTTATTTATTTTTTGTAGAAATCTGAACACAAACCAAACCTTAATCCCAATTTTGTGTGAAAGATGAGCTCAAGTTCAAATACTTATATTGCACTTATCTACCACAATGAGAGGCAATTTGAAGGTTCCAATGGTGCCCAATTTGAAGGAAAAACGAAAACGATGCAAATCAAACGCGGTACTACATACAATGAACTCAAACGCGATACTCCTGAAAATACTCAAAGCAGACTGATATTTTGACCTCGTAGTTCGTTACTAGTAGTGTGAACTACGTAGCCATCAGAAACGTGTCACGTCAGCAAACGAAGTTTGCTACCTACTATAGCGAACTTATACGCGTGGCACTTTGAGAAATTTTACTGTTCGCATGGGAGTTGGGCAATATTTTTTTTAAAAGGTGGCAAATGAATCACTGTTCCCATAAATCAACTATTTAAGATATTAGATGAAGATACATGGTTTATATTACATGTCTAACAACTAAATTTATAAGCGTGTTCCAGTTTCAACGAGGTGTATTTAACCCTCTTCAGTGGATTTGTTTACTTCTTTTCCCTGGCTGCTTTTTTCATTTTTAACAGTTTAGATGCTCATCCTCTATTTACATATGGATTATGTGTTATGTATTCATGACCATATTGAATCTCTAATTCAGATAGGCAGCGACTGGATATAATTGTTTACTTGGGCATTTCACACTTTTTGTGCTATACAGGTGTCTCAGATCTGAACCTAGATTTTAGGAATGTAGTTTTTTTGTTTATTTTGGCTAAGAAAATAAAACAGAAAGGGGTAAGGTGTGTATACAGATTTGTGTTTGAGGTTCCACAAACCATCAAATCCTACCAAGAATGACAATTCCTCAGGTAGAGAATGGACACTAAGATGTTTTTCTACTTTTTAACGTATGAATCCTTTTCTTCAAACTCCACTAATGATTTCCTTGTCTTAAATTACATATTAGTTTTGTTTACCTTTTCTTTTTTGTCAAAATTGGGCTTGACTTTCGATAAATGTCTTAAAAAGTAAAAACTGAACCAGAGATTGAACTGGCGAGACCTTTGGAGCATATTTAACTGGTTAAATTAGTGATTCAACTATGATTGAAGTTAATAACTTAATAATGGGTAATCGAACCAGAGACATAGCCGATTTATTGTCCGGTCCGTCGAACTGGCTGCTACAATTCATTTTTTAAAGGAAAAACTTCAACAAAAAAAAAAAACCTTTTAAGTTTTCCCAGAATTACTTACTCCTTTCTCGAAATTTTGAATCATTTACACCGATAACTGGGATAAGTGATAAAGAAATTTTAAGTTAGAAAATTTTAAATTAGAGAGTAAGTGATAAAGAAATTTTGGGGAGGGGATAATCATAAAAGAAATTTATTGGTTTTTTTTTTTAAGTTTTCCCTTTTTTAAAACAAGGCTTCAGATGAGTGGCCATTTTGATAACATCGGTAAAGGTCATATTGTTTAAAGATAAGATGAACATGATACTCCTCCATTCAGGATTTTTGTTCATTATTAGGAGGCCATTAAAATTGTTTTTGCTTAATTCATCACAAAGGGAAGTCAAAGTCAAATACCTTAAATTTTGAAATGGTTATACTTTGTCAACATAGGCTTGGTCGATTGAACCTTAAATGTGATAGCATTAAAAAATTGGAGACTTGAAATATACGTGAGAATAAATATGCTAATTTGGGCTTTGATGTTGTAGGATGGGAATGAAGTTTTTGGTGGGATATTCAAGTATGATGAGTCCCACATTGGTTGGTAATGGGTTAAGTGAAGAGTATATAAGTGGAAGGGACCCATGAACCCAATGCCTTAAGGTTTTGGGTTGAGACATGGTGTCGGATCAACTTGCTACGGTTGGTGTAGCCTTAACTCATTGGTGGTGGTCCCTCACCACGGGCTTCCCTCTAGACCCGCCTGACATTGGTATTAGAGCCGGGTTAGGCTCGAGCTAGCCTGGTGATGAGTTTCACACTTGAGGGGGAGATTGTTGGGATATTCAAGTGTGATGAGTCCCACATTGATTGGTAATGGGTTAAGTGAAGAGTATATAAGTGGAAGGGACCCATGAACCCAATGCCTTAAGATTTTGGGTTGAGACATGGTGTCGGATCAACTTGCTACGGTTGGTGTAGCCTTAGCTCATTGGTGGTGGTCCTCCGCCACGGGCTTCCGTCTAGACCCGTCTGACAGTTTTCTTCATGATGAAAAGCAGCACTCGACTTAAAAAGCTTATGAATGCTTTCTGTGACCAACAGTCAGTGGATTTTAACTCCATTATTTTTCTGTTTGATGGTTGTTACCTCTGAGGGGAGCAGACTCTAGATGAAGTTTGTATTTGCCATTGTCTGTCCATGGTTCATGTGAATACTGTTTAGATTCTATATTTGTTGACTTTATACATGGCTTCTGAGTCAAATATTTTGCTGCAGCTCGAAATGGAGGATGGGGATGTAATAATGCTTCATCAGACATGAGTTGCTGTTGCCTGAAGGATGTGATCATCGTTTACCCTGCATCATAAGTAGAATTAGTTTAACAAGAGGTGAGGCCCAAGATGCATCTGCTATCAGCTACTATACAGACATTGGTGCTAAGCTTTGTATGCTTAGCGGATGACATTTTATGCGTCCTTGCTTTTACATATTTTAATGCAACGAGGCTGTTTTCCAAGCTCAAACACACGTAATCTTCTTATCATAGCGGAGTAATCTTACCCCGGCTCCAAGACTCGTCCTCTTCTACAACCATATGAGCGAGTGAATTATCCTTTCAACTTGAAATCTTATAACCTGCATTTGGGAACTTAATTTCCAATCTTCCTCTATCTCAGCATGTAATCTATGATATGTGTCTTATTGTTTATTTAAGCCGGTTCCATAAGAACGTGGTCTCTCTGGAGCATGTCTTGGATACCAAGCTTTTGTCGTTAAGGCATGAAGTGAATGAACCCATATGCATATGTAAATGACTGAATGAGCATGTTGATCCTTTTTTTTTTATGGTAAATAGAAAGCGTGATATAATAACATTCCGTTTTTGTATTCCAGAGAAGCACCGACGAATTAGCTTGATATATGCTATGTGGGGATCTCTTCCTTCTCCCTTTATCCTTCCTTAATTCTTGGAAGGCTGGTCCAATTTGGTTCATGGTGCTATGTTATGGTAAGAGTTTAGTGGACTAACGAATTGCCATTATTGTACTGTCCCTTCTCAGTTGTAAAAGTGAAAGTTTAATTCTTCGTTAGACAGTGATTACCATTGTGACTTTCTTGAATATCAATCATGTTTTAACTTTTAAGTTGTGAAATTCATACTAAGAATGCACCAATATCCATACAGGGTGTTGTACCGATGAGATCTATAAGCCCACTATGTTCCCGAAGGGGATGAGTCAATGTATGGATAATACCCTTAGCACTGATACAGACCAGGCTAAGAAGTATAAAGCCAAGCGTAAGCAGTGAATAGATAATAAGCAAATGGATGATATGACTCAAGTAAATGGGTAATATAACGATACATAAGATACCTGTAAGGTGTGCCCATGGGGGCTATTTATAGGGGAAATGATGTGGGTTGGTGAGGGGGAGGTCAACTCTCCTTGGGATTTACTCCCATGATGCAGTGTTAGGCGTGCTGGCGCTGTCATTGTGGCAGTGTTGCGCCCTCTGTATTCTAGCGGTGTCAGCACCGGGCAAAGGGGGAGTTTCCCTTTGCGGTGTCTGTCGTAGTCGCCTTCGATGGTTAGCGTTCGAAGAAGGGACATTTTGGTGTATGCCTTGGACCTGCTGCTACGTTGGGGGTTGAGGAGGTCCATGTCAGCCCTTAGGGCTGACGCGAGGTCACGCCCGGTATTGGGCCTGGATAGTTGGGCCACTTTAGTACTTGGGCCATCCGGAACAGGTGTATTGTTTCTCCTGAGCTATTTTTTTTTTCAAATGACCTCAAATTGATGTTATTTTAAGGTTGGTGAAATTGTTTTTGTAACTTTAATTTTAGGATTATATTAATTTTTATCATGATAAATTTTTTCCCTCAATTCCAAAACGACAATTGAAAGAATAATTTAGTTGAACAATTAGGCAGAATTTTTCTTTCTTTCAATATTCACTTTTGTTTAACAAAACAAATTTAATTCACCTAAAACTCTGCATTTTACTAAAACTAATATTCTTAGTATGATCATTTTTTGGGTAGTTGTACGAAGATGAATCTCTTATATTGTCAGACAAAGACTCGTCAAAGTTCAGTGTTGAGAGTATATTTTAATGAGTACAATGCGAGGTTGACAATTATCAATAAAAAAAATTAGACCTTGGCTAAATACAAACGTTTAAGTAGCAAATGGAAACTGTAAAATTTAGTATCTTAACTTTTTATTGACAATTATCAATTTTACTTGAATCTTTTGATTCTTGAAGTGGTTTAGAATTATTTATGTTTTTGTGATTTTTTTATTATATATGTTCCTGTGATTTGCAAAAGGATATATATTTTTTTATCATATATGTCCCAGTGATTTTTTTAATTTTTACAAATTACAAGGGCATATGTGATAAACAAAAAATCACAGGGGCATAGGTGAACTTTTCTCTAAACTGTAACATCATATTCAGTCGTGGGTGAATGATTAAGAAGTTTTAACAATACACAATGTGTGTAGTTCATTTGGCTACATAGGCTGAGTAAGTGAGGAGAGAATTTGAGTTTGATTTCCACCAAATATATCTTTAGGAATGGACGATAAGTTTTAACTGTGATTAAGCCCCGACTCGAAATTAATCTCATAGCCGACTTAAAGAGTTGAAGTTTATGAGAATATTTGGGGTTGACTCTTCTGAAAGAGATGATTAAGGTTGATATATCATAAAAAAAAAAAAAAAAAAACTTTAAAATGAAATGAATTGGTTGTTGGAGAGGAGTTATGCAGAAAATCAAGACCTTAATATGACCTGCAATCCCCAAACTAAGAAAAACGTAAGTGTCTAAATTCCAAAGGAGAAAATAAAGTAAAAGCTAAGCTATAAAATAATTAGTCACTAGGAGTGAAAGGGGAAAGGAAAAATAAAAAAAGTGTATTGATTAGTATGTTGTTTGGAAAAGTGAATTGCACTGGCAAGATTTGGTACTTCAGCTTCTTCTGTTTTCAGTGAGGCGTTCATATAAATAAAGCTACTCACCATATATCCGGCATCCAATTTTATGAATTGATTAAATTCCTAATAAACTGGCCCTCAAACATCATGGGCTCCATTCTATACATTCCACATATCTTATATAGCGGCCTTGGGCCTTAGCATAATAATTTTCCCTACAGTTTTATTTACGTTCCAATTATTCCACAAATATGGTCATTCAACTGCACAGTAAATTCAACCCCACCACTCCCGATTCAAAATTAAATTTTGTAACATCCTATTGAGATATTTGAATTTGTTTCCAAACAAAAATTATATAAAACAAAGTGCACTAGCCAACAAATGCCACACACGATCTCATGAAGATGCCCCATAATCTCGAAGCTAGACACCCTAAATAAAGAGAAACACACACACACACACACAGAGAGATAGAGAGGGAAAAATGAAGAAAGGAAAAGTTCAAAAGAACATATGGCCTTTGACACTATGCTTTGCTTTACTCTCTCTCATTACAATCTTCCTTCCTTCTTGTGAGTCCTTCAATTATGGCCAAGCTCTGTCACAGAGCCTCCTCTACTTCGAGTCACAACGTTCAGGTCACTTACCCCACAACCAAAGGGTCACTTGGCGTCACCATTCTGCCCTCACTGATGGCCTTGAACAAGGGGTACTGTACATACTAGTTACTACATAACATCCTAACCAAAACTATGTCTTTTTTGTGTGTGTGTGTGCCTATGTTTCATTCATTCCAATGAGGTTCTTGTTTTTGGGCACGTAGGTGGACTTGGTGGGAGGCTACTATGATGCAGGGGACAATGTGAAATTTGGGCTACCAATGGCATTCACAATAACGCTTCTCTCATGGGGTGCCATAGAATACGGCCAACAAATCGCCGGTGCTGGCGAGTATGCTCACGCGCTGGAGGCTATCAAGTGGGGGACCGATTATTTCATCAAAGCCCATACACAGCCAAATGTTCTGTGGGTAGAGGTATTACTATTTCAATTCACCTCACACAATTCCAGTGATTTTTCTTATTTTTACTATTATTTTTAAATTGATTACCCCACGCGCCGCCGTTGAGAATGGGATAAATGATGAGTTCCAGTGCACATTCGCCGTGATTAGCGCGTGTATATCTTATGAGCTGCAATTTTCAGGTGGGTGACGGCGACACTGACCACTACTGTTGGCAGCGGCCGGAGGACATGACGACGTCCCGGCGAGCTTATAAGGTTGACGTGAACAACCCCGGCTCGGATGTCGCCGGCGAGACGGCGGCAGCGTTGGCAGCGGCATCCATTTTGTTTAGGAGAACAAACCCACATTACTCTCAACTACTTTTGCATCATGCACGACAGGTATGTTAGTTAGTAACTTAATATACATATATTATTGTTATTCACATTACATAGTTGGATTAAATTTAATTGAAATTGATTTTTAATTTGATTAAGTATAATTGTTTGTGAGAGAGATTATAGATTATAATAGGAGTGTGGTTGTGTTTGTAGTTGTTTGAGTTTGGTGACAAGTACAAGGGCAAGTATGATGAGAGTGTTGGAGTGGCTAAAGGGTATTATGCTTCTGTTAGTGGGTACATGGATGAACTGCTTTGGGCAGCCATTTGGCTATATAAGGCCACCGAAAAGGAAGAATATTTGAGGTATTTTTTGGAGAAGGCTTTTGACTTTGGTGGGACCACTTGGGCCATGACTGAATTTAGCTGGGATGTTAAGTACGCTGGTGTTCAAGCCATTGCTTCAATGGTAAACTTCTCTTTCTCACTTTCACACTCACACACACTTCCCAATTATAAGAGATACTTCTGCTTCCTTTTTTTACTTTCCCTAGGTTGTAATCTCTAGGTAATTATTGTTCTACCATCCCAAGTTGTAAAATGTCAAAAAAGACTGAATTTAGTAAAGAAAAAAGTTACATTTTATCTTACCTATGTAGCCTATGGAACATGGGAGCACGGGTAATAGACTGCTTTTTGATACCATGGAATTACTTACTCTTTTACTAAAAATAGGAAAAAAATGATACTTAGATGAGAACAACCAGATGAGTAAAATTGTTTAACATTAGTTTTTTTCTTCCACAATAACATTTTCCTTTTAACAGCTGCTTGTGGAAAAAAGGCACAAGAAACACGAAGTCATCCTCAAACAGTATCGTTCAAAATCCGAGCACTACCTCTGCGCGTGTCTCAATCTCAACAACGTGAGTAACGTGGAGCGCACCCCAGGAGGGTTACTGTACGTCCGCAATTGGAACAATATGCAATATGTGGCAACGGCGGCTTTTCTTCTAACAGTGTACTCTGATCATCTTCTAGCCACAGATCAAAAGCTGCATTGCCAAAAAGGAGAGGTGGGTCCCAACGAGCTCTTTGCCTTTGCAAAATCACAGGTTGATTACATCTTGGGTTCTAATCCAATGGGTATGAGCTACTTGGTAGGCTACGGTCCCAATTTCCCAAAGAGGGTGCACCATAGGGGTGCATCCATGGAATCATACAGAGGGAACAAGGGTTTTATTGGGTGCACTCAGGGTTATGATAACTGGTATGGACGCCCTGAGCCCAACCCTAACATACTCACTGGGGCCCTGGTTGGTGGGCCTGATAGCAAGGACCAGTTTAAAGATGAGAGGTTGAATTACATCCAAACAGAGGCTTGCACCTACAATACCGCAGCACTAGTAGGGGTTTTTGCTAGATTGCATGGATCAAAAGGTGATGATTATGACAATGAAACAACACCTTTGATATCTTCTAGTTAATTGGGATTATGGGGAACATTTTGGTCTATTCTCCAGTTATTGGTGCAAAGAATGTTTCGTAGCAATGTTTGCTATTGCAATTTGAGTATATAGTGAGATATAAAAAATACAACCTCTTTTGACGCAAAAAATGCGTCTAGAAACACGGGGTTGATTAGCAAATTGTATCTCTTATACTTACAAGATACTTGTTTTTTATTTTTATTTTTGGCAATATTTATAAGTGTATTCAAAGCTTGGAATTTTATCACAAAGAAAAAGAACTAATTAATAAAAATAAAGTGTGAAAATTCAGTGGAGTAAAGTTAAAATTTTATTAGATTGGCAACCTAATAGTATATTAGTATATAACTTGCACCTACCGACACAAAAAGTTTTAGTCTCGTTTGCGCAACACTTGGAGCATGAAGGAATGGAGACAGAAGATTCCACAAATCTGAAAAGACACAGAGTTTTAAAAAAATCACGGGATTCATGGGTTTCTTGTTGTCCATAACTCTGGTTATAATTTGATCCAACTAAGTTTCCATTCTTTCCCTTTAATTACGGTTGCAATGCCTAGAGCCAAAGGCCCAAAAGCACTTTTTATTTCTTGTAACCAAATTTGCGGCGAAATGACTTGCAATGAGTCCACATGGAAATGCCACCCAAAACGAAAATCAAGCAAGATTTAGTGCCCCCATGTCTTTGTTTTAGTTTTAGGCCTCAAAAATCAAAATACAAGCATTTGTCACAAATCACAATCACGAGGTTCAAACTTGGGAACCTGCACGTTAGATTCATACCATGTTGCCCTTTCCCTGATTGCTGCTTGATTGACGCACACTGGAAGCGCGTGGCAGTACAAACACGGTCAGCGCTTGAGGACATTTTCACGAAGTGCAGGCGTAAAAGGCACAAAGCACAATTGATACCAGATTTACTGCACAAGAATGTTTCAATGACGTAAAAGGAACAGTGTTTAACCTCTTGCTGACGTGACGGTGTGACTAGGGGTGTAAATGGACTGGGCTGAGCTTTGACCTTTTTGGCCCAAGTCTAGGTAAAAAAAAATTCAGTCTATCTGGCCTATTAAAGACTTTATTTGTAGGCCAAGCCTGACCCATTTTAAAAAATAAGAAAGCCTGACATAGCCTACAAGCCTTGTAGGCCTCCCATTGTAGATACTAAGCACAAAAAATAATTGTATAGAGCAAAGAAAGTTCCATTCATGCATGCACTAGTACTTCTCATAAGAAAAAAATGACAAAAAAGAGTCAACATAATACCCCAGCTCTAGAATGTATATCATAGAGGAATAGAGTCAAAGAAATGGAAAAAATAAAAAAAATACAATTACCGGATGCTGAAATAAAGTTTACAAGAGAATGTCATTTATCTAAAAATCTTTAAACCACCGTCAAGACAAGGGAAAAAAAACTATTATTAAAAGATCTTCATCAGTAACAACATAATCAAGCAAGGTACCCATTACTCCATAGTATTAAGCTGCAACAACATGTAAAATTTGGAGACATTAAACAAGTTTTTCTTTCATAAAATAAAATAGCACAAAAAGTAATAGATATTGGTATTTGGTACTTTGCGTCTTTGTCACATAAAATAAATATTATTTTATTTTAATAAATTAAATAGGTCAGCCTACAAGGCTGTAGGCCATGCTTGACAAAATTAACCTATGGCCTATTTGTTAAAAAAACTTTTTTATAAGTTAAGCCTACTCTACTTTTCTGAAATGCTGGGTCTGGATCGGACTCAATGTAGACTGGACTGCGTCAGCCGCCTGACCCATTTATACCCCTAGGTGTGACTTATAATTGGCAATATTGAATGAGCATGCTAATTAAATCATGCACGAAAGTCATGAAATTATAATGGCAACTCGTGATGGATTCAGGACACTCACCATTCAGACGTCGGCTTTTAAAAGATTACGGAAATTTCATCAAAACTACATCAACTCAAGTAGCATAGGGCAGAGAGTAGCACAACACAAGTCAGAAAGTAATTTCAGCTGGACGTGAACTTAACAATATTGAATGCAGCAAACTAGCACTACAAGAGAATTAAAAATCAAGGGGATCAAAAGAAGGAAAAAAAAAACAACAACAAAAGAACCATTGAACTACTTGGTGATTGAAAATCTTAAGAGGGTTAACTAACTTTGGCCATTTTTTGTTCTAGCAAGTAGCAACTGACTTTTTCAGGTTGTGCATACATAATTCACTCGTTTTCTCTCTCTAAAAATATTCCTTAAAATCCCTGTTTTTGACAGAAAATTCAATAAAGAGATTTTTTTTAGGGAAAGTTAAAATGAAGCCCAAAAAAACTCAACCAAACTAATGTCTTCGTTTTCAGGCCCAAGCCCAATGAGTCCACGAGATACATATCATATGCATCAAGTTCATTTGTTTTGGGCTTTATGCTATAAGTATGATCCATACACTTAGAGCCCATTTGGATTGCCAAGAAAGTTCTTTTATGTTTTGCTTATTTTAAAAGTAATTTTTATAAAAATTAAAGCTATTTAGATATTTTAAAAAATATTTGATTTTTGAAAAAAGTTAACTTTTATTTTTTTATTTTTTAAAAAATCAAATTTTTTAACTTCTACAAAAATAGATTTTTGACTTTTTTTTTACGACTTTTACTTTTTTTAAAACAGACATACAAACAGATTTTTTTTGAGAAATTTTTTTTCTTTCTTAAAAAAGTGTTTTTAGAGAAAAAAAATACTCATCCAAACCGCTATTAATCTTTCGACTCACGAGGGGAGTATCAACTTATTTGCCCATGGCGTCTTCTTTCACGTCATAAGAAGGATTGCTACTACAACTTATTTGTTAAATTACTTAAACTATAAGCGTTTATAAATATTTATATAGAACCAATTTACAGTACACTTTAGGGTGTGCATGACAATCATTCTGTTCCTTGACACTGTTTCTGAAAAGAAATAATTCTTTTCTATTTCTGTGCCTTGGAACAGTTTCAGAGAAAAAAAATGTGTTTGATAACATGTTCTATTTCTATTCCAAGAATGAGAATTGCATGTGATAACACAACAAATAATATAATAAAAATAATTTATATTAAACATAAAAAAATTTCGGATCATCACTTTCTATTTTATATGGTGATGGTGGCGGCGACAGAGGTGGCGTGGTGGTGGTGGTGGTAATGGTGTTGATGGTGGTTGCATAGTCGTGGTGGCCGCAACGGTGGTAGTGGTGGTGGTGACGGCAATGGCTACGACGATGCTGATGGTGACAGCGGCGGTGGTGATGGTGAAGGTAGTGGTGGTGGTGGCGGCAGTGGCTGCGACAGCGGTGGTGGTAATGGTGACATAGTGGTGGCGGCGATGGTGGTGATGGTTGGTGGCGGCAATGGTGGTGGTGATGACGACAATGGCTGCGACATCGGTGGTGGTAATGGTGGCATAGTGGTGATGGCGATTGCGGTGGTGATGGTGGTGGTGGTAACGGCAGTGACTGCGACGATGGTGGTGGCAGCAATGGTGGTGGTGGTGATGGTGATGGCAGTGGCTGCGGCGGTGGTGGTAATGGTGGCATAGTGGTGATGGCGATTGCGGTGGTGATGGTGGTGGTGGTAACGGCAGTGACTGTGACGATGGTGGTGGCAGCAATGGTGGTGGTGGTGGTGGCAGTGGCTGCGGCGGTGGTGGTGGTAATGGTGGCATAGTGATGATGGCGATTACGGTGGTGATGGTGGTGGTGGTAACGGCAGTGACTGCGACGATGGTGGTGGCAGCAATGGTGGTGGTGGTGATGGCAGTGGCTGCGGCGGTGGTGGTGATTGTAGCGGTGGAGATGGCGTGGTGATGGTGGTGACGACATTGATGGTGGTGGTTGGTGGTGGCGGCGGTGGTGGTGATGGCATGGTGGTGGTGATGACAACAGTGGCTATGACGATGGTAGTGGTAGTGGTAGTGGTAGCGATAGTGGTGGCGGTGGCAGCAATGATGATGGTGATGGTGACGATTATGATAGTGGTGGCGGTGGCAGCGGTAATGGTGGCATGTGGTAGGTATGGATGGAGGCGGTAGTGATGGTGGGAGTGGCATCATGGTGGTGGTGGCGGTGGTGACGATGATGGTGGTGGTGGTGGTCATGTCGGAATGATGGTGGTGGTGGTGATGATGGTACAGGTGGAGAGTGATTGAAAGAGACAAGTGTTTCTCATTTTGTGTCCGGGAACAAAAAAGTAGAATTTTTTTGATTCTTTTTTCTCTTCCCAGCACAAAAATTAAATTGGTTCATCCCGGGAATAAAAAAATAAACTGATTTTACCAAACGAGTTTCCTATCCATTTTTGTTCCTGGGAACAAAATTTAGAAAATAACTGATTCCGAGAAGGTTGTCATGCACACCCTTAATTCCATTGTTTGGGTTTTATTTTATTTTATATTTTCATCTGAGTTCCATCGTATTATATATATATATATATATATATATATATATATATATATAGAATTGACTCGATAGTCTTTCTTCTTGTTAGTTACTTCATCCTTAGTCAAAACACACACACCCCACAAACTATTGTGTATGATAATTAATTTACAACACAAAATTCTTCATTCTATTTCCACCTACCAAAGTTTCTTATGGTCTCATATCTTACCGTCTTGATAAGGAGTTAGTTTATTTTAATTTCATTCTATTTCCACCCACCTAACTCCCTCGTGCTCTCTTTTATCTTACCTTTTATAAGGGGTTAGTTAACCCATAGGCAGAGGCCAGGTTGCCAAAGCTCAAGATATTTCTTCACTAGTGCTTGAAAATTTTATTAAATTTTTTCAATTTTGAGAAATTCTTATATAATATGATTTTTAGCCCCCTAAAATAGATAAAATTAGTATTTAGCCCCTCAAGTCCCACATACATAAAATTACCGGCTATGTCAGTGGGGCTGGTTGCCTCTCATCATTTCAATCAATTTCAAATGGTTGATACCTCCCACCTACAAAGGAATTGGACAAGATCATAGCTGCAAAAGAGGGACCCTCTGGCATTTCTTTCACAAAAAAGACATATCTAACTTACGCCTACGAAAGCACTGTAAGAGGAAAAGAAGTGTTTAAAATGGCCACATATTCTCCTTCTTTTGACACAAAGAAAACGCAAACCATTTTAAATACAGAATTGCAGATTCTACTATGATGTGTTTGGTTGTTTTATTTATGCCCACCAGCAACACAATTATACAACATATACTCATGCGTCATGAATGACATAACACATTTCACATACACCAAATTAATGATAATAATAATATCCTCCATTTATCAACACGTCTATTCAAAAGACTAATGAAATTCATAACAGTTTTAAGGTGCAATGAGCAGACCTAATATTACAAATAAACACTGAATAAGCTTTTAATTATTTGGTTTCTTCTGCTGCAGAAACACTCACATAGAAACTATTGGAAAATAAGACAACCTTATTCTGGATGCACATACAGATAGATATTTCATAGTTCATAAAGTAGGTTCCTAATCACCCCTCCTGTTATAATCAGCCTCGGGTTCATGGTGTTTGAACCTGTTCTTGATTGATTCAACCTTAGAGTCACCAATAGTACCATCTTTCTTGGCTTCCCTGGCTTTCTCCTCTGCAACTCTCTGGAATTCTTCAGCTATGGAAGGTGCTCTCTCTGCCATCAAACTGCTACGGTTTCCATTGCTTGCCTCCCTATAATTCTGGTAAGCAAGGTTCATTCACTCATTCATTAAATAACCAAAAAAGCCTACATTACTTCCTGATCACTGTAAACAATTTCATATATTGAAGACACAAAACTATAATTTTGCTTTCAAGTTTTAACAAGTCTTTACGGGTTTAGCAGAGTTAATTTCCACTTTTCAAGGACTGGATTATGCAGAAAACCTTCCATTAAATACATGAAATCTTAAAACTAAAAACAATTAAAATTCCACTTTTGTTTTATCTAATTTTGAAATCCTAATGGGATCGTTCTTACAGAAGAAAAAAAAAGCTAACATAAATTAGTAACTCAACAACAAAGAACCAAATAGAACTATTGGTACACAAATTAAAAAGGAACACAATAAAAAAACATCCAGAGATAAAAATATAAATAAATAAAGATGATACCTTAGTGGAGTTGTAGAAGAATGGCCTAATAGGCTTTACCAAGGAAGATCGTGAAGTGGAATGGAGAAGAGTGAGGAAGTGACCACCAGCCATGGTTCTTCCCTTCCACTATTCGCAAGCAATGTCTGTTTGAGAGAGACTAGTTGGTAAAAAACATAGTAATGTGAGCGAGGCTAGCTACTTCATGCAACCCAAAAACAAAAGGACAAGTTCACCTTACTTTAATCCACATGTCCACGTATTATTTGTTGCCTTTCTAGATGCTAATCCAATGTATCGTTACTTTAAAATGGAGCATTTTTCTTGATTAAATTTGTCAACAAAATTAAAAGATGTAAATATAATTTAATTATGCACTGTTACACAATATTAAGTATGATATGATAACAACTATAGAAATTTAATACTCTACATCAAAACCAAACTCTTTAAATAAATTTTCTCATATGAAAATAATATATTCTTAAAAGGGACATGATCCGTTTACAAATATTTTTTGCAATTACACTAATGTAGTAGGATCGGTCGTACACTGTGTGATTAATGTAGGACTGGTTCTACATAGTATAGTTTGTAAGAGTTTGTAAACAAAAAAAGTTTGTAAATATAACCTGTTGTTTTTTAAAATTCTCAATTTTGTTAAGGATGCCAAAAACATTACGTCATAACTGGCAGGCACAGATGTTCTATTCTTTGATTACTTTCTATTGAATTCACCAAATAAATATCTGTAAAAAATTTATGATTTATAATTTAGGAATAAAATAGGAATGAAATTTGAGAAAAACATACAACAAAGTAACAACAGAAAGAGGTCATAGGTAATGTCTAATGGAGAGGATAAAGCTTTTATTTGGTATATATATATTTTTTTTTCAGTATGAGCTTTTATTTGGTATTTTGATTAAAGATAAGAATTGACAATTAAAAGCCCAAGACAAAATAAAAATAAAAAATAAAAATAAAGTGAGACATAGCAAATTGAGTCAAATAACAAAGGTGTGATTGGCGAAGCTCACGAGAGGAGAGAATTATCGTCAATGATTTGAGCGATAATTTATCACATTAAATGAGATCAACATCACATTATATGACTTCATTCTATTCGTTATTTGTTTTGGTGAAATTTATTTACGGCAATTACTTCAAAATTATTTATGTTAATAACTTTGTTGTCTAGTTAATTGTTTGTGGCAATGACTTGATATTGACAATAATTTTTAAATTTTATTATTTTATTTAGATTAGATGTTTCACGGTCATGCAATAGTACCTAATACAAAAAATTGATATTAATAATTAACCCTATTCAATGTAATATGACAACTAATCCGTAAAACAACAAGAAGTAGCAGATGACATTAAATTCAATAGCAATAAACGTCTGTGTTTGGAAAAAAATTCATTAATTTCCACCTAACAATAAACCTCCAATTCTATCCAAATATTATGTAAATATATTTTACATGTTAATAATTATATTTATTCACTACATAAATTAATGAAATAAATTATAAAATAATTTTTATGTTAATGTTGTTCATTTTACATATATAAATATTGATAATTAATTTATTTTTAAAAATTTATTTAATGAGGATATAAATTTTTTAATTTAAAATAATTTGCATGTTATTATGTATTTTTAATGTAATTTATGTAAAATTATAACTTTTAAATTAAATGATTAAAATATAAATTAATATATAAATAAATAAAAATAATATCTTCAAAAACATAATATTTGTGTATATTTATATCACATCGTCAAATACATAATAACATCTTATCAAACATTCGTAGTATTCTGTAACACTCTAATTCTGTTCGTCCTTATAAGTTATAATAAGCTGTTCGATACACAAAATCTAAAATATATAGTGGTACAATATTGGCACACCATTAAAAACCAAACTAAAAACAACTCCATAAATTTTTATGAGCTGCATCAAAACCAAACTCTTTAAATAAATATGTTTTTTCACACTGAGATATTATGCACCCCAAAAAAAAAAAGTATATGTTCATAAAATTCTCAACTCAGGTTAAGGATGCCAAAATCATTAGTACATGACTAACGTGGCAGGCGCAGACATTTGATATTGATTAGAAAACCCTGGTTTTGTTTGGTCTTCGCCGTTTGCCCAGAAACAAAAAACAAGTCCAACTTCAACACTTAGTTTTTGAAGGTGAACTCAACTCAACACTTGTTTGTTACACTCATTCAATGTCGGCGTCTGAGATTCTTCGTGAACTGGACTCTTTGAAGGATGCCAAGACCAAAATCGACCACAAAATCTCTCTGCTTGAAGCTCAACTGAGGGATATCAATCTCCAAAACGACGCCGCAACAACCAATGGCTCTTCATCGTACCCCACAAATGGATTGGCCCCTCACATGATCCACAGATACAGTCGTCACCTTGTGCTCCCTTCATTTGGGGTTCAAGGTCTTCTTTCCAATACCCCCTCTTTTTTATATATGTTGTTAAAATGTTAAAAACATATTAAGACTCATATCTACAATTAAAACATGTTTTATTTAAATTCAGAATGAAAGAATATTGTTAATCATTGTTATGAATATGATATTCATTGCATATGTTTAGTTAAAGTTATAAAATATAATTATCTCTGGGTAACTATCAATTGCTTTATCAGCTTACACTGTTTTTTTGTTTTCCACATATTGTTAGACAAAGAGCCCTAATCTGCAAAAATGTTTCTTTTTTGTCTTACTTTTTTTTCCCACCTTCTTTTTGTCCATGGAGTACAGGGCAATCAAATCTGTTGAAGTCATCAATTTTAGTTGTGGGAGCTGGAGGATTGGGTGCTCCTGCTTTGTTATACTTTGCAGCTTGTGGTGTTGGTAAAATGTGATACTTCAAATTATTGTTGCCTTAATCTATATACTCTTCTTGGAGCTTACATTTTATAAATATTGCTCAGGCCGCTTGGGTATTGTTGATCATGACCGGGTTGAGCTGAGCAATATGCATAGGCAGGTACAGTTTTTTGTCCCACATGTTGGCATTGGAGGTGCAACATGTACCTTGTATATTGTTCATGTGTTTGTGCCTGGCATCAGCCTTGGTTGTTTGCACTTTTGCGAGGCCAAGTTGTTAACATGTATCTTGCTTTGTGTGTTTGTGTTCATTTACTGAATTTCTTTGTACTTTGGTATCGTTACTAACTTCGATTCATTCATGCTGGATTTCAGATTATCCATACAGAAGCATATGTTGGTCAGCCGAAAGTGAAATCTGCTGGTGCTGCTTGTCGCTCGTATGTTGTTCTGTGTCCTACAATTCATCACATCAATTTTTATGGAGGGAATGGAAATAAACCCCCATTTGAATTTTTTTATTTCAAATGTTTGATATAATTGTATCACTGTTCTTAGAACTAAGTTGTTTTGAATATTAGGATAAACTCCACTATTCAAGTTGTGGAACATGAAGAAGCTTTGCGGACTTCCAATGCTTTGGAAATTCTCAGCAAGTATCCTTTCTATAATAAGATTGATCTTTCTTTCTGCTTGAGGCCTGTCTTTCTTCATGCTTACCTCTTTCATTTCCCTTTGAATATTACCACTGAATCCATTTGATTTCCCCCCCTTAATCATGTGATTTTGTTAGATATGATATAATAGTAGATGCAACAGATAATGCTCCTACCCGTTACATGATCAGTGATTGCTGTGTGGTACTAGGAAAGGTATATCTCAGTGTTTCGATGTATGAACAAATTGTTTGAATTGATGTTATACAGGGCTTTTCCCTTTGTTATTTTAAGATGAATGCGCTTTGTAAGTCAGAATTGTTAGTGTTTGATTTGTTAATGCGAGTGATACCTACGTCAATTCAGAAGAAAAGTAAGTTATGTGTTCAAACTTCAAAATCAGAACTTTCACATTTATTATGAGAAAAGTAATTTCCATGAACAGTATTTAGGTTTCGGATCTGGGTTGGGTATGCTGTGGATTGTGGGGTAAAATGCCCTAAATTAATTTCAAATTTTTTCAAAGTGTATGTTCTATGAGTTATTTCTCCTAAAATATTTATGCAATTGCTCCAACTAGGCATTAATTTTTTGAATTCATTATAAATTTGTAATGCTACAATTATATGGCTTTATTATATCTCATTGAGTTGAGCATTTCTTTTTTTGGTTCATATATTTATCTTATTTTTTGTGCATATGTATATAATATGATTTATAGGAAATTTAAGTAACTTCTATTGCAACTTTATATATTAATTGCTTTCATGTGTACACATGCAGCCTCTTGTATCAGGTGCTGCACTGGGATTGGAAGGACAGGTATATGTCTAAATATATATATTTTTTCTAGCATTTAAGTTGAATAGTGTTTCATGAAGCAAGAAGTACTCTAGGTGCTTGATTATAACACAAATTTGAGATTAATTATGGAAAACTTATGCTGCAGCTCACCGTCTACAATTACAATGGTGGTCCTTGCTATCGATGCCTCTTTCCAACTCCACCACCTGCAACAGCATGCCAAAGCTGTGCTGATGGTGGAGTTCTAGGAGTAGGTAAATCACCAGCGTTTTCATGAGCTGAATCAGTTTTACTTTTCACTGCTAGTCTGCGAGGCATTGATATAAGCATGAACAATGTCAACCTGAATACTTATTCTTATGCTCTGCTGTGTTCTTTGCAAAGCTGAGTCATAGTAGTATATACTTTTTTCGTTGGTAATAACAAAAAAATGAGTCTGATTGTTCAATTTCTTTGCTGAAAATGTCTCTATAAACATGGAAGTCTCATTATGTCTAGAGCCATAAAGTCTAGCCAAAAAAGGTTTTGGTAGGTTCACAGTGAGCTTAAAAGTTTGCCTAATCTCAAAGGGGCAAGAGTTTGAGTAAGAGCTACAAGCAATTAGGACATAGGGCATATTGCAGTTTCAAATTGATCAACATAGAGTGTACTCTTTAGTAGGACTGAATAGCAAAAAAGACAATTGGTGTGGAATATTTAAGTTGTTTCATTTATGATTCTTTTAGCCGAACTCTGATTATTGGATGCAGGGCTTTTTACCATCCATGTCAGTGATCCTGACTATTTATCATTCAACTTGGATTGCTTCTCATTTGGAGCTTTTTATTTTTATTTTCCTGATATTACGTTATGCTCTGGGGATCTGACATTTGGTGTGTTCATTTTCAGTTCCTGGTATAATTGGCTGTCTCCAAGCTCTCGAGGCTATTAAGATTGCAGCTTCTGTTGGTGAACCACTCTCAGGAAGGATGCTTCTCTTTGATGCGTTGTCTGGACGGATTCGTATTGTATGTTAAGAAATCCACAGCCTTGCTTATTATATGTATATCATTATTTTTTATGTGTTGCTCAGCAAGATGGAATTAAGATAGAATTGAAATGATGGTAGGGGATGCTTATTTATAAGTAATCCTGCATGGGGAAGGAATATTAAGATTATGGATTAATATCCAAGATCATTAGGATTTTATAAGTGGGGCATCTATTAGTTGTTTTATTATTTAGGATTTTCTTATCAATTTGGATTTTAATTTCAATAAATCACTTGGGTGTGTAGTTAGGGTTTTGTATCCTTGTGGTATTAGGACTATTAGGGTAAATGTTTTCCTACTTAAGGATATGTGCCTTAAATTCTCTTCTGATGAATTAATTGATATTATTATTGAGTGATTATTCTCTTAATTCACACTAATTTTTCTGTAAACTATTATAACTGTCATGCAGACCGATCTGTTTCTTTATAAATTCTAGTAAAAATTGCTTATAAAAGTGTATCCGTCCTAAATCAAATTGAGATTGTTAGAGATTCTGAAATATCAACAATTAGTTACAGTAGAATATCAAGAGTTAGAACAATTAGTTAGTTCATTTCAATCGAACAGAAGATGGAAAGAAAACGAATGAATCTTAGTGATGATGGAATATTAATAAAAAAATGAGAGAAATCTCCTCAAAGGGTTTCCCCTTACAACTGAGCCACTGCTCTCTGTTTTCTCAATCCTAGCAACTCTCTGCTCTCCATCTACCCTTCCCCCTATTTAATGTCCTTCCAACCTCTCTAACTAAGTAATTGCTCTAACTAACCATTGAAACTCTCCTGTGGCAATCTATTGATATTTACAGTTCCTAATCATAATCAATTGTAACTACGTTGTCTCAATGGAAAAATATAATGGATGAAAGCTCATTTTTTGTTGGAATGTTTTCCCCCACAAGGCTACAGTTTGAAATAGCAAAGTCAAAACCATGATACTCTAGCAAGATCTTAAATATAAGTTACTGATTATATATTTTTATTGCACAGGTCAAAATTAGAGGAAGGTCTATGCTATGTGAAGCTTGTGGAGAAAATGCAACGTTTACCCAGCAGCAATTCCGAGAATTCGATTACGAGAAGTTCACTCAGACTCCCTTGTGTGTGGTATCGTTTCTTTTACTCTTGCCTTGAGCTTTCACCTCCCTTGAATTTGGATGAGATGGTATCAAATTTAATTGTGCATATTTTCACTTGCACTTTGTATTGGATGAGATTGTTGAAGATAAAATTCTTATTAAAAGAATACAAAATTGTCTCCAGTATATTATTTTGAGTTTCTATTTCTGTATACCATTTTCAAGTGGTGATCAAATACCAGTCAGTTGATAGAACTGGATCAGAATTTAGAAACAAAAATCAGTGTTTATTGACAGACAATCTCTATCTCTGGATCTGTATCAATGGAATACAAGATCAGAGATCTCTGAGAGATTGAAGATACAAAGATAGTGCAAATGCCCTAAACCCCTTGTTCCCGCTGTTCTAGAGATTTTGGATCTCTTCTAAGTTCTCTCTCAATCAATTCCCAACTGTCCTAACCAACTCCCCCTCCTTTTATTTCTGTTTACCTATGTGACTGACTCCTAACTGTCGGTTAAACAGACTTACCCAAGGTCCTTGCTGATTGGTTCTAACTTATAACGTGTTTGGAGCTTCTTATGACAATATGCAGTTATGCACTTTGTTAGTTAGCCCAAACACATTCACCTTCATGTTAGGGATGACATTAGGTTAACCCAAGTGAAATCACTAATGCTAAATATTACAAGGTACTTTTGATATCCAGCGTACAACAGGGGGTGCCAGTTAAACTTGGTAAAAACTGAAGTTGTACTTGTTGATCTGCTTTACTTCCTATACTATATCTATATTGTTTTGGTTGTTTTACTTGTTTTGTATTGCCAAAGTGCATTATCTAATTATTACTAATGGAATTCTAACCCTGTACTTGATCCCAGAACTAGTTAATTTTGAAAAGGATTAATATTATTTTCAATGTCATTAATGCATTTCATGCATATGCAGCCTCCTTTGAAGTTAAATCTACTTCCCACTGAATCAAGAATCAGCAGCAATGAGTACAGTGAAATAATTCATAACAAGGAACCACATGTGCTGGTTGACGTTAGACCAGCTCACCATTTTAAGATTGTCTCTCTCCCTAAGTCTTTGAACATTCCACTCTCAAATTTAGAGGCTAGGTTGCCTGAAATATCATCAGCTTTGAAGAAAGAGGAAGAGGACACAGGTGTTGTTTCTGGATCAAGTGCGCAATTATATGTAGTGTGCAGAAGAGGAAATGATTCTCAAAGGGCTGTTCAAAATCTTCAGAAAATTGGTTTCACTTCTGCCAAGGATATTGTTGGGGGCTTAGAGTCTTGGGCTCACAATGTGGATCCTAACTTCCCTACATATTAGCTGATCTGTTTAGCTCTCTAGTTAAATTTTCATCAAGTTATACTCCTGATTTGAAATGATTTCTTTTTTATATATTATCAGGGATGCTGCTTTCATTTTTCCATGGCCATTCATATTATTCTCGTTTCTTATTCTTGTACTATATAGATGTTACTATGGGCCTTGAATTATGCAAGGGTAAGGCTGCGTACAAGATTTTTTCTACTTCACACTTGCTAGTCGGGTTTAACGGGGAGTGATTTATTGATTACAGTTTAAAATTTCAAATGTATTCCCGATGTAGCTAGAACTTGCACTTTCAGGAATGAGTTGCTTCATGTAATTTATTTACTAGTGCAATTTTGCTCCTATAAGTTACTTTCCGTGTTCAAATAATGTATGCTGATTGCTGAGTGAGACCATCATATTATATTATAAGAATGTATCAAATTTGCTTTCTAAAATACGTGTAAAATTGTACCAAAAGTTTACCAAAAACAAAATTGTACCAAAAAATAAAATACTTGTGAAAAGGGTCAAAATTCGTCAAGCTACTTTCGGGTCCATTTAGCTCAAATCATTCACGATGGGCTGCGGGCTAGCAAGGTTGGTTCAATCATTAGTCCTAATTTTTTTTTTAAATGTAATAAATTTATTCTTCAAAAATTTAAATAAACGAGTGTTGAGAAATTTGAACAATATAGTTTCGGGTCAGTGATAAATAAATTAGATAATTAGCTCATCTGTCAATTGGGTTTCAATTCGTGAAATAAAAAGAAGTAATACATCCTTAGGTGATAGAAATTATATAAGGTAAAGATAAAAAAATAAAATAAATGATATTTCAGGTCAGTGAGCTGAACTGACTTTGTGTTGGGTCAAATCAAGTTAATAAAATTTGGACTTAAATTTTTATTGATTCAGTTTATATATTTTGACCATTTTGGACTAGTCTATCATGACCATTTAAGGGAAGTGTTTTGACACAAACAGCAAAATATTTTAGGTACATCCATTGTATCACTGACTCGCGATGCGACGGACCAATTGAAATGAGATATTTTCTGTGATATGTGTACATAAAAGAGAGAAGATGTAGATACACCAGATGTACATGTACCGAAAATGCTCTCCATAAACACATATCATGAAAAGGCTATATTTTGACTTGAACATATGCACAAGGTACGTCAAGATGCAACTTATGAACGAGCAGCAGGATGGTTTCAACACTGTAAAGCAAAAACACCTATGCAGGGTTTGGTCATAGTCATAAAATGCAAAGAAGAAGAAAAGATATGAGGCACTTCCAGACGAAGATTAATTCCTTGATATCATCCCTGATGCACAGGAAGCATTGTGAAATCGCATTTCAAAGTTTCAATTTGCTCGTTTTATAATGCAAGTAGATTCCTTTCAGCAAAGTTGAAGCCAAAATCTCGTCATATCCATATTAAACTGTGGACACATGCAACATGGCCAGTTTCTTGTTAAGGGTAACAAATTACTAAGGTTATGAATGCACTGTTTTAGCAACTTCTACGTTATAATAATTTAGGTTGGTTTATTTTCTAAGTAAGTGACTATTGCCTTGCACCGACCTAAAAAAAAAAAAGCTTGCACTTCAAAGGTAATTTTACGATAATTTTAAATAAATTATTTTTCTCTGTCACTATCTGTGACGCTCAATAGACAAAACAAGGAATGGAAAGGAAAATAACAACTGAAATAATTTGAGATTATATCATCCCACTCACTTGGAAAGTGATTGTACCCTTTACCAACCAATAAGCAAAACCTTTAACAGAGCCATCCGAATATATAAACCATTCTTTGCTTGCCTAAAGTAAGCAGCTCTTGGATCACCATCAACATCCACTTTGATCTGCATGAAATTAAGGGGAAAACTTAGTTTATTTAATCTTAATACTTATGTTCATAACCAGAATAAATATATCACATGATATATGGCCATATGTGCTTACTTCGTCAAGTCTTGGAAGAGGGTGCATAACCACAGCATGTTTCTGCATCACCTTTAGAACATCTTGATTTACAATATACTTGCCTCTTGCCTCTTCATAAAGGTTAATATTCTCTCCAAATCTTTCTTTCTGAATGCGAGTTTGATAAACCACATCACACTTAGAAGCAACTTCCATCAAATCAGCACTTTCTTCCCACTCCACTCCCTTTGATGTCAGATAGTCTTTTATGTCATCCTATAAAAGAAAATTCCACAACTCATCATGTCCTGAAACTTCCCTAACATCTTATCCTATTCGTGAATTCATAACTAGTATTTGCAACAGTTACCTTCATTTTAACCACATCAGGAGAGACAAAATAAATTTTCATATCCTGGTACTTGGCAAGCAAATATGCAAGCGAGCGAACCGTCCTCCCATTTGCAAGGTCGCCCACTAGCCCAACTTTAATTCCATCCAGTTTTCCGATCTCTCTTTCAATGGTATAGACATCTAACAGTGCCTGAGCAATTTGAAGAAGCAAGAGTCTTTTGAACACAAAAATGGCAACATCCATTTGCCATTCAAATCATTATATAATATAGCAGAATGCATAAGCAATAGATAAAAAATGACAAAGAAATTCCCTTTTGTCTGTACTTTTTTGCGCCACAAGAAAAAAAAAACACAAAAAAAAAAAAAACACCATAGAATCATCTTGTCAAGTGTAAATAAAGTATTCATGAAAGTATGTACCAAAAAAAAGTATACTTGAAGGCACATTTAGGTGGAAAAATCTATAATATGTTGTTATAATTGGCTAGGAAAATAGGATGTGCTCAAGATATGCCCCGGAAGTTACCATCTCAATCCTTGATACCAAGTTATGAAGCCCTTCACTAGAAAAATGGAACCACATATTTTAGTTTTATACTCTGATTGAATTTGGCTTCTATCTCTGGTTTTGTACATCCTTATGGTTTATTGAGAACAGAGTTCTTTTCCCCAACCGAGAGAAAGGTGCAATTTCCTGAATGGAAGTCATAAAGTTATGACTCATAAATGAACTAAATTTGTACTATTAGCAGACTTCTCTGTTTCAAATACCCTGTGACTGCATCAACAGACTAAGGGGTTTTGTCTAAAAGTTTCTGCGGTAATGTAACACACTTTACAAAAATTTTGTAACCTTGACAAGTCTTAGGCTCTTGGCAACAAACTTGTTCAGTGAATTTTATAGTTATGTTTTCACGAAATCGCTCCCCAAAAAAAAGTTATCCATCACAGGACACTGCTGATTCATGGCTTTAACAAAAGGTACCTTGTAAAGCAAAAGCCACAAATGAAATGGTGCAAGTTCTGCGGTCTAAAAGTTTTCTATCCGAATAATAGCAAGGGTAATTGACTCATGATTAGTTGCAAAAATTATCATCCAATTATCAAATTGATGTTCTTTGTGAAACATTTGATTATGTAGCACTAAACTGTAATATGACAAATTCTCTCATACCTGGGTGGGATGCTGTCCAGGACCATCCCCTGCATTGATTACAGGAATACCAGCAGTTGCTGCTGCTCTTCTGGCAGCACCACTTTCAAAGTGCCGCAATACAATTATATCAGTGTAACCTTCAACCGTTCTTATAGTATCTACAAGAAGTAAAAGTCACATGAAAACACAATTATGGATAGAACAATGAAATCAACCCACAAATAATCTTTGTACTGTAAATTTAAAGGACCCCACCTTCAAGCGTCTCTCCTTTAGCAGCAGATGAAAACTCCCTTGCATTTTCAGTTGTCAGAACATCCCCACCTAATCTTTTCATGGCAGATTCAAATGAAAGCCTAGTTCTAGTAGAGGGCTCATAGAACAAGGTAGCCATGAGGTAGCCCTTTAGAATCTGGCTCCCAGGTGAATTACTTTCAATATTCTCCATACTCCTAGCAACATCAAATATGGCATTGAGAGTATCCCTATCAAATTGCTGAGCTTCAATCACATCATCAAGTTGAAATTTTTGCCCAACAGAGAAGGAGGGTGCAACATTTTCAACTTGAAGAGCCCCTGCCCGGCACAGAATCTCATCACCTTTGCATGAAAGTTTCGATTTTTCCAAAACCCCGTAATGCCCAGATGATGTTAACCTCAAATGACTCCATGGTTGATTGAATAAATAACATGCAGAGGATTTTGCAGCCATCTTGGGATGAGACACTCCCATAGACATTGAACATGAGAATAACAACGAAGCAGCAGTCATTGTGCCCTATACAAGGCAAAGTCCAATATATGTTATAGAAGCACACAAAAAACCCAAAAAATTGAATACTAAATTTTTTAAAAATCCTTCTACTCTCTATCTAGGAAGCACACAAAAGGGCATGAAAGTAATGACTTAAAAAAAGAGAGGATAAAAGAATAAACAAAAACTGCTTTGAGTGGAATCACTTTTCTTTTCTAAAGGGAAGAGACAAGAGGAATCACCTATGTATAAAGGTATATGCTTAGAAACTACGCTTCAGAAGAGACGACAACAGAATTCAGACCCAAAAGACTATTGAAGATCATAAACGAAGAAGACAAAAAAAGAAAGAAACAGAGGAAGTATGATGAATCAAACGAAGATAGATATTGATGAAATAAGAATCAAAAGTTGAGAGAATGAAAGAGAGTACCGCTAAGGTTGTTTGTGCAGTTTTGAGGAGTTTGTAATTTGAAGGCAGTCAACGGCTACAAAACAGCGTTTTGCGTTTTGCGTTTTGCGGCAAGGAAATACGCATGTATCATGTTGTATTGTATGTGTGCGTGTGTATATATATATATTCAAAGAGCCATTTGTGGAAGACGGGTCAGTTTCAGGTATACCTTTATTTTAAAAATAGGGGCCATTTGTTTAGCCCAATCTCTCCATTTTCTTTCTTTTTGGGCCAGTCTTGCTTTTTCTTTTCTACGGCTGTTTTTTCTTTCTTTTTTATTAAATAAATAATTTCCATTTGATGTAACCAGGGTGTGTTAGATTAAGTTTTTAACAGATTATTTTTGAACAAAAAAATTCATTGGTATTCAATTAGGATTTTAAAGAATTGAAAAAGATTAAGATTTTAAAATATTATTTTAGACTCCGTCTAAATTCGGTGGTATTCTTAAACAAATAATAAACAATCTTGTGACATTAAAAAATCTGATGATTTTAGTGAATTTTCTATTGTGTGGATTTTGTGAATTTTTTTAGTAAAAGATATAAATAGGATGCCACTCATAATCTTCACCCTAATCTCCTCAAGGATTTCTTGAGGTTTCTTTACGGCAATGCTTCTTCTTCCTTTGTCGGGTCGACTCGCTCAAAATCAGGTTCGTCATGGGAGATTTTTATCACAAACCTCAAAACAACCCAAAAATAACAGATTTTTATCACAAAACATCAAAATAACAGATTTTTGAGCAATTTTTATCACAAAACACCCAGAAATAACAATACAAAAAGATTTTAATCTAATTCATCTCACAAATAGCAAATTTTTGAGAGCTTTTTCAAGTTTAAAAAATAATTTGTCAAGCTACGGGTTGTAATTTTTCTTGGCACAAAAATATGTGATTTTTGTATTAAAAACAAAATAAAACAGTAGGAAAACAACAGGGGAACAAAAAACCCCAAATCAATTTTTGTTTTACATCAATGCAAACGAGATCAATTTAAAGAAAAATTGAAACTTTCATAATATAAACTCTATGTTTTCATAACAATACATATATGAACGGAATTCTTTCGCTATAGAAAACGATTTCAAACAAATTTTATGTCAATAAATCACTAAAAACTTATTTTTCAAAAGTCTCAAAGCAATTTAAGGTTTCAATACATCGATTGAAAATAATTTGAGAAATATTTTAAATTTTCATATAATAAAATCCAGAATTTCATATTCAAAATTTTCATAGAATACTCAATGAAAACATGCATATGATATATAGTTAAAAAACTCTCATCACGTAGAACAAAAATTCCAAGGTTTCCAAGATCAATAGCAAAAAATTTCAAACGAAATTTTATCATGAACTTTAGGTTTTATATGCAAATTTTGAATTATTTTAATAAATAAAAGAATTGTGGGTCTTAAATAATTATATATGCATAACTCTAATACCAAATGAAGAAGGTAATTTTTAATCCATATTGGTCAAACCCAAGAGTAGGAACGAGAAGATGCTAATGCATGGAGGGCTAGTATGGATATGTGGAGAGCTACTGCCTAGTAGGATATCAAGTTATATCAAATTACTGGTTGAGAAGATTATATTAGGTTTTACTTTTTTTTTATTAATATTATAGCATTTCTTTGTTATTTTTTATTGACTTTTGTAATTTTGAATGTTTGTTAAAAATTTATATATTTTTCAGAATCTTATAAATCCATATTGTCCTTTCAAATCTTATAATTCTATTAAAATTCTTTAAAATCCAATCTTACAAAATTTTGATTGTAAAAAAAGTCTTTAGAATCACTACAATTCCAGATAGTCTTTTAAAATCTATAAGATTTTTTATTTCGAAATAATTTTTTAAAATCCTAATCCAATATATCCCTTAAGTGTTTTATTTAATTTTAATCTTTGACTGTACATTAGTCTAATTATGATAAATAATTATTCATTATAATTTATTAGTTATGAAAATCGTTATATGTAAGTGAATCAATAATTAAGGTTTGATGTTTTCTAATATATAAACATATAATTTTTTTTGAATAAGTTTTGGTAGTTTAAAAATTATAGTTTTAAAATTCATGACAATGAGAGTATCTAGTTATGATGCACCGACACTTAAAAAAATCTGACATGTCATGTCCGACACTCTGACATTTCCTAACATTACAACACTCGTTGTAGGGACTCAAAAAAATGTTCGAAGGTTGCATTGTGTTACTTTTTAGTTCAAACTATTAGATTCGTTGGATTATGATTGTCATTTTATTGCGTTTAAAATAAATATTTGGGACATCTTATGTTTCTTTGCAAAATTTGTGGATATTATAAGGTTAGCTTCATTCTTTTATTAAATTATCAAATATTAAATATAATATACATTATATAAATTAAAAATATTATTTAATATCAAAATGTGTCTTAACGTGTCAAAATCTAACATATTTTATAATTAACGTGTCAAAGTATCGTATCGTATCTCGTGTCGGTGTTGGTGCAATATAAGAACCTATGAGCTCTAAAGCACCGATACGCAATTTTTTAAAAATTGTGCGTGTCGGACACCGACACGTTCCGACACGTGGTCAATATTTTGGGACACGCGGTCAACGCTCTGACACGTTTTTCTGACACGCAGTCAACTTTTTCCGACACGCGGTCAGCGATCCGACACGCGTCTGACATGTTTTTTTTCTTCTTAATTTTATTTTATTAACTAAAAATAAAAAAATTAATTTATAAATCAATTTTTTTTCTGTTAGGAAATTTACATGAAAAATTAACAAGATACAAAAAATTATTTTTGTTCATATTTATGTTATGAAATTTGAATATTTGATTGGTTATATGACTTATTATGGGCTGTTATATGTATTAAATATAAATTATATTATATATATTAAAAATATTATTAAATATCAAAACGTGTCCCAACGTGTCGAAATATAACATTTTTTAGAATTAACGTGTCGGCGTGTCGTGTCGTGTCCTGTGTCAGTGTCGGTGCATCATAGCCTATGAGACTATCAAAAAAAAAAATTCTTTAAAATTTATATAAAACTCTAAAAAAGGTGAAAATAGTGAGACTTGTTGGAAATCGACACACACACAAACGAAAAATAGAAAAGAGAAAGGGAAGAGAAAATCGACACAGTGTCTGTATTATATTCACCTCACCGATACTCGTTACAAGTCACTCAGATTATAAAGGAATATAAATATGATTTGAAAAACCTTAACAATAGCTATTCATGGATTCACGTCCAAACTATTAAAAAAATTAATAAATACAATGGCTCAGCAATGAGTCAGAGGCCAACAACAATACCAGGTCCAGTTGGCTTTTTGCTGAATCCGTCAACAAAGATCTCCAATTGAATACGAAGTATGAGCCATATCCAAAAAAGACTATAAAAAACCTATGAGGTTCTTCAAATAAATCAATGTTAGATCCTTTATATGCATGACATTGACTAAAAATCAATATCTAGCTATCTAGGATATATATGAAAACGATCAAGAGGAAATGACACCAACAAAATTGAGTCTTAATCTTAATTATGCATTATTTTACTGCTGATCTCCATTTGTATTACTGGTACCGTTGTTGTTTGGATGTGAACTCCCAACGATTGATGTTATAGCGGCCACAAGAGCTGCAGTAAAATTCGGGTCTGCAGTGATAGCAGCCTTAGCTCCATGTAATGTATCAGCAAATGATGAAGTTGTGTTTGTTCCCTGAGACTGATCATGTAAGCTAGAAAGCTTAGTTTGATCACACAGGGCATGTCCAAAAATATTAGGAGCTGAGATAAACTTTTGAGCCAAAAGTGGAGTTAGGAGACTAAGTTGGCCCTGTGGTTCCCTTTGTAGCTGTTGTGAGGAATTAGTAGCACTTTGAGTGAGATCCAATGTGATAGTTGGAAATGGGGCTGAGGCTGAAAGAGTTGCCATGTTTTGTGAGCATGGATTAAGTGCAGCACTTTCTAATATGCTTGGATTAATTAGTCCATCTGCACTAGGCATTGATCCTGAAAGAAGCATTGAAGCAGCTGCAGAAGTGGTTGATGCCATTGTTTGGGCAGTGGGAGGTAATGGATGATTATGCTGTCCTTCGTATGTAGTGATCAACACACTTCGATCGTCAGCACACCTTTGTACCTATATATAAATTATAAACTTAATTAACACTTGTTGGTACAACTCAATTTCTTTATCATTTCATGTAATTAGAGACAAAGTGTATTCCTTGCAATGGCTTTATATATAGCCATTTAACCAACTAGCCAAAGCGTCATTACCCATCAAGATTTTTTTTTTTCATACAATAATCGAACATATAACATCATGTAAATTATTCTAATCCCTCACCACTAGATCAATTATAGTGACTTTTACCGATCAAGATTTTGATCCCCCAGTAATAGTCACACTTAAGATATCATTTCTCATGCCCTTTCCTGGTTTTGTAGCAGCATTTAGGTTCCTTGTAATAAAAAGTAAAAAAATATATATATAACATTACTTTTTATCTAATAACTATAAATTAATTGTTGAAAGAGAAATTATTGTATAAACCTAATATATTTAAGTTGGGTGCACTAAAGTATTTACACTTCACTTTTATAAATAAATTTTATGTTCGCTAATTAGTAATGTGCTAATACTTTACACTTTATTGACTTAGTGCACTCCAAGTTAACTAAACTACGTTTATATGTAAGAATTTCTTAACAAATTAAGATTTCGGTTTTAATAAAAGGCAAAAGAGAGTATATTTTTGTAGGATGTATACTTGTTTGCGTACTGGACAACCAGTTCTCATTGTGCAACGATAATAAGCTCGTGGACAAGGATTCCCTTTCGCCATCTTCTGCCCATACTTTCGCCACTGGCATCCATCTGCAATCTGTAATAAAATTATCCTAAAGAAAATTAACCTAGCTACAATTATAACTCATAAATTGATGTTGTATTATCATGACACTAGAAAGCTATGCAACATGGGAATGGATCCTTTTATATATAAATTTTACATAAGATTGTCATGTATAAATTATGTGTTTGATTTTTTCTTTATAGAAGTATTAAATAGGTGGGTCCTATCAACATTTGTGGAGTCACCTCCTATAACAGGTCTGATAGTGCTCGAATTGGATTAGTCGTGTAATCGATGAACTGATAGTAAGGATGAATTTATACAGATCATGCAACATATATAACGTCACCACTAGCAAGGTTGAATTTGTTAATATATAGATAAATAAATTATGATCCTAATGGAGATCATATATATATTTGAATTTGCCAATTTTAGAATTCTTAGTTTACTAACCATTGAAGATTCTGATCTTGCTCGAACTGATACACGAGCTTTCTTGATCATTGACATGGTTTCTGATGCTTGATCCTTGAAAGAACTCAATCTAGGAACTTCGTTAGAGATCCACCCTGGGAATGCTTGTAATTCCACTCTGGCTTTTGAACTTTCCCTGCCAGAATCCAGTTTATATGGATCCAAAACAAGATCTTTGGTGGTGCAAATTTGATGTGTCTTACACTCCATCAATTCAACCTTGCTTTTGCTTTCTCGCAGTTCACCCTTTGAAGATTGCTGGGAAGACTCATCCTTTTCAGCAACACCCATTTCTAAAAATGACCTTGTTGGAACCATATCTTCTTTCTTATCATTCTCCCCTCTGACTCTGCTAATCTACACAAAACCAAATTCCTTATAATAAACTCATTATACCATTACTTTTTATGAGATTTCTTTGATAATCAATAAGTTCCAAAAAAAAAAAAAAAAATAAAAAAAATTACCCCATGGCTTTGCTGCATCTGCATTAGCTTGATAAGTTGCATGTGTAGAGCATTGTAGTTATTGTTAACCTGATCAACCAACTCTCTTAAACGTTGATTTTCAGCATTCATCTGGTGCAATTCAGCTATCAAAGCTTCAAACTATACCCATAGGAAAAAAAATTATTATTATATATCTATATATCTTAAATGCGTTACCTGTTTGATAAAATCAAATAAATAAAATATATATATATATATACGTTGACACAAATAAACATACCTCATTATTTCTCTTATCATCCATTGTTTCAGATGCTGCATGTTCCTCTATTGATCTTTTGCTACCAGTATTCTTCGTAAGAAGATCTAAGCTAGTCTATAAATTAACAAGCAGAACAGAATAATATATATCATAATATTAAGGTAGAAATCAGAAAGAAATAATAAGAGTTTGCCTACATCAACATGAAGCTCCACACTGTGTACCATTTGATCATCATCATAATCATCATCATTATTTTCCCTCTTTTTCTTCTTCTCAGAGAAGAAATCCATCTCATCCATGACAAGTCGTTTGCCTCTAAACGAATCACCCTTGACAATGGCATCATTCCAGGTGGCTTCCATGTTAATTATATAATTAAGCTTGTACTTTGTATTGAAACTAGTCTTATTTTGAAGAAAGTTGTGTGATGAGTATATCAAAGAAGAGTCTAATAGTTCTGCCCACAAATTTTTCAAACGAAGAAGGAATGAAGACAGACAGACAGAGAGAGAGAGAGAGAGAGAGAGAGAGATGTAATAAGTAGAAAGTCAGAGATAGAGAGATGCAATGGACTCGGCAATAAAAAGGGTTTTGACTAAGACCAAATATTATGAATGTAAGAATAAAGAAATTTAATATTGAGAAATAATTGAGAACTGAGGTAAGATGGTGCGTAAAGTGTCCACATGGCAGTTTTCTAAAGGGGGCTGCTATAACAAGAAACCACACGTGTTTTTTGAGACAGAGATTTTGACTTATAAACTGTGTCAGCATCAGCAGCAGCATCAAACATAAAATAACACCATTGACATTTGTTTTCGTACGTTTAATTTCTGTTTTCTTCAATGTTTTATCCTATCTTATTGGTGGCTTCGTTAAATTGACTCATCTCAAATGGTTTATCCTATTTTTGCAAGTAACAATCAAGTTATTTTTATTCAAGATTTGGGATTTCCTTCAAATGGGAATCAAACACAAATTGGAGATTGATTTATCTTTTGATTCCCATCTATTAGAAACTTCTTTTCGTAATCTTAATAAGGATTCCACCATCCCTTTTAGTCATTCTCAACGCTAAATGTTTTTTTTTCCCCTTTTCGGGGTAAGATTATATAATTTGTTGGTTGACATGGAAAGATTCTATATTGATGACTCAAAGGCATCTCTAACAAGGTGGGGTCCGCATAACGTTCAAGGTTGTTTGCAAGTTTCTTTGTTTATTATTTAAACGTTTAAAATGCAGGTTTAATATTTTTTTTATGTTACATTATTAGAATATATAATTCTCCTATATACACACACAATAAAAATGTGGGTTCCAATTTTTTTTTTCTTTTTAGTGAAACCACATATTTGTTATATGTGTAGGAGAAAAATATCTTCTCACGAAGATATTAAGGATATATTATATATAGCTGTTAATGGTAATAGGGCTGGCTTGAGGCTGTATTGACTTTTTCTACCGGCCATGCCTTACATGTATTAGAAATTAGGTTTAATTATCATAAATTTGAAAATTGGTGAAAAGAGGCGTTGGCGGCACCATAACATGACTTTGAGACGAAGGATTCAACATCTGCACCGTCCATGACGTTGATGCTTGGTCAACAACATTAACGGTCCAGCTCTCTCCTTCTTTTTCGGCTACGTCTTATACATGTCATGGGGGTACCTTCTCCTCCTCTCCATTTCTTTTCAGAAGGCAATTAAATTGCAATACTTGTTAGAGAAATAATTGTCACATATTCTACTATCTTATTTCTGTTACATGAGATAATTATCTAATGCAATATGAGATAAATAAATTCTTAATTGTTATTACCAAAAATAAAATAAAATTGAAGGTTAATTAAATTGCAATACTAGTTTTATATTTAAGATTAGTTGTTATAATTATTAATAAAAAATAGGAAAGTATGTAAGGAGGAATGAGAATAGACATTTTTCTACACACAAATTTTCATGCTAAACAATTGCAGCTACCGATTAACATATCAAGCGCTGAGCCACAGTAAGTCACTGTTGAAAATCTAATCATATAAAAAACCCCTAGACATGGATTTTGGGATTCAAACATGACTGCTTTTTCGGTGCACTGTGCTGATCAGTTGTTACTGTACATTAATGTAAAACCCATTTCGCGTTTTGTTGACATTCCTCGACAAAGAGACATGATGTTTTCTATACATGCCAGCTAAATGGTTGAAAAATTGAGGGTTACTAGGAAAAAGATCTATCGACAACATGGAAAATCTAGCCACGGACGGTACTTTTATTGTCTTTGATGCTCACTTGCTAAAATGGGTGCAGAATCTGCTGTAGTTACTTTTAAACTATTTTTTTTAGGCTTTATGACCCTTAATTAATAATTAATTACCAAATTGCCCTTCATTTAAAATTATTTCAAAAATTTACCCTCCCCAACAAACATAACATCAATCTGCCCATGTTTGACCGTTGACCACGAAGCCTACCCGGGTACACCATTACCTACCCGGGTAATTTTTGAAATTTTTTTATCTACCCAAGTATGTAGGAGTGTACCCGGGTAGAGTTCTTGAATCTGGGAAAATGGTTGAATTATTTACCCGGGTATGGATCAGTGTACCCGGGTAAATCGCGTCCAGAAACCCCAATATGTATGGGTTTCGGCCATTGTTGCGAGGTATAGGGTTTTTGAAACCCCAAATCTCTCTCTCTTACCCTCTCTAATCCGAAACATCACACATATTTCATCTCATCATTTCAGAAAGCTGAATCTTGGTGGGACATTGAGATTACATCTCCACACTCCCATTTTGTGCTCAAAAATCCGAACCAACCTCCAAACCCAAAACCTAGATCTAATTTTTGTGTGAAAGATGAGTTCAAGTCCAAACATGGTTCCTATAGTTATTTACTACAATGGGAGGCATTTTGAAGGTCCGAACGGTGTCCGATTTGAAGGAAAAACAAAAACGATGAAAATCAAAGTGGGCACTACATGCAATGAACTGAAGGGGAGAATTCTTCAAAAAATGGGGTCAGAAGGCATACATTCCATCCACCGCATGATAGCCAGGTTAGAGACTGTAGTGGATATGGATACAATATACTACATTGGAAACGATATAAATGATGATGAAGATGTGGAGTTCGTAACAGATGCCTTTGTTGAATGGAAAGTATTAAAATATATTGAGATATATGTTGAAGTTGATGTTGGACAATCTTCATCTTTACCAGTGCATACAACCACTACTGCACACTGTACCGGTCAAGAAGATACAGTTGTACGATCTTCTGCACCTCCTCAGGTAGCATTGGATGAGGATGAAGAGGATGAAGACGAGGACTATGTGGACAGCGAAGATGAGGGAGAACCTGAAAGTGCTATTCCAGAAGGTGATTCGTCAAACACTGACGTGGACGGTAATTTTGAGGCTGACATGAGCGCCGTAAGTCTCGGTACCCCAGCCTTGTCACCACTTCATGTCGACCCAGTCAGTAGTGGTAAGTTATTAAATTTGAACATTTGCTTTAGACAATTTATTATTTGTGGTGGTATTCATTCAGACAAATGAGAGTTGATCTTTAGATGCAGGGTCTGAGGAGCCATTCTGGAATGAAAGCCAACATTATTCATTCATTAACTGGGCGCACCCTAATGACGAGTTGGAGATCCTATATGGCGATGATGACTTGCACGGAGGTTGGAAGTTAGGAGATCCGTTATTTGTGCAACAAGAATTTGGGTCCAAACCAAAATTGCAACATGCTCTGAAGATACATTGTATGAAGGGGCGCAGGACAGCCATAGTTGAAAAAAGCGACGAGTCAAGATTTGTTATGAAGTGTAAAAATCATGCTGACGGTTGTCCCTGGTATATGAGGGCAATTAAGCCGAAGAAGGGAGCTAATTGGGTGGTCCGTAAATGGGGTCAAGGTCACATATGCCTAAATCAAGGCCTAGCACAGGATCATAGACAGTTGGATTCAAATGTCATTTGTGCGGCTATAATGAGTATGTATTCTACTGTGTATTTAATGATTCAGATTAATTGAGAATATGGTAAAGTTAATTTTTTTTTCCAGATATGTTAAAGGAAGATCCATCCACAAGACCAGCTCTGATACAGGAGAGGATACAGGGAACATATGGATACAACATAACGTACAGGAAGGCCTGGAAGGCAAAAATGAAGGCCATCGTTATGTGGATCATGTTTTCAAAATTCCAACCATTGCTAAAGTATATGTTGCACACTGGTTTCCTATTGGTAATGAATTGTTGATTCCATCCGTTGTTGGGCCTACTGTAATTCCGGATGCTCAGTTGGTACGTGCAAAAGGAAGACCAAAGTCTTCAAGGATTCAGAATGAGATGGATTGGGTCAACCCTCTAGCAGTCGGAGCAGATGTAAGCATTGCAAGCAAGTTGGACATAAAATTCGTACATGTCCATTGAGACTAAGACAAGCATGATTACGTATTGTTTTGTGTAGTACTTTGTTTTGTAATGACAATCACTTTACGTATTGTTTTGTTTCCTTGTACCCTAAACTTTATCTTGTATTAGTTATGTATTGTGTTGTTGAAATGTATTGTTGAACTGTATTCTTGTGTTGTTGAAATGTATCCGTTAAGTTTAGCGAGTCACTCGTTCCGTATTGTGCAATCCGAATGTCTACCATACCCATTTACCCCTTCCCCGAGTCAGTTAAGGTTATTGTATTACACATCAATTACCAAGATGCAAAAAAAATGGATTGAAGAATGTCAAAACCTCCGAGTATGGGCACCGCATCTCCGCCAGGTGAAGTAAATGTGTCTGCTCAAGAAGCGGCACAATGTCAAAACGCTCTAGGTCGAAGAATGCTGAATCCAGTGATTTCGGTTCGCAGATCTTCCGGGTCATGAAAAACTTCACGAACTTCTCGTGTGAAGGTATGTCATCCTCAAACAAATATCCGAACGTCAAGTCCGGAGCCTGACTCGAAGCAGCCTGGGGCTGAGAGGATGACGACCCATCGTGACGACTCTTGGTTCTTCTCTCGAAATGGGTCACTGGCAGCTTTGAAACGCGTCGAGAGGTCATTGTGTCACACTATTAAACTGAAAAAATAACCAAAATCAGAAATTAGATACATGTTAGGGTTAGGGTTAGGGTTAGGGTTAGGGTTAGATTCAGGGTTAGGGTTAGGGTTAGGGTAAGCGTATGACATACAAATTGATAAAATAATTCGGACAGAATCAAATGATATAAACGAAAATACAATGAATCAGAACAGAAATCATAACATAATTGAAAAAACTGAAAAAAAAAATGCACCTTTGATCGATTTCAATTGGTAGAAGGCAGAGAGGTTGCAAGGTCCGCGAATGATGATCAGAAACAAGACGAATTGGTGCAAGATTATGCCTGAAATCACTCCTCCAGCAGCTCTACTCGGGTACCCCTTTTGTGGGTTTTCGAAATGGGGCTGCTGGGGTATTTTAAAACCCTACCGTCGATGTTTACCCGGGTACACTGCTCCATACCCGGGTAAATAATTCAACCATTTTCCCATATTCAAGAACTCTACCCGGGTACACCCCTACATACTCGGGTAGATAAAAAGTTTCAAAAATTACCCGGGTAGGTAATGGTGTACCCGGGTAGGCTTCGTGGTCAACGGTCAAACATGGGCAGATTGGTGTTATGTTTGTTGGGGAGGGTAAATTTTCGAAATAGTTTTGAATGAAGGGCAATTTGGTAATTAATTATTAATTAAGGGTCATAAGGGTCAAAAAGCCATTTTTTTTAAGATATTTCAATTGGTTCATAGCTTCACGATTAGTCTGATTTGAAGCGAATCTCGGGATTAAGATTTTAAACTCTTCTCAAAGACAATACTGAGGAGAATCAAACATATACTCCTACCCCTCCACATGCTCAATTTTCTGATGCCAATTGAACTACCATATTTAGTAATTTTAGACTAAACTTTGGATAGAGGTGGTGAGCTTACTGTCGTCCCTTTCTTTCAAGCTTAGGTTTGACCTACTCTTTACTAATAATTTTCAATTAATTGAATAAAATTTCAATTTAGTCTTAATTTTATTAACATTATTATTGAATCATTTTAATATCATCATCTCCTTTCCCAAAAATTGAATGTGTAATTTCATAGGAAGTTCACTCTAAAACCTAATTCTTAGCTCCTAAACAATATGTTTAATTAACTTCCATTCGTCAATTAGTTGATTTTGGTTGTTTAAGTTACGGATAATGGAGAGAAACACAGAAGAGAAATACATTATACTGAGAGCTCAAAAACAACAAAGAGGATGATGGTGTCGAGTTCAGGGATTTACATATATCGAAGGCAAAATTGTGGTTCTGGATAGAGGCCTCTTTACAAAATAATATTTTAGTTTTTGGATTTTGGTGATCGTTATAGCCTATAGGTAATGAGGTTTGAAATGTTTTGTGGGTCAAGTTCATGGGTCATCGGTAGTAATATTGCAGGGATATGGTGGCTATGGTGATTAGAGCTGTCAAAAAGGGCTCAAGCCCTAGGGCCAGCCCATCAAGCCCTAGGGCCAGCCCATCAAACCCTAGGGCCAGCCCTATAAAATTTTAGCCCTTTATGTAATAGGGTCATTTTAAGCCCATCCTTTTAAAGTCCTTTCATTATAGGGTTAGGTTGGGGCTGGCCCGCGGGCTACAATATTCAACCCAATTTACAACAAAAAAATTTCATCAAAAGTTTTGACGGAAAAAAGAATTCCTTCAAAAAATTTGACGGAATATTTTCCGTCCAAAATCTTCGATGAAAATGTGACCCAATGAAAATTACAACGGAAATATTTTTTTTCAAAATTTTTGAGGGAAATGTATCTGTGAAACTTTCGACGGAATTTAGATTTCGTAAAGATTTTTGACAAAATATTTTTTTTCGTTGAAATTTTTTACAGAAATATTTTGGCTTTTTGACCCTTTTATCCTCCATTAATTAAAAAATAACCATTTTGCCCTTGTTCTGAAACTATATATCATTTTGCCCTTAATTAATCAATTAAAAGGGTCACTTAATCGATTAAGTGTTAAAATAATACAAATAATCGATTATTATATTGGTTTAATCGATTAAGTGTCGACAGTTCAGATCTCTAATAAGTTGGGAGCACATCACAGAATCTTCATCAACCATGATCAATTACTTCGCTCATTGATTCGATTCTTCTTCAATGTAGAGGTTGATTCATCACTACTAGAGAACATCTCACATGAAGAACACACTATCCCATCCAGCATTTGTCATTAAAAAAAAAAAGTGGACATACAGTCAAATCTTTATCTCTGAATAATTATTAGGAAAATAAATGAACCTTCTGCTTGATCTCTCTATGTATTAAAATGGACATTAAACATCTAGGATTATTAGGTAACAAAAGAATAGGATAAAAAAAGAGAAAATAAAGAACAAAAGATTTCTGAAATGGCTGAGCATAAATTTTATCATTATCAAGTTGTAGGGTTTGGGAACGGTGTGGTCCTAAAAATATGAAGGTGGTGATACTGAACCTATTTTGCTTTTCTTGACAGTGCATGCCTCCCTATATGAATAGTTTCTCCTATACTCTTCATCAACACCTGACAAAGGAAAACCATAAAGTTAATAAAGCCGTGCATTTTCCACTGTTAATTTATCATCCCACTCAATCAAACAGAACAAAATAAAATAGAAGTATTTTTTGTATCAAAAGTGTAGAAACCATGGAAGCAGAAAAACAACAAAGGACAGATTTTGTGCTGCAAGTAGCATACCCAGTTGAAACAAAAAAATAAAAAAAAATGTTACGCAAAGACAAACGAGTGGTTGAACTAGAGAAATGTCGTTTTTATTTTTCACATGAAAGCTAAGATTCCCAATCCCAAAACCCCATATTACATTAAAATAATGTGGAAAATGATCAATCACCTCCGCAAAGGACACCATCTGCTTGAAAGTCCTCGACTTTGCTCTTGATATTGAACCACTTCTTGACCAATGATTTGGGCCACGAAAGCTTCACCAAGAAAAAAACAGGGTAAACAATGCCAATCACAAAACACAAACGCAAATGAAATTTGAAGGAAGCTGGCATTTCTCAAACCTTGCTTTTCTTGGAGTTATCATCTCTCATTGTTGGGACAACTTCATATAGCTTTTGCACATCAAAGATAAAAAGAGAGAATAAAATTAACAGATTCCATTACATAGTTTACAAGACAGATGTCTCCACCAAAGAGCATCTCAGGCTAATGTGTCATTTTAATAAAAATCTTCTGTCCACGTGTCACACGCCCTTAACATCCTTCTCCTTAATGTTCATGCACGATATGCATATATCATCAGAGACCCACTTCTCTTCTCTTCATTCATACATCTAAGAAATTTCATAAGCGAGTTCTTATTAAAATTTCTTCTTTTGCACAGCAATTACAGTTGGGTGAGATTTTGTTCAATCAGGGCATAAGATCAATGGGGTCAAGGCAACAATTTAAGGAAGATAGAGTCGAGGCAGCTACAAAGCTTGCTGCTAAAGATATTGGTGATGTGAATAGGCAAAGGGCATGAGGAAGGGTATACGGAAACGAACTTCAAGCAAGCATGAGCTGAGGCAGCTGCGAAACTTGCTCCCAAGGATCTTGAAGACGTTAATAGAACAAAAAACAATGCATTTAATTCCATTGGGTGCTGAAAACTAACAACAACATGATCAATAGAGCCCCGCTGTAAGTGTTTTCTTTTTTTAATTCTATATGGATTCATATGCTCCCAACTTGATTAGAGATCTGAACTGTCGACATTTAATCGATTAAACCAATATAATAATCGATTACTTGTATTATTTTAACACTTAATCGATTGAGTGACCCTTTTAATCGATTAATTAAGGGCAAAATGATGTATAGTTTGGACACAAGGACAAAATGGTTATTTTTTAATTAATAGAGGATAAAAGGGTTAAAAAGTCGAAATATTTTCGTCAAAGTTTTTTACAGAAATAATTTTCGTGGGAAATTTTTAACAAAAATGTGTTCCGTTTAAAATTTTGAAAGAAATATCTTTTATCGAAAATTTTGCCAAAATTTTTTTCGTTAAAATTTTTTGACAGAAATGTGTTCAGTCAAAAATTTTGACGGAAATTTTTTTCGTCAAAAATTTCGACAAAAACTTTTTTCATCCAAAATTTCGACGTAAATTTTTGTGTCAAAAATTTCGACGGAAATTTTTTTGGTCAAAAATTTCAACAAAAACTTTTTTCGTCAAAAATTTGGTTGGAAATTTTTGCGTCAAAAATTTCGACGGAAATTTTTTTCGACGAAAATTTTTTCGTCAAAAATATTTACAGAATTTAGATTCTGTAAAGAATTTTGACGAATTTTTTTTTTTGTCAATTTTTTTACAGAAACGTTTTCTGTCAAAACTTTTTACGAAAAAATTTCTATGCAATAATTTTTTTAAAAAGTGACAATTTTCTAAAAATTATTTTTTTATATTTTTTCTAATAATTTCTATGCATCATTTTATTATAAATATTTTTTTTAAAAAATACATATTATTTTTTTAGAAGGCCCGTGGGCTGGCCCTAACCCATAGGGCTTTGGCCCGTGTGGATCTATATCATTGTGGCCTTTTTGGCTCTGCGAGCTTTTTGACCCTAACCCACTTGGGCTAGGGCTAAATGGGCCGGGCTGGCCCGTTTTGACAGCTCTAATGGTGATTTATGGTTTTATGCTATTCTTGATTGAGCGAGGGAATGCAATAATGTTGAATATTTTGATTTTTGGAAATGATGCATAAGTAATGGTCAAAGTATGGTTAGAAAGTATTAGACAGATTTTTATATGATTGGTTTATTTCTGAAACTCAAAAACCTTTAACATGGATTTTTTGGGAAACGCTGCATTTTCTCCACAATAATATTAGAGAATTATGCTTAAACTTTTGCATATGAAAAGCCTAGTTTCTAAGTTCGTTCCTAAAGTTTGCTTTATTTATTTATATTTTTTGGTGGATAAAGTTTTCTTTATTTATTATTTTGTTTTTGTTGCAAATTAATCTCACATAAAGACGTTGAATCTGTATAACACTCTTATGTTAATAAAGTTAACGTTAATGATATAAACAACACTTAAATGATTTAATAATGCTCAAAACAAAATTAAAACCAAAATACATTTGAAACTAAATTAAAAACTTGGAAAACGACGAAAATAAAGATTGGACCTTTAAGCAGCCATTTTTAAACTTGACTTAGTTTTTGTCTACAGCTCTATTTTCATGTTTGTCAGATTGGGCACTTCGTACATTATGAAATTGTAGCAACTCTATATAAAATGAAAAAATTAAGGAAAATGCGAAGATGAAAACAAATATCATAAGCGTATTTTTGTTGTTAATCAGTCAATAAATTGAATTGGGAATAATCACTAATCTAGTTAACGTTTCTTTGGGTTGGTAGTAAAATGATAGATACACAGATTTCTCCTGCTTGCCACCTGAATTTGTTCAATATGCGATGTTAGGCAAGGTCAAAATAAAGGAATAATCAAAACTACATGATTTCTGCCTGAGGGAACAAAGGAACTATGATATTACAATTAAAGTAAAACAATACAATTGTCAGGCCTATGTAGCTCTTACAAGTTAGCCATCAACATGGCTCGAATTTTGGCTCTCAGCTCATCAGAAACATTGGTTGTTTCAGGTGATTGAGATGGTGGTGACCTTGCATGGTGATCCGACTTGGATAATCCGGCAGAAGCCTCTCTGCTAGCACGGCCAACCTCACTCATTTTTGGCTTATCTGATTTCATACTTATCTCCCCCTCCTCCAAGTCTGTTTCTCTTTCAGCATGATATCTGCTCTTATGTTTTACATTTCTGCTTCGGTGCCAATGCTCATCATCAGATGAGGTATGATGTTTATGTGAATGTCGAGAATGTCTATGCTCATTATCTGACATACTATTCTCTCTATGTCGTCGTCGAGAAGAGTGATGCTTTTCATCAGAGGAACTATCGTATTTACGATGATGCCTTGAATGTTGATGCTCATAGTCGGAGGAGCTGTCATGCTTAGTCCCCTTGTCTTTGGAGGAGGAATGTCTTCTCTTGTGCTTATGCCTGTCCCGACTGCTGTGTGAAGATCGATGCTTTTTTCTGGATCGTTTGTGATCCCTTTTATCTTCTCTAATTTCTTCCTCCTCCTCCTCCTCCTCTTCTTCTTCCTCTTGCTCATGTTTACTAGATCTTGAGCGGTACCTTCGTTTTGATCGCCGTTCATTATTATCAACATTAAGCTTCTCCTCAGACTTGTGACTTTTATCTGAATTATCAACAGAAAGCTTATCCTCAGACTTTTGACTTTTATCTGAATCATCAACATTGAATGGAACAGAACTTCCTTCCCTTTCTTTACCCAAAAGATTCCCAATCTCAGCATCTGAACCTGAAAGTCCAGAGCCTGGTGGCTCAGCTGATAAACCTCGTGGCAGTTCACTTTTAAATGCTCCGACCCCACTTTTTATCATGGCTGCAAACAACTTTGCTCGTTTCAATCTCTCTGCCTTAAGCTTCTGCTCTTTAGTCATATGTGCTTCAGAGGAGTCCGCCTCACCTGCTGCTGCAATAGCTACTTTTTCTGCAATAGCTTTTGCAACAGGAACAGAAGCCCTAGCCTCTGCATTAAGATTTGGATTTTCCACAAAACCCTGCAGTTGAGATGAATACAGACTCCCAGAGTTGGACATATACCCACCATCACTTCCAATGCCTTGACCACAACCACTTGATGTCTTCGTAAAAACTTCTAAATTAGGATTTTTGATACCCCTAGTGGCAGCCTGAAGAATAACCGCTGCTGCCGCTGCATCCATGCCAACTGTGTTATGAGTTTGACTGTCTTTGGGATTTGAATCTTGACCATCCTTCTTTGACTTGCCAATAATCATCTTGAATTTCTCTTTCCGGTCCATATCATTGGGTAGATCAGAACCCATAGATCCAAATGAAAGATTGTCGCTTTCTTCATATACAGTGGTATTATTGTCCCCTGCACGTCCCCCTGACTTGTGTTTCTGGAAGCCCTTGCCTGGTAACTTAGACTGTAAGTAATTGGATAGACCAGTCAGTTGCAGCTCAAACTCAAACTCAAACTCAAACTTTACAATACGTTGAAATTAATAAGATGAACGTGTCCCAAAAAATTCAAGGAATAGACTCGCTGCACAAAATGCCTCCAGAACTCAATAAGATAATTACTAAAATTTGAATTTAATGCAGAAGGAAAATCCTTGAAAGGCAAAGATTAATAGCAATAACCATGACTGCTTTGAAGATTCGTAATTTATCACAATCAAACAGCAACAAATCATACATGCAATAATGTAAATATAAAGATATACAAACATACATGCCACATTCCCACAAATTTGCATAACAGACAAACACAAATATAAACTAATGACTAATGAGAATAACCAATATTAGGGCACTGCTGATAAGCTAGTGGCTGATGATGTCTGTCAATTAAATTATGTTTTTGCTTTAGAGGGAAGGGACAGGATAGGAGCCATTCTTAAGGTAGTAAAAAGCAACTAATTTCTCACTTCTCAGGGCATGATTAGAATCACATAAAACAGATAAAAAGTTCGCAGAAAAACTTGATTCTGAGAAACACACCTCTTCAGCAGTTTGAAGAGCTTTCAGATAGTACGTATGGTATCGATTAGATGGCAGAAGAAATGGGAACCTTCCATGAGCACGATCCTGTTCAGCAAGAACAGCCTCAAGTTGCTTGCCATTTTTTAAGATGAACTCAACTATCTTCTCAATAACTCTCTTTAAGTCAGACGGAGGTTCAACAACAGGTAGTTCAATCTTAGCTGCACTGGGGACAGAAGTTTGTGACTTGCCCACCGCATTAGACACTGAATCCAAGGCATCAACTGTTTTTGCCCTAGCTGCAGTTGCTGTCTTAACAGTGCTTATAGAATGATTCCGCTTTATGACAGGAACTTTTTCTTTCAAAGAGGATACTGAATTTTTAGAAATGCTTCCATCCTTCTTGGCAGCATCTGAAGAAGATTCTGCCTGTTCTGTTCCTGTAGAAGCATAAGTACTAACAGCATCAACAGCTCCCTCACATTTGTTTCTATCAAAGTCAAAGGTATTCTCAGTTGTACCATCCTCCTCCTCCCCCGATCCATACACAGATCCAAGCAAAGACAATGCACCACCTGTTTGATCAAGCCCCTGACTTCTATTCTTCTCCACAGTTGAGTTGCCATCATCTTTTTCAACTTTCAGAAGTTCTTGATGATCAACAAGAAACCTAAAATACACATGAAGATGATGATTGGGCATAAGGAACCCAAATGCTGGATTATCTCCTTGTTTCACCCTCAGAATAATTTCTGACTGGCTTCCATGTTTGCTGACAAACATTGCAGTTCTTGCAATAATCTGATGTACCTTCTCATTTGGAGGCTGCAAAAACAAACAAAGAAGGTTTCGTCGTCACTAAATGTGAATTTTGAATTTAACATAATTATAAAATCAGAAAGGGTCTTGCCAGGCAGAATATATAGATTCATAAATATCTTACTAAACAAACACAAGAAAACCTCACATATACTTGAATAATCATTATGATCAAGAAACAGAACTTTATGGAGATATGTTTCATCACATTTGCTCTCAAGAGGTAAAGAATCAACAAATTTCTATCATCCTAATCCCACCTGCACGGCCCCTTCTCATGACATCAAAAGGAAACAAGGTGCCTGTGAATGGGCTACCTTGAGTCACAAGAACTCCAAATATGCTCCGAGCATCTGAAACTTAGACATCATAAGCCTTAGAATAACATATGTACCCTATACAATTATCACCTAATCACATGGGTCAAACATGAAAGGTCAATTAAATGTTTAACATGTGAAAATCGCATGCTGAAAATAAATGTTAAGACTGAGGTTACTCACCAGGTTATGGAGTAAGCTTTCTGGTACTGGGAAGTTAGGACGAAAACCAGACTCTGTATCATTGTCCTTTGTCTCAGTGGACCCATTATAATTTTCATACGAAAAGGCAACAGCATTATAGCCAGCCGAATTCACTGGATCTGAACCATTGTCTATGCAAAGACAGAAAGGTAACACCCATCATCAGAATCACATATAATTCTCCATTGCAACAATATCGTACACCTAAAACGGTAATGGCACTCACACAGATGAAACTAAACATAAGTGTAAGCCAGGTGAAAACATCCTTACTTGTATTCTGACACAGGAACCGTAGCAAATTACATTCCATCCTGCAAATGTGGAGATTGTTGTTGCACAAACAAAAAGCACTCAACATAGTCTAACATGAAAGTTGGGGAAAAAAAAAAGTTGTTCCAAAATCCATTGAAAAAACATTTTCTGACTTGATAGACATTAGCCTACAATACACCATCACCTAGTTGCCTCAACTAAGTGTCATAAATAAACCAAAATATATCAATGTGTCCAAAAGATAAGAACAAGTTGAACAAACTTTGTTAACCTTATTCGTTTGAAGTTTATTTTAGAGACATATTAGAGAATTAAATGTGTTTCATCAAAAGCCTTCACTCTATACATAAAACATAATATTTTACAAAAGTATTCAGTATAAGAATAAAGAGAATAAATTCAAGATTATTATATAGACCAGAATATGACCAAAGCAAACCTTTCATCATGTAAGGACACATTCTAGCTAAAAACCATAAAGAAACAACATTAGCAACAAAAACCGTGCCTTCCAGCTAGGTGGAATAAGCTGCGCAGATCAATTGACACCGTTAAGCTCTTTCAAAAACCAAAATTTCAGTAAAATCATTTAAAGGTTTTTTTTCTTAAAGTTTTCTTACAACTTCCTCTACCCTTATTAATCAGACTATCTTCCATTTGATTGCATTGTTCTCAGTGTAGCCTCTATTAGACTACAATTAACCTTCAACTCTCACAAAATTTTCCAAACTTTCTCCTGGGAGCAACATAAAACAAGACCCAATAATCACCTTGCTGAAACAAAAATCATTAATCAAACTTCCCATCTCTTCTCGTTTGGAAAACATAAGTAAGCTCCGTCCAATCAACAACCAATACAATCCCATCAAGCAATTATAGTTAAAAAAGAAAATTACTTTGGGGAAATAAACCATAACAGAATTAAAACATGAAAATAGAAAGGGAAGGAAATAAAAAGAAAAAGCGATTATATATAATAGGTTACCTTGTGGTTGTTCGTCAGATGATGATGAAGGGAGATCGAGATAGCGTTGGTAATCAAGGTCAGCTTCGAGAGAAGGAGAAGTGTGATGAAGAGGACGGCGCTTTAGGCGGGGAGGAAGGGGACCAGGGAGAAGGTGGCGAACATCGTAGCGATCGATGGAGAGAGAGTTCCACTCCACCAGAGCTTCCGCTGAGTTCACGAACGCCGCCATGCCATCGTCATCGAACAGCATCGCATGCCGGCCAACCACCTCCAGATCCATCGATTCTCGACCCTCAGATTCGTTGATGATTAAAACCCACCAATTGATGGATCACAAACACATATATACATACACACACAGTCTCTCTCTCTCTCTCTCTCTCTCTCTAATAATGATGAACGGGATTGTGTTTGCTGAAATAAATGTAAGTTGATTTTGATGTCCAATTTTAGGATGGTTTTATCTCTGATTCTCGGACTGTACCCTACCTGTAAGGGCTAGGCCCACATTTCTGATCGAACTTTGGGCCTTTTGGCCCATTCGTTCTGCAACTCTGAAAATAATAATAATTGGTTTAGCTTCCTAGATTATAATAAGTTACACTTTGAAAGTCTTATTTCAATTTTTTTTTTAAAAATAACACTATATCATATCTTTTTTAAGTTACATATTTTAGATCAACTGATCAAGTTATAAAATTTATAAACCCATGAATTTTACATACTTTTATTATTCAATTTATAATTTCAAAATATAATGATTTTTTAAGGGAATACCAAAATAAACCTCAACTTTATAATCTCCCTACTTTTCATTTCAAAGATATATCTCTTCTGACTTTCAAATTAATTTAGTCAAGATGCAATTAATGTTGATGTGATAATTTTATAAAAAGGAATTTACTATAGTATTTTCTCTAAAAAATAAAATACCATTCAACCTTTTTAAAAACTATAAACTTTATGTTAAATATTATAAATTAAATGATAAAACTTACAAACTAGGTAATAAAAGCTATAAACTAATAAAGTTATAGCCTCTTTTTTTTAACTTAATTTGAAATTAAAAAAAAATGATAAATACTCCTTATTTTTTTTAAGGAATACCGGAGTAAACAACATAAAGGATATAACTCCCCTGCTTTAATGCATGAGCCAGAAAGAGAAAAGGTGGTGTTTATCCGTTGAATTATTAAACAGATGAACTCATCTTGGGTGGGTATAACGTATGTGCAAGGATCCCACTCCCACCTATATGATTTAGGCGATTCTCCATTTGGAACTGGAATGGAAAAGTTGAATTTCAAGCAATGTCTAGGGATTGCATGCAACGCCATTATTAACTGCATTTTGACACGGTGATGGTTGTCTAATAAGATAATAATCCAAATATCATAATTCGAGAGTCCTACAGACGAATTATGTTTTTGGCAATGAATTATAGCCCAGACTTATATAATTTGTGCCACAAATTGAGGTTTTATCCACACAGTACCACACTACCATGTTGCTTTGACTGTAATAAAGCAACTGACATTGAGCCTAAATTGAACATAAAATTTAGGAACAAAATCGAATCAAAACACAAAAAATAAATAAACTATTTTTAGATAAATAATAAACTTAAAACAAAGAAAAAACCCTCCTTAAAAAGGAAAAAAGAAAAGAAAGGAAAGATAAGGTTACAATATATGTCACAAGTGACCTATCAACCTAGACGAACACAAATCAGGCAGATGTAAACAACATAAACCCTTCAAAATTTGGCGATTGCTTGTTTACAAGTTGAATGGTTGACTGGAGGTATCTGTCTTGGGCACTCAAACATGACTTAGCAGTTTCAATCAGTGTAAGGCAAATAGATGATAATTCATTGCTTACCTGCCCACCAAGAAACAAACCGTGATTAGAAGGCTGCAGTAGAATTCTGTACAAAATTCAAATAAAACTCTCCAAGTTCCAAGCAGCCAAATTCATTTTGAATTTGCGATTACAACAGAATAAGTATGCTGACTTCAACCTGGATTGAACCCTAACGGAATAGTAGCTGAATTATGCTACAAAAGAACGAAAAGCTTTAAAAAAGAAAATGATACGTATCTCTCTAGAACATCAGCATAGGATTAGGGACGCAGCTTCTCCAAAGGGGATCATAGTATAAGAAACATGCATATTCTGAAGTTTTTCTTTTCATTCAAATTTGCAGAATTTGTAATAAAAAATTTCTAATTAGAGAACTATTAAACGATTACCCCAAATGGGATTAGTCTCACACCCAAAGGGTTGGGGATACCCAGGCAATGAACACAAAAATAATTTTGTACCAGCAGCGGTTAATGGATTAACTGCCTGTTGATTTAACTACCCATTTGTCTGGTTAGTTATCCTAAGAGTTCAAACAGTTATACAACAGCCTACCATGAAAGATGATGCTATGCAGTTGCATGCTTCAAGTGCCATAATTCCTCGAGCAGCCTTCATTTTAGAATAATAAATCAGTACCAATTATAATTAGTCAAATAAATCAAACAATATTGATTAAACCAAAATGACGATACCTGGGAAGGTTCTTGTTGAACGGCACTAAGCAGGTTCTCCAGAACAAGCTTGGACAAAGAAACAAGTTCTTGCTTGTAAGATGAATCCTCATAGTATAACATGTCATTGCCTGGAATCTGGAAAGGAAAAAAAAAATTGCTTGGGGAATTAAGATACGTAACCATAAACCATAACTGGTCAGGAAGACTCAATTACAAAACCATAAACCATTGCACTCATTACAGCCAGCGCAAGTATGTAAGAAACAGACAGAAACTAAAGCAGAATCTTGGTTAGAAACAGCTTGTCAGAAGTTCAGAACTAATATCTCAAATGGCGTTATAGTGGAATGAGGGATTATGGCTTTGCCGGACCACTAGTGATCTTCATGTCAAATATGATTGAATATAGGTGTGACAATAAAATAGTTTCAACTCCCCACCATCTGCTCCTGCAGGTCGTGTTCAAAGGAAAAGAAAGGCCGTGTGATTCATTATTGGTTAGTTCACTAGGTAAGATCAGTGCATGAGCAGACATTTCTGAACTTTGTTAAGAAGATTGGCTCAGAATAGTTATACTACATAAGCTAACCATAGACTAGTAAATGACACTTATGCCCATTACTTATGGCTACACAACAAGAAAGTAACAAGACTTATCAAAATAATCTGTAACAAACTTCAACATTCTGTGTTGAGATATATAGTCTCACATTGATTGTGTGGGCAACTAATGTGGCCTTTATAAGGCCTTGGGCACTCCCACCCTTTGAGCTAGCTTTTAGGGTGATGTATCCCAAGGTTCTTAACATGGTATCAGAGCCTCACCGTCCCCGCTTTAAAGTGGAATTAAAATAAAAAGCACAAAAAGGTAAACCAAAAATTGGGCCTGTGCAATTCCACGCTTCTAGCCCAAAGGGCTCTTGCGTGAGGGGGCGTGTTGAGATATATAGTCCCACATTGATTGTGTGGGCAACTAATGTGGCCTTTATAAGGCCTTGGGCACTCCTACCCTTTGAGCTAGCTTTTGGGGTGGTGTATCCCAAGGTTCTTAACATTCTGTTTAGTCCAATTTGGAATGGAGGAGGGGATATTATGTCACTTTTATTCCATTAATGTAATCATATATTAAAGGTTCATTTTAATCACAATGAAAAAACAACGAAAGGCAAAGCTATACCTGTGTATTTGCATGATATGGCAGAGTCTTTTGTGATAAAGTTGTTAATAATAATATGATAGCAGAAAAAATCTTTGTCCTCATTTTCGGTTCAAACCTGCCAGAGTTTTTCGATTCATTCATCAAAGAGGTTAAAATAACAAGGGAAGTATTCTCAAGAAAAAAAAAACAAATAGAGGTTTCAATCATGATATATACCAAAGAAAACTTACCATGATTGGGAGCAGGTCAATGTAAATAAGTTATTTGGGAAATAGGTCACTGGTAGATTAATATTACCTTCAATAAAGTTGAAGAAAATCATATTAAATACACACATACAAGGAAGGATTAAAAAGGAAACCAGATCTCAAGACCTAGAAAATAGAACTCTATTAAAAATAATAATAGGGGACAGTTCCCTTAATAAAGAGATTTTGAAGTTTCTATGTAAATCAAAGTGAAAATGAAATAATATTGACAACCTGGAACCACAATTAAGAAGCCACATAGCTTTCTAATGGATGAAATTAGTCCTTCAACATCAGCAGGAGTTTGAAAGCCTACAACATCAAGCAAATCAACAGTAAATTACATTTAGATTTTAAAATGCTATCTGTAGTACAGACAATAAACATTCTATTAGAAAGCAGTCATGGTGGCACAATCAATGTACTTTAACAGCAGTACTGTAAAACTAAAACATGCTGATACAAGCAGCCAGAAGACAGGAGTATGATGCTCAATAAAACCCCTTTTGGAAAAAATAGTGGATTAGTCTTAATCTATAAGCATTGAATGTTATTTTGGTTATTTCTGAGAGGGTACGTATATTCAGGAAAAAGTTGGTCTTGTTTGATCATATTTTCTTTAACAGCCTAGGATAATTACAATAGGGAAAATTACCTTAAAGTTCGGCTCACCAAAAAGCTTTCCATTTCTGTTTATGTAACTTTATCAACCAAATGATAACATAATCCGACATAAAAATATAAACGTAATTTATCTATTTCAGTTCGTACAGTGATTGTTACTTGGCTAATCTGTTCATTGCTTAATTTAACCAATAACTACCTATATTCTGATACATCAGTTTATTGTTTAATTATATTAGATTGTTAATTGGTTAATCAATATATTAACTGAAATGGACAACATTTTCATAAGTTGAACCAATGGATCATTTTCCAATTACATTATGAAATGGAAGTACAGACCATGTATATAAATAGGTTCAACATTTTATTGGAAACTAAATTGTAGAATATAGCAGTTTCCAAGTTAGCTTTTAAGCTATATATGTTATTGGAAGCCCCAATCCTTGTCTGGGTTTTGGGAATTTGAAAAGATTTACCAAGTTCATACAAATCTGTTAACATGCAATGCCTTTCAAATCATTAAATAACAGACCTAGGAGATATAAGAAAGTTATGATGTACAAGTTATTGAATTTTCCTCATCATGAATCGACCATCTCAAAAGTTAAAACTGTTGGGCAAAAGCACATGAATGATTTTATATCTAACACACCCCTCACACAAGTTCATTGCACTTGAAGTACAAATAATGCCCAGACCCACCTACCTAATGCTAAAATCCAACCTTTTTAATTAGAAGAATACAGGCAAAAAGGACAGGACTCGATCATTCGGTCATGAAGGCGCTAATACCGTATCATGAACCAAGGATACAAAAAAGCTCAAGCTGTTAGGTTAAAATAATACATAAACGGTTTTATATCTAACACTTCTCCACTACAAGCGAGTTACAAAAAGATATAGTTTGGGCAATATAAACAAGTTTTGGATGTGATAGCTGTTCTCAAAACCTTTTAAGAGGCAGAGTATGATAACGGTACATAGAAAATCAGCATCAAATAAATTCCCACAAAATAAACATGCCACAACTAACAAATGACTAGCATTCAATTTCAAACATTGGTTCACAATGGTTCAACAACTGCTTTACATAAAAACTAACCATCCATTATGTCTAAGGTATGCAAACAGCCGATTGCTGAATCAATCAATCCATCAGAATGAGAAACCAAGCCCCCTAAGAATGCAACCTGAAAATTCCAACTATGAGCCATGAACATATAAATGTAGCAAAAATACATGCAACTTTAATGTGCCAAAACCTGACATACCTACCTCTGCAGTCTCTAGAAAAAGATCAAATTGTCTCTGAGCAGAAATAGAAGGTATTGTCACTTCGCTAAATGTGATGCAGGATTTGACAAAACTCAGATGTGTATTAGCACATTTCAAAGCTTGAATTGCTAAAGAATTGCTGGAGTGAACAACTGTTTCCTGCAAAAATACATGATTACCATATCACTATTAAGTTTACCTGGGCTTTTTGCAAACAAAGCATTGCCAATATAAACAATTTTTTACCATCAGTCTTTATATTTGTGAGAGCATGTCTGGTACACAGAATTGTTTTTGTTAGAGATGTTCTACACGTGTGCTAGTTGTATCTAGTTATAGATTGCTTCATGTCTGGTACAGAATTGTTTTTGTTAGAGATGTTCTACACGTGTGCTAGTTGTATCTAGTTATAGATTGCTTCGGTTTCTAACAACAGAATTAGTTAGTATTAGTAAGTTCGACTAGTATCAGAGTCTGTTGAAACAGAATTGTAACTAACTTAGGATTCAGTTAAGACAGTTGTTTCCATCTGTTCTTAACCAACTCTATAAATATAAGACCTCATCACAGAGTTCATTAGACGAATAAAATTACACAAATTTACAGAGAACACTCTCTGCATTTCTCTCTGCACTTTATCATTTTATTTCCCTTTCCTGCACTTTTCTTCACTTTGGCACTAAAACATAAAAGTTGATAGTTTCCAAGGAACTGGATGAAAAATGGAGTGGGTTTGAACGAAATGACTATTCTTATTGCAGTTTTTGGTTGTCAGGAATGGAATGGCATAGTGGATTGGAATGAAATGACCATTCCTATTCCAGTGTTTGGTTACATCAGGAATAGAATGGCACTTTACTCCATTTCATTTTGATGTCTGAAACATGAAATTAGATTGTAACTATAATAGCGTGAGGTATGAAGTTTCGCATCGTTAAATTATTTTTATGTAATTGTTATAGTCAGTCTATATAATAGAGTCTCTATTGTGCTATTGAGACACATGGATTTCAACATATGCCTCTCTTTCCTAGTTATTCTACACAGTATTACAGCCAGGTTTATGAGGCAATTCTGCTTTGTGTCTTGGGGGGAAGTACTGTCCACCAGTGATATAATCCATCCACAAATTGCATTGTCACTCCAGTTTCCGATGTCTCTTGTTGTGAAGTCCCTACGGCCACCATCAAAATTTTCTGATGAGATTTCTGGTTCTTTTTAAATGCTGGCATCGCATTGAGGAGGAGAAATTAATCCCAGTTGCAATCTGGCCTCGTCAGACTTTGTCCCAATTGCAATTTTGCCTCATCGGATTTAATCACAGTTGCAGTCTTGCTCCGTCGGATGTTGTCCTAGTGGCAGCCTGGTCTTATCAGTCCTTGTCCCAATTGCAGTTCAGCCCTGTCAGTCTTTGTCCCAAATATGCAGATTGACCCGTTAGTATTTGTCCCAGATATACAGTCTTGCCCTGTCTGTCTTTGTCCCAGTTATGTAGTCAGTCCTGGCCCGCTCTTTCTCGACAAATATACTGTTGGTTGTTTGTCATTTTTAAGGATTTATTTGTAACAAGCTTAAAGCTCAGTAAGCTTTAGCTTAACGGAGAGTGATGAAAATATTATAATAGGCTGATAATACAGGGATAAAGTCCCATATCATTACTTTATTGTCATGTATTTATTATAGTCAATCTATATAATAGAGCTTCTGCTATGCTATTGAGACACACGGATTTCAAATATGCCCCTTGCTTCCTGGTCGTTATTCAACAGTAACTAAATGAAGATAAGAAAATGAAAAAATTAAACCATTTCTAATTGCTAGAAATCACCATTCCCACCACCTAAGGAGGGTATGGTTGTTTTGTCTCTCTGGAATCAAAGCACAGAATACAGTTGTCATTTCAAATATTTTTTTTGCAGCATACATAGGAACGTTCACTCTTATGGAATGGATGCAAGATTGAGGTGGTCATCTACACAACCAACTGTGCTATAGAAGTATCAAAATAGTTGGTGGTATAACAATGTCTCAATGCAAATATTGGAAAACATTTGGTAACATGCGTTGTTTTTATTTTCTTATACAAAGGTAATAGCAAGGTAGGGTAAGTTGAAAAGTTCACTAAAACTTTTTTTAAATATTAAAACAGTTACAGACAAATAAGAACACAACCAAATACAAAACTTTCCTGACTAAATGATTAATCACTTAACAGCATTGACCTCAGTAGGGACCTTAAAATCAGTATAACTTACTTTTAAGAAATACATATTGAGCTAAGCACCCGATTTAATGATATGGTCTCTCGTAACCCGACCGTCTAAATCCTCAATTTTATTACAAAGAAATATGCATACACACTGAACATAACTACTGGCTGCTATTTAAAATACAATAACAAAACATGAAATAGGTAAAGATTAAATTTTCAATGGCCAGTGGGCAAATCTAACAGGATTACTGGGCCAGCTTGGCCTTAACTTCTTTCCTAGGTGATCACAGATCATATATTCTCAGCTATATCTTAAACTGGACATGCAAGTAATAAAGCAATTTTTTCCACTGATAAATACTTCCTTGCAACCCTAAACTTCAGCATTTTCAATGTTATAGGACAATATCAAATGAGATTTGCAATTCTTTTTTGGTTAATACACTTTAAATCAATCACCGACCCCAACTAGATTGGGTTAAATGTGTTGTTGATGTTGACTTTATCATCAATCAACTGAAAGAAAAATAACTACAAACCTTAAGCTCATTTAATTTACCAAAAGCTCCGCGGCAATCAACCAGAAATGCTAAATAGCGATCCATCTCTGCTCCATATTCTACCTAGTGGTTAGAAGCAAATAAGTGTCAACAAATCATAATTATGGCAAACACATTACCACAACTAAAGAAAGTTTGAATATAGGTGTTAGAGAAATATAATATAAAACCATCTATAGGTTAAACTTTTGGATTGAAATGGTTCTTTACATGGTATCAGAGCTTCCACGGCCAAGTGATCACAAGTTCAATCCTCACCGCTCCCATTCTATTGATAAATAATTAAATATTATGGAGTTTCTTAGCACGGGTAAGTGGATTCTGTACATTGACGACCCCTCAAACCCAATAAACTCTTATATGAGGGGACGTGTTAGAGAAATATAATATAAAATCATTAATATGGCCTTCACCTAACAATTTAAGTTTTTGGGCTGAAATGGTTCTTTATAATAGGAAAATATTATCCAAAGGAACAAGTTACCATGTCCACAAAGTGAGATATTGAATGTGCCACTTGACAATCATCATCTTTCACATTCATAAATTCCATATTGTCATGCAAAATCCGAGAAATTTCAAAAAGCAACTGTATACTCGTCGGATCGCTAACTTGACCATTCCTGCTTAACAAACAATAGAATATAACTCATTGAGTAATGAAATGAATACTTGAAACATTATATTCACCAACCAAAAGATAGAATAAGAGTTGCAGGCAGCAAAAATATCAAGAAAGAAAATATTTGAAAATGCAAAATAAAAAAGAAAAATATGTAAACACGGTTGAGTTTTGATTAAGGATCCAGATGTGATATCCCATGTAACTTTTTTAAGATTAAAAAATCCCATTGATTTCAATTGGGTAAGAATGACCTTATCTAATGTTAAACAGGCTGACTTGATGCCTTAGCCTTACAACAGTTCCTAATTTAAGAAAATAGAAGCTCGAGTAAGGTTTATTTTTGAAAATTATATCTAATATAGTAGATTTGGGAGTAAGTCCTTATAAATCATCTAAGCAAACTTAAGGTTAGTCCAGCTAATCTAAAGCAGCTTTAATGTTCAAGTACAGGGGACCAAGGAGTCATAAGAAACATGGTAATTAGTATCATACCATACGTGATACAAATCGATACAGAACAAACACAAATGGATCGAACTCATGAGTCGGAGCAGACCATGAATCGCTCCTTGAATCGTGTAATCACACGATTCAGTTCTGTATTACGAATTGTATCAGGATTTACGATTCAAAATCTGATCTGATTTTGGAAGAAAAAAGATCAAGAAGCCCGGATTCAAATTAATCTGGAAAGTCATTTAAGATTAGGGATTTCCCAAAATCCCAATTCCCAACTAAACCCAAATTAAAAAGATTCCAATTCGATTTCTTTATCTTTCTCGTCTTGACTAAGGAACATTCACTCTTGATTCTTCTTAATTCTTTCTTTCTCTTCCAAATCTTGTGATTCATGATTCACCATACAAAATAGCAGAACGATTCACGATATGTATTGCGATTCAATAACCTTAGTAAGATATAAAAGGCTATATGGAATTGTACTATGTTAGCAGCAATTTGGGGCATTTAGATGGAGCCTAATGCTAAAATTTATCAAGAAATATTTGCCTCTTTCATGGGCTAAGGTGGATTTCTTGGTCCCTTTGCACAAAGGCCAATGGTCATTTTCAGTAGGTGCCATCATTATCTAATATGCATAGGATTTAGAGTGCTTTATTCCTTTGATGATAACATCTTCATCCACTACAGTTATTTTTAATTTTTTTTCTTTCTATTTTTCCTCTTTCAAGAAAAAAGGAAATGAAATTCAGAGGCATTTTGACCACTATAGCCCTTATTTAATAATTAATTACCAAATTGACCTTGATTATAAACTATTTCAAAATTTTAACCTCTTCAGAAAACATAACACCAATTTGCCCCTGTTTGACCGTTGACCGACCATCAAGCCTACCCGGGTAACCCCCTCCCTACCCGGGTATTTTTTGAAAAAATTCCCCTACCCGGGTAGTCAAGAGGATACCCGGTATATTTTAAAATTCTGGAAAAATGTTTGAATTATTTACCCGGGTAGGGAGGGAGCTACCCGGGTAAATAATCACGCCCCTCGGAGAAAGAGTGCACAATAACAGTGAGTTATAGTATAGAGGTTAAAAATATCACTATTCGTGAACAAAAAAAATGGCATCCAAAAAAATATATAGCAGGTTTCAAGTTGCAACCACATCCATCCACAGCTAAAAGGATAGAGGTAACAGACACCAATGAGTTAGGAACATTAGGTTTAGAATTAGGTCAGGCAACACAGAAGCTTTAACTCGGGAAAAGAAAATTTAAAAGAGGAATCGTTGAGCTCATGTGGACTGAACTGGACAAAGTACCCAGATAAGACCACTAAAGTATTTTGAGTAATGTTGTGTGAACATTAAATCTTATCAGGCCACTTTCCCGCATAAAAATTGGTTTCCATGAAGGAACCAAACATGTAGTTGCCATCGCAGAAAACTACACCATTGTGAATTGGAATGGTTTAAACATGACACCAAATCTTTAATGTGTGAAAATAATTACTGAATATTTCGTCATCCAAGTTCTATCCATATTAGGACCATCACAATTCAATTAATTTAAGATGAATTAATGACATCAGAAACTAAAGTTAATCAAGATGCAGACAATCATGCCATTGCCTTTGAAGAAACGCTACATAAAATAATGAAGAGAATAAGTATTTAATTCAGATACATAAATGGTGCATAGATAATAGTCACTGACATTTTATTACAGTAGATCAAACAAGTTTCACAAATTACACGAGCAGAAAGAAAGAAACACGGACAAATAATTTACAGCCACAAGGGTCTTTGTCGAGAAAAACTGACTTGCAGCTGACCACGTCTCACAAGTCACTACTGAAACAGCCTCAGTAAAGTTTTGCCTCCCTGAATTATTTACCCGGGTAGCTCCCTCCCTACCCGGGTAAATAATTCAAATATTTTTTCAGAATTTTGAAATATACCCGGGTATTCCCTTGACTATCCGGGTAGGGAAAATTTTTCAAAAAATACCTGGGTAGAGAGGGGGCTACCCGGGTAGGCTTGATGGTCAACGGTCAAACAAGGGCAGATTGGTGTTATGTTTTCTGGAGAGGTTAAATTTTTGAAATAGTTTATAATCAAGGTCAATTTGGTAATTAATTATTAAATAAGGACTACAATGGTCAAAAAGCCGAAATTCAGATGTATAGGAGTAGGACCTTGTAATTATGCAAGAGGTGATTGAGAGATAATTCAACAGCAGTGCATCACAATTTAAAAAGCAAATTGCATTTTGAAATTGCCACCGCAGCAAAGGAATTTGTAGACAAATATCAAACAACTCAACTAAGTACCAAATGAAAAGTTAAAATGTATTATTCCTCAAACTCTCAAAAAAAAAAAATATATATATATATATATATCATATATTAACTAGAAAATCAAGGTGAACTCATATGAGTGTCAATAAGGGTGATGTATGAATGAAAGGTGCACAAGAAAACATAATGTCTGTGATAAAGGGTACCTTGTCGCCATATTAAGAATGTGCAAAAAGACAACCTTCTGTGATTTCCCATACATTACATCTAAGATTTCCGGAAAGTGACTCTACAAAATAGTAACATTAAAAACTAAATCACCACTACTATTTATAGCTCATCTATTCAAGAAATGAATAACAAACACACAACAGAAAGATGGCAAAGTACAACAGTAAGTCATTAGGAAAGTACCAGAGATAACACATCTTCCAGATGCTTAAAATGAGACAGAAGCTTCACCAAGAGAGATTCCAAGCTTGGCATTTCATCTTCTGTAACTCCTCCATTCAAAGCGCGCTCTGAAATGCCTTCCAAAATGGTGTTTAAAAGGTTATCCTGGGATAAATGATTGTATTTAGATGAAAGATTACAAAAGAAAGTATAAAACATTATTCTCATAAAGCTATTTGAGAGTGGCATGTATACCACTTAGAAACTAAACTTTGTAATTGGATAACAATAAATCTATCAAGGACCAGAGATTAAATATCAACATTTTCTATGGATTTTCTTTAAATGTTTGACTGATGATTGTCTACACAGAGATTATACTGAAACATAACAATAGATAGAAAGGAAAAATTCAAAGAAAGAGGAGGATAATATATCGTCCTTGCACAAAGGAATCAGACAAAAACATAAGAAACTTATTGCCAGTATTTTCAGTCATAGATCTATTCTTACTTTTGGGGGATTGGCTTGTTCTTTTGGCTTCCATATGGTTCAGCTCATTGTTAGCCTTGCCATATTGACTATCCAATACAGACGAGTAATTATGGGTAATTCAATAAGAACTTCAAAATTTTCACACTCCCATGTTCACTCTCGCCTAATTTCCACTTCTTTTCACTGTCTAAATTTCGTTCAATACTAAGGAATCAAATCGACTACTTGCATGTGAAAAGCATTTAGCTATTAATTTGTTTTGATATCGGACATCAAGCTTCATTCTCAAGCAGCAGGTTCAGTCCCTCCAGGCTGGAATCAAGCAAGTTGTTGGTTAAAAAGTCAAACCCTTAGATTGAGCAAGCTGGAATCAAGCAACAAGGCTTGCTACCTCATCCACCCAACCCACAAAGCTATTAGATGTAGATATACTGTGTAGATCTCGATGATTGACGGCAGAAAATACCAATCATTGGCTTTGTCAAAACAATTGCGTAACATAGTGCTAACTGACAAGTCAAGACAAGCACTACTCACCCATAAAGAGTTTCAAATCTCTCCTTGCTCCGGACTTACAATTCCTCCTAATCCCTTTTGTATCTCTATTCATTTAATTTTATTAAAAAGAATTTATTATAAGAGGAAATTAATATAATGCAGGAGAATTTTGCTTTCTCTTCTACTATTCTTCTCTTTTTCACTTTCTTTCTCTTTTATTCCCGCGTCAAATTTACATTATAAAATATCAGCTGTAATTACCAACCAAAGGATGAGAACTGCATTACAGCTCAGCTTAGCCTTTGACAAAGTTTTAATATTGAGGTTGAGTTAAAAAAACATAGCTTGCCAAAAAATAAAATAAAATAATTGTGTAGATTAGAACAGGATTCACATTGAGGTAATCTAAATTAATAAAACTTGCAACATTAAACTAATGCCTCAAGCCGGCACAAACTCCAGTGCCGTGGTACACGTAACTGCTGGTCACAGCTTTTCAAGGACAACTAATACCACTATTACTCAAGCACTAATGTGATTTTTAATTTTTAAAAATTATCTAAACCTCCAAAAAAATAATATTTTAACAGACATAGAATTAGAAAGGTGATTACTCCAAATGCATATCACTTATCAGCCCAAAGAATCTATACCATGTAAAATGGACAACAGATTAGCACACTCAGCAAAGAAGATGCACACTGCCATAAGAAACCTTTTATTAATACCACGTACAGAACCAACAGCAATCTGATTTTACCCACTCTCTCGAACTTACCATCTCATTCTGAAGAATAAGATCAGCATAAGCATCTATAACCTTCAGGTATTCATCAAGGCTATCATACAGAGCAATAACCTGAATTTGCAAAAAAAAATAGAGAACATATTAAATAAAAAATCCACTTTCCATTAAACCCCGACTAACGAGGATAAGGGTGAGGGTAATCCTTGTATGCAGCCTTACCCTTACATATTTGCAAAGAGGCTGTTTCTAGGATTTGAACCCGTGACCTTTCAGTCACAAAGAAGCAACTTTAGCACTGCTCCAGGCTCTCCCTCTTAGAGAACATACAAAATACCTAGAGGAAAACATGCTTACAAATGAATTCCAGAGTAAATGGAAAGCATAATTTTTTACAGAGGTCAAAATTACCATTAGTTGAAAACTGTAAAGAACCAATTCAACCCAAAAGCTTAAGTTATTGGGTGACGCTACATTAATGGTTTTATATATCTCAACACGCCCCCTCACACGGGTGGACAATGCACAGGCTCACCTACGTGTGCGAACAAAGAAATTTCACTAGAAAGAAAGTGGGGGGCGGTGAGGATCGAACCGGGTACACTGAGGCTCTGATACCATGTAAAGAACCAATTCAACCCAAAAGCTTAAGCTATTGGGTGAGGCTACATTAATGGTTTTATATATCTCAACAAAAACATACTATAACAAAAAAAAAAAAACATACTATAACAGACAGGTAGAGAACCAAAATCTGAACTCATTAGTTTTTACCAAGAGTAAACTACTTGAACCTGCCCGATGTTGGAAGCAATTACACAAACATCCCCTTTTGGTATAAAATATGAGGGGTTTCTGGTATCTTAAAATTTAAAATCGAGGAGATTTATGCAAATATTAGAAACAACTCAGTATGTAATAAGTCAAGGTTTATATTATTTATATTATACTAGGGGTAAGAGTATATGACCGTTTAGCTTTCAACCAATCACATAGAATCAGCCCCCGATTATCACCCTTGATTAGGGGTCAACACCTATATCATCAGACTTTCCTTAATAATCTGTGGCAAAATACAATAACATCTAACACGCGCATTTACAACAGTTGGGAAATGGATGTTAATGATTTGTAATAGCCTTTACCGTTAACTCTATATGTAGTAACCAGGAATGCAAGCAGAGAATACAGAGAAGAGAAATAGACATAATTTAATGTGGCTTAACCTACAGTCCATACATGCTTTCACTTTTCACGAGTTATTTTACAGGAAAAAGTGAATGAGTTGTTTGAAGAGTTATCTTCATTAGGCACGCAAAGGGATTAGAGAGCTCTACTTTATTTTTTATTTTTTTGGGATAAAATCTACTTGAGTTATTTTCTCTCTGTTTCTTTTATCTATAACCACAATTATTTTAGGATAAAGGAGATGTTGATGTTGTTCTTTTATCATATATATTTTGCTGCTTGGGGACTCCCTATAAATGGTACATACTTCCTCCTACTTTTGTTTTGGTAAAACAATATATATATATATATATATATATATATATATGATTGGAGAAGAATTAATGAAACAAGTGTGAGACCACACAATAATATATCCTCCTAGAAGAGCCAAACAATTAAAAACAACAACAGATACAAAGAGCACACCAACTAAGCTCGTCCAGTCTCTTTCCCTAAAAGTTTTTGTGCCCCTGACTCCATCCTTGCCCACTACTAGGGAAACAATAAAGAAGATACACCATTGCCCCAAAGATGTGTATGGATGAAGAGATGGAGTTATAAGAATATATGCAATTGCAAAGTAATAATGTAACTCTAAAATGATGCAAGATGAACTAAAATTAAAAATTTATAAATACCTGAATAACTTTATCTAACACAGCATTGACAACATCAACTGGGGATTTCCTCTCATACAGCCTGAATCCAAGCAATCTGTAATTCATGTGCTGCATCACCACAAAGAAGAACAATAAAACTGCGTATTGGGAAAACTAAAACAAAGAAGGCAGCTAGAATATAAAAAATAACTTCATAATGTGCACCAGAATTATTTTAAGGCATGATAGAAATTACAGATGCATACCTGATCAAAGGAATTATCCTTGCTAAATTCAATGAGATGAAGGATCTGCACAACGTTAGAACTAACTACTTCAATAGGGAGTTCCTTCAGTAAATGATGAAGAACGACTGAAACACACGAAACACTCCCAAAATCCTGTTGATTCTTCATCAATCCAAGCTCTGATAGAACTTCACTGACTTGTCTCTTTAACACAGTAAGATATTCTTAGATCAGCATATCATAGTCGATAAAGATAGGAGAAAATAAGAGAAAAAATTAGCAATCTGACTTTTCTTCTTTTTCCAACTTGTTGCCCAGTTATTGAAAAGATAATAGAGGTAATAGTTTTTGTTGAAGATTAAGATATAGGAATTGATTTTCCATTATAATAATGAATAACGATTTAGCTAATCATATGTGCATAACATCACTCCTGTTTCATGAAGTTTAGACCAGCATTTCCATTCCCTTGAAATGCTCGAGAAAAAGACAAAAGTGAAGAGCAAAAACAACATCAACATCAATATCATCAACACATTTATCTTAAACTAGTTGGGGTTGGTGGTAGATGAACCCAAATGAAAAGTACGAAAAGATTGAAGGAAAAAAAAAGAGCATAAAAATAATATATGTGTATATATATATATATATATATATGACACTAGAAATTAAAAAATAAAAATAAACAATTAAACATAAAAATAAAACAAAATAAAGTGAAAATAAAGATAAATAAGAGCGAAAAAAGAAAAGGAAAGGAAAAAAAAAGACAATAAATAAATAAACAAGAGAAGAAAAAATGAGAGGAAAAAAGATAAATAAAAGAAAAGGACAGGTAAAGAAAGAAATAGCGGGAGATATAGGAAAAAATAAATAAAAAAGGACCATTTGAAACATAGGAAGAAAAACTGGTTTAACCCTCCACAATCCTAATAGCTTTCCTCCAATCCGTCCTAAGAGACACCGTCTGCCAATCTATATCTCACTCCATCAAGTCTTGAAGAGCACCAAATTAATGAAATTTCAATTATACACTTCATATAACAAAGATATATGCAACTATGAGCATATATAATATTGTCCGAAACAAGTTTACTTGTGCCTAAAAACTTCACTACGTACCTGAGACAACCCATTAAATATGCACTTCATAATATACTCAATGGTTGGCTCCATCAGACTGACTTGCAATTTTATGTTGGGTTTTACATTTCCACGGGTTCTTTCATTGGCTGATAAGATTTGCATCAAAATAACTCTGATGTCATTAACAGATGTAACAAGATAACCTGTTCCAGTTGCACAATTCGTGAAATAAGTTTTATGAAAATGAACATGAGACAGAAGTATATAACAGGAATCAGAAACATTAAATTACGGAATGAGTAAACTCAATGACTTTTGCATCCCATTGAGAAAAAGGGATAAAAGAGAAAATAAAGCACTTTTAGGAACCAAGCACTGCAATAAAGCACAGAATACAAAGAAAAGCACAAAATTTCATATAGAAAAGAGTTTAAAGAAATATTCTAGACTTCTTTATTCTGTTTCATCTGAAATAACTAATAAAATAATATGTTTACAAGCTGATTTTTCACATTCTCAATGGTCTTTTAAATACGGCAATTTTAGGGAAGAAATACAACAACTTTAAAACCAAAGTATTTGTGTACTGGCGCCAAGGAGCATATAACATTATTTCACACTGAGGTCTTGGATCGCAATTTGCTAATGTACAATTACATATGCGAATATGCATAGCATATGTAAAGGACAGACCAAAAATTCTCTGAATACATACAAGACTTATTTTCACAATTAAAAGGGGTTTGTCTGTTACTTGCTCACATATTTTATACATAGTAGGAATTGATAAATAATAAAAACAAAAATACCTATATCATGTGAAGTCAGCTTCTGAGCACAGTGAGCCATATATAGTCGGCAATATGCAGATGCCACTGGATCTCCTAATCCTCTTGTCATCATTACCAAGCGTCGGAGACTGTCTCCAGGTTGGTCAACCAGAAAACGCCAGCAAGGCAATATTGCCAGCTCCAAGTAACTAGTACAATTTCAGAGAAATGGTCAGCACACATCAGTCAGTGAGAAGCAATCTTTAGTGCAACAACTTTTGAAATGTTATTAACAAACTCTTTCAAGAGTTTTCTGAAAATAGGTCTATATTATAGCAAATTTTCATGCAAGATTGACAGAAACGTAGCTTGTCACATTACACCCAATCTTCTTTGTATTAACACTATTTAAGAGGTTCCAAAACATGTTTAAGTTAAATATAAATAAATACAGGACACTCCACAACAAAACAAACATATGCAAATCAATACCGACCCCCTACCACTGCCCAAAAATAATCTACAACATGTAGCCAGTCCAACTTCTTTACTATTAAAACTCATGTATATTACTTTACACCTACTCACCAGTCACCACCCATAGACCCAATTTCTAACTGAAACCAAATAATCCCAAAAGTTTTAGCTGCTAGGTGCAAGTGCAAGAATGGCTTTTATCTAACATGCCCCCCAATAAAAGTCATTTTGGGCATCAAGCATGGACAAAACACCAACAGCGAGCCTATTTAAACCTTATGCTGAAATTATAAATGAATCAGACAAAAAAGAGAGCAATGATCACATGCCAAAATGCTCGTTAAAGAAGATCTGATTGCATGTCAAAAACCAGTTCATCCCAAAAGCATAAGCAATTAGCCTCAATACCAAGAATGCTTTTTATATTTAACAAGGCTGTGCTTCATCAAAAAATGTAGTTTTGTGTAACCTATTTGTAGCAAAGAAGCATAGCTATTTCTTTGTTTAAGTAGGTTTCGGTTTTAGCTTTAAGATTATGGAAATAAAGATGGCTGATTTTTTTAAGAGCATAACAATAGACAGTCTTTTAAAAGTGAATTCATAGCATTCTAACTGTGATTATGAAGTAAATAGAGGTGCACATGCTATAAGAAAGTCCAAACAGATACAAAACAGAGAATAAAAATAACTTCAGGGGAAAAAGCATATTAGGAATAAATTAAATACAGAGGGAAGGACATGGACTTCACATGCGTGGAAGAAGCTCTTGCACAGCACCAATTTTGCTGAACCAGTTATTGCAAGTTTCTTTGGCATCAGCACAAATGTCGCTTGCTTCAAAGTTTTCTACACAATTCAAATAAAATATTTAAGAAAAACACTTTTACATTAGGACCAACTACCTCCAGCAGATTATCAAGCTTGTATAACATTAATTCCAACATTAGCATGAAAAAATTTTATGTTGGAAAATTATTAGCATGCTGCAGACAAGCCATGTGCTTGCCCTGGCTGAATTACGTTACAACAAACTAAGTAAGTACATAACATTTTTTGAGTGAGAGATTCAAACTGACAAAGCACCTGCTAAGTTGCAGAGTAAAGCTCCTTCTTCAGTAAACTCAGCTTTCCGCTTTATGCGTCGCCAAACCAGGTCCCCGATCATGTCCATGATATCTGTGACAAGGACAAAAAGCGTAGGATAAAACTCAAATACTGATGTATCCGTCAGAAGCTTAGCAACCTGCAAACAGAATAATCAGTTTCAGGCTCATAATCAACCAACACTAAGACAACTTGGACAAGAAACACATAGAAATGAAGATGGTTTCATTCCCAGCCTCCCAAAGTAAGCATAATGCATGAATTAGATTTCAAATGGGTAGCCCCCTCCCCCTCTATCTCTCTAAGCCCCTTCTATTTAATGGATGGAAAGTTAAACAAAATTTACATTATTTTTGTAAAATAAAAAGTACAAGCAGAAGAGAAAATATACAAATGATATATCAGTTTAAAGGGCTCTTCAATCCCTGTATTATCTGGTAAAGGGGAAACCGTGTGCTGAAACCTACAAACAAGCAACAAAAACTATCCTATCCCGGAAAGGATACACAGTTAAGAATCTCTAGGCAAGAAATTCTAGACATAAGAGAAAACAACATGGGTACATAAAAATAAAACATCAACATCAATATCAACAACACCTTTATCCCAAACTGGTTGAGATCGGTGGTAGATGAACTCAAAAGTACAAAAAGATTGAGAAAAAAAGGATAAAAAAAATTAAAAAATATATATATACATATATATATATATAATATTATAACATTATCCATAAAAAAATAACAGTAAATAATTAAAATAAAAAATAAATTAAAATAAAAGGAAAATAAAAATATATAAGAGGACAAAAAAGAATAAAAAAAAAAAATCACTCCCGGTTAAACTCGACTAGCGAGTGTGGGGTAGAGGAAATCCTTGTATGCAGCCTTACCCTTGCATACTAACAAAGAAGTTGTTCCCTGGATTCGAACCCATGACCTTTCAGTCATAAAGGAACAGTTTTACCACTGCTCCGGTTCGCCCCCTTAAAAATAAGAAAGTAAAATTAAAAATAAAGAAATAGAGGGAAAGAGAGAGAGAGAGAGAGTAAAATAAAGAAAAGAAAATAAATAAATAAGAGAAAAAAAGATTGAAAGGAAAACAGAAATAGAAGAAAAGAAGGAAAGAAAATTAAACAAAAAAAAGAAGAAGAGAAAGAGGGAGATAAAGAGGAAAAGGACTAAAAAGGGACCATCTGAAACATAGCAAAAAAAAACGGGTTTAACCTTCCACTATGCAAATAGCTTTTCTCCAATCCTTCCTAACACACACCGTCCACCAGTCTATATCACATTCCATCAAGTCTTGTTTTACTACCTTCCCCCAAGTAAGTTTCGGTCTACCTCTTCCTCTCTTTGGGTCAAGCTCTTGGTAACAAACTTTTATTCTTATGGGAGCATCCAGGGGTCTTCTCATTACGTGCCCAAACCACCTCAATCTATGTTCTCTCATCTTTTTAGCCACCGGTACTATTTCTACCTTTCATCGAATATCTTCATTTCTTATCATATCCATCTCGTATGACCACACATCCACCTTAACATCCTCATTTCCACGACTCCCATTTTATGCTCATGTTTCTTATGTGCTGGTCAACATTCAGCTCCATATAACATTGCAAGCCTTACTATTGTTTTATAGAATTTTCCTTTTAGCCTTAGGGGAATTTTGCGGTCACACAAAAACCCTGATGCACTGCATCATTTCGTCCACCCTGCTCTGATTCTATGATTTACATCCTCATCAATCTCTCCACCTTTCTGCATAATTGATCCCAAATATCTAAAAGCATCTTTCTTAGGTACTTCTTGTCCAAGCAGATGCACAGAATCTTGATTTTCATCTCTTACCAAGAGAAAACTCAAACTTCATATACTCAGTCTTGCTCCGACTTAACGTAAATCCTTTAGACTCCAATGTGCTTTTCCACAATGCTAGTTTTCCATTAACCCCATTCTTGGTTTCATCAATAAGCACAATATCATCTGCAAAATGCATACACCAAAGCACTTCCTCTTGAATATATTTTGTTAGTCCATCCATAACTAGGACAAAGAGGTAAGGACTCAGAGCAGAACCTTGGTGTACACCTACCCTGGTATGAAAATAACTTAATGTTATTACAAGCTTTCACACATTTAGTAGCACCATCATACATATCTTTCATTGCATTTACATACTTTAGTGGTAATTTTTTCTTCTCAAGAACCCACCATAGAACCTTTCTTAGAACCTTATCATATGCCTTCTCAAGATCTATAAACACCATATGTAAGTGCTTCTTCTTTTCTTGATATCTTTCCATTAATTGTCGCATCAAGAAAAGTGCTTCCATGGTACATCTTCCTGGCATAAACCCAAATTGCTTTACACAGACCTTGGTCTCTCTCCTCAAGCGATGTTCAATAACTCTCTCCCACAACTTCACAGTATAGCTTATAACCTAATTTCTCTATAGTTAGAACAATTCTGAACTCTATAGTTAGAACAATTCTGAATGTCTTCCTTGTTTTTATAAATAGGCACAAGCATTTTTTCCTCCATACATCAAGCATCTTATTTGTTTGAAGAATCTTATTGAAAAGATTGGTCAACCAATTTATTGCCACATCCCCCAGGCCTCTCCATACTTCAATAGGGACACCATTGGGTCCCAAAGCTTTATCAGTCTTCATCTTCTTTAAAGCCTCCTTAACTTCATGTGCTTTGATTCTGCGCACAAATCTTCTATTCAAATCATCGTAAGCGTCCTCCAAATCCACCTCGCTTTTATCCCCATCACCATTAAAAAGTTTGTTAAAATAGTTCATTCACCTTTGTTTTACCTAGAAAAGCAATAAGGCCATGTTGAATAGACAATGGTATGAATATTGTATCAGTTTCCTTTGCGATACGACCAAAAATGGGAACACTACAAATTTAAAATTTAAGATATGGGTACACTAAGGTATATAAAATAAATATATAAAATTATATTAATATGCAGATAAAAAAATTAAATAACAACATAACAAATTGTATGTTCAATTTAAATGTACCAGAATTTAATAAGTTTCAAAATCATAATAAGTTTTAGTTGAGTTTCATGAATTTTATCACAATATGGGTACATATGACTCAACCTTGGGTGGGGTTCCACCCATTTAATTACAATTCCGTCAAGTATCCATCACCCTTCACTTATTACCCTCTTACACCATATCTCTCCCTCACCTTTCTGCTCATCTACAAGTGTCCCAAGACGAAATGGAATCTTGTATCCTTAAATAAGCCATCAAATGGTCAATCTTCTCCTTTCATCCCACTAATGTCTTCATCTGGCCAACCCACCACCATTTGCTAAGGCAGTTGTTGCCTCCTTAATCATCAAATGGTTTGAAAATGGAGTCTCCACTCAATGCATCAAAAAGGCATCTCTCTGTGTTTCAGTGGAAACATTATCTTCATGTACGATTATGATATGGTTACAAAGCCATTTTTCATGCATGCATGCAACAACACAATAAGGCCCAAAAAAACCTTGACCTCCATCCTACTTCCAAAACGTCATAAATGAATCATCTAGAATTGCTCGAATTTAAATGACAAACCCATATCTAACCTAATCACTAAAAAGCTTATCAATGTAAAAACAATTTTAACCAAGGATCCCTATCCTCATACAAAAATAAAATGGTAATATCCATAAATTGCAAATGAGAAACTTCCACAATCCCAAAACCTGTTATGCACCTAGAAAAGGATTCTGAGTTCTCAAAGATAGATGAGAAAACATAGAAAAGAAAGGAAAAGAATACTAAGGTAGTGTTTATTGAATTAGAAACAAAGAATAAAGGAGATCATTCTCCTTTCAAGGGTTTCCTCTTTCTACAATAGAGTTAATGCTCAATTCCCAAATGATAACAAATTAGAATACCCACTCTTCTTTAAGCTAATTCCCTACCTAACAACTTTAACCGCCTAACCATTCTATTGGTCTTAGTGGCTTGATTCCTGAGAATTGTTTTCTTTTTAATACATAAGCCCAATTTCTTGTCCAGTTGTCCCACAGACTCTTCTATTCTCCTTTTGGGCTTGACCCATTAGGTCAAGAAAGCAACCCAATTTTTGTAATTCCCACCATGCCCTTTTTTGTTTCTCCTTCCCAATCATGATGTTCCTAGCTGCAACAGCCATCTTCTCTACTTGCCCTTATCTCCCATTCACCCTTTGGCCATCGTACAAGAAACTGGGTTTGGCGATTCTTCCAACAGAGACAGCCTAACCAGCATGCACGAGTTCACTTGTAAAGACCCCTTGTCAACTCCTCCAGAACAAGATTTAAATTCCCTTGAATAATGACAGAGACAACACACCAGATGAATAACAAATTACTAAGTCATCTTCATATATTGCCAAAACCTTTCTAAATAAGAACCATATAACCGAACTATATCACCTTTCAAAATATAATTTTGAAACAAACCCCTTACTCTTCCTTCAATTAGCTTCATCGGCAACCTTAGTAACAATAAAAGCAACATCTAAGATTTTCCTGACGTCAATCAAAGAATCTAAACAAACCAAATATCATCCAAAAGGACCAAATATCAGTCAACCTACTAGATAAAACCTACAAGAGAATCAATTAAATGAGAATCATCATATTCTGGCTAAATGGAATTATTAGTAAACAATCATGTTTATCTTTCTTCATGATGTCAAAAGTAAAAAGGTGATCCACTTCTACAAACTATAATATTGCAAAAGAAATCATTAAATACATGAAAGTTCACCTTTATAGATAACTTTAAGGATGTTACACGATCGTCCGCAAGCCAAGAACGGGTAATTTCATCCTTGAGCTCTTGTAGCCGAGAAACATATTCCTGCCAAGTAATAACCTTGACACCCTCATCTGTGAATTTTTGTGGATCATCCAGTTCCTCCAAGTGCATACTTGTTGAAGATTTCTCGTGTGCTGAAAATTGGGACATCACATAACTAAATGATGACAAATAAAGGATAAAGGAAAAGGAAAAACAATGTAAAAGATATTGGCATACATTTTCCACTTCTCAATAAAACATCGGGCATCTGTAATTTAAAAAATAAATAATTAGATAACTATAATAAAAACTGAAGGGTTAAAGAAAAAGGACAAAAATGGTTTAAGAATATAAAGGATTATTTACCAAAACTTTCCTTAAGACCTGAGTATATCACAGGTAATTCCTTCAACATGGCACGACAGAAGTTAAAGATATTAATAGTAATTAACTGCTGTATCTTACACTTCATAAGAATATCTCTAGGTTTGTGAAATTTCCCAACACAGCATCAGGTAAACAGCTAGTTCAAAGTATGGAAATTAAAAAGGGAAAGCACAACAATGCCCATACCAAGCTTGACTTGTTATCATTTTAATTGAGGAGAAAAAAATAATAGACGAACCAAGTTTATTAAAAAAGAAAAAGGAAAAGCAAAAGACAAGAAAAGACTAATAGCTACAAAGTACTTTTTGACATGAAATAAAATTCGAAAACACCTTTAAGGTGCAACATAAAGTGTACTCAATAAGTATTTAAATAATTAGTTAGAAATATCTTAGTCAGGATTTACTTTTAGTGCAATACATATTCAGAATATTCCCAAGTTCAGTACCTCAAAAATACTTCATAATTAAAATCTGTTAATGCAGCCAGTGAAACAATGTTTTTCTCACATAAAAACAAATTAAACAGTAAGTGAAGAACCAATTCAACCCAAAAACTTAAGCTGTTGAGTGAGGCTACATTAATGGTTTTATATTTCTCTAACACGTCCCCTCACACAAGAGCTCATTAAGCTTGAAGGGTGGATGATGCATCAGCCCAGCTTACCTGTGCTAAGAAACTCCACATATTTAATTATTTGTATTAATAGAATGGAGGCGGTAAGAATCAAATTCATGACCAGTTAGTCATGTCAACTCTGATACCATGTAAAGAACCAATTCAACTCCAAAAGCTTAAGTTGTTGGGTGAGGCTTCATTAATGATTTTATATTTCTCTAATACAGTATCAGTCAACTCTATATTTGTACCAACAGAAAAATATCCAGCATTCCCCTAGCCAGTCCCAACAAAGACACAAAAAGAAAGAATAACCCTCGTGGAAGAAGGTTGTAAAGAACTAATTCAACCCAAAAGCATAAGTTGTTAGGTGAAGACCATATTAATGGTTTTATATTATATTTCTCTAGCACAGTCCCTCACACAAAAGCCCATTGAGCTTGAAGGGTGGATAATACACAAGCCTTCACCTGCCTACGCTAAGAAACTCCACAATATTTAACTATTTATTAATAGAATAGAATGGAGACGGTAAGAATTGAATTTGTGACCGCTTAATTACGGAGGCTTTGATACCATGTAAAGCGCAATTCAACCCAAAAGCTTAAATTGTTAGGTGAAGACCACATTAATAGTTTTATATTATATTTCTCTAATCGGAGGTATTATCCAAATTCACAGTGGTTGAATCTAACTTCCAGCAGTATGTGAATTCAAATCTACAATCTACCACTAGTGACAATTAAAAATGTTCAAAGTCAATATGAAGTGTCTATAGCATCACCACAAAACATGCTTCCGTTGCATGAAAAAAAAAAACTGTTTTTGCCCTCAGCCATCCTTAGATACCGCAATATTTATATGTAGTACAGGCTACAGCTTCTTTAAAATTTATATAATCCAGAAAACCAGAATACAATAAAACTTACTGAAGAAATTGAAACCATTTTGGAGACAGGAAACCTCTGCATTAGTAATCTCCTGAAAGAGGTCCACTCCTTTGTTGGTTGATGATCAGAACCACTCAAGTTGTCAGGATCAAGGGAGGTAGCATTTGCATGATTATCAGTTCCTCTCAGTGGATCAAAGAAACCAGTGTTCCCATGATCCACAATGTTGACCTAAAAAGACAGTATCAACAGAGAATCCAAGATAGTCACAAGTGCAATATATGTAAAACTTTACATATCTTAGTCACAATCTACCTGAAAATCACAAGCACAGCTGTTTTCCATAAATTTTATATTTCTCCATTTTTCTTATGTTGACTAAGCAAATCAACAGATATTAATAAGTCCTTCGGGGAAGGTTCAACCTGCACCTATGTAAGAATAACAAGTCTTACATCAAATCTTAACCGTTGATCTAATGGCTTTAACTTATTAATCACGTGAACAGTAAGATGCATGTGGCATCAATAGAATGTAACTTACTGTGTAAAATAATCATGCCCCAAGTCCTAAATTGTAGTTACTTAACCAGACCTCTCCCTGACAACCACTCCTTCCCCCCAGCTCTAAGAGTGCATTATTGCAGTGTTACATAAGCTACTAAATTGTAACTCGAGACTATGATTCTTTGATTCTTTATCCCAATTACCTCAGATTTTACAGAACCTATCATGCTCATATCACTCGGCTCAAGAATATCGAATCCTTAGGCTACACTAAACTGAATAAAGGTTTCTATATAACGAAAGGTCAATAGAAGCTAATTTAACTGACCGATTAAAATCATAGGTGTATGCTTATTTCAGGTTGATAGAACTTAAACCCTAAATCAACGAAATCAAAGAACGATCTATTGGCATTTAGCGCGTTAGTGAGGCTGTTTCGTGGTGCACCCGAAACAGTGAACGCAACACCGATTCTACATGATCACTGACATTTTTTCCCGCCATCAAGGTAGTGTAATTGTTTGCGGAAGGAAAAATTCGCGAGAGAAATTGTGATGGGAGCAGGACCTGCGAGAGCGGTGGAGGTGAAGCAGAGAGAGGATGAGCATCGGCGCGTGCGCGAGGGAGCGCGTGAGATTCATGCTCGGCACTGTAGTTGCGAGGTCTGAAGTCCATGGAAGCATTCAGCAACAACAATGGGAGGGCTTCGGGGTTTGGTTTTCGGCACTTTGATTTGGACAATAAAAATGCAAAATAGTGAGAATCAGTTGTTATCAACAGTGAGGAGAAGCCGCCTTCGACGTTGACGTTTCCCGTTCCTGCGTTGATTCCAATTCCACAGTGGCACAGGCGTTTTTAATTTTTAATCCCCGCACACATGAATATATTTTATTAAAAATAGGTTAAGTGCTAAATTTATTTATTTTTAAAATTTTAGGCAATGTTTGATTGTGTTTTTTTTAAAAAATATATAAATATTTTTTGGTTAAATTACTTTTAGAATAGTTGTGAGGGTTTTAAAAGTATAAAATAGTATTGACAAAAAAGAACCGGTAACGCAAATTTTAAATAAATTTTAGAAATAAAATTTTGTAGGACACAAATATCTAATTGTATCACGTAATGCATAAATAATAATCAAACACTTTATAAGTGGCAAAGTTTTTTTTTTTTAAGGATAAAGAGAGCTCTGAATTACTGGTGATGTTTAGGGGTGTTCATCAACTGATCCAAACCGATTCAAACCGCGGTGACCGAACCGAAAAACTGATAACCGAATAAATCGAAAACTGAAAAATCGAAAACCGATTAAAAACCGCAAATATTAATTGGATTGGATCGGTTTTTGGATGGGTTGATGAAAACCGATCCAATCCAAACCGATCCAATATATTAATTTTCCTCTACCTACTTGGGTATTTCCTAATCATAGCCTAAAAATTTCTAAACCCAAGACTCATTAACCCATCAACTAAACAAAGAAAAAATCTAGTCATATCTAATCAACAAAATTTTATCTTTGTAGAGTTTTGTATCTCATTGCCAAAATTAAAAAAATTATATTATACTACACAGAACCCAAAAAAATTATATTATACTACACAAAATTTTATATTTGTAGAGCTTTGTATCTTATATATATATAAGTCAAATTTATTGCTTACAATAGAACCAATGCGTCTAAACAGAACCAAATCAACTACCATTATCATTTGTAATTCAACTTCGAAATAAATTTTATCAATAAAATTTTGTAGGATAAAAACATCCAATTGCATCACGTAAGGTACAAATAACAATTTTAATGTCTTTCTTCAGTCTCAAATTAAACAATGATGTTGAGCAATACTTTTTTTTTTTGGTACAGTGAGCAATACTTTAAAATAATGTATTTATGCTTATTCGGGTAACAAAGTAGGTATTATCAACACGACCATGATAAAATAGAAGAGAGCAATTATTAAAGACTTAATTAAAAGATAAAATAAGTAAGTGATTTGCAATTTAATATTAAATGGTGTCGATAATAGACTCTAAGCATGTTATATTAGGTGATGGTCAAATAGCACTTTATTTCTTCTCGCTGTATTTTATTTAAATCAACACTACAAAGTACCTAACTCCAGCTTTTTGTACATATAGTATATCACAATGACCAATCAAATTAATATAATCATGCAATACATAAAGGAAAAAAATTTAAATATTGTGTTTGACATCAAGGTAATAATAAAGATGACCTAACCTGCACTTGCTAAAGTGATAAAACCCATTTCGCACACTTTTGGTCCTTGCTCCTGTTGAAAATATGAACGACATAATTCTTAAGCACATTGAAATAGATTTTTGTTAGTTCAACCTCTAACTAAAGGACTTAGGCCCATGGTGCTTACATGTGCTTTAAAAACATGGGCATTGTGGGTTCCTTTTATATACTTGATTAGTGGGAGTTTGAATTCTCAAATTTTTCATTTAAGACACTATTGGTGTTTGGTTGACATGTATTTTTCATTGTGAGCAATTGGTACTGAGTTGGTTTTTGCTATTATATGTTTGAGTATATATGTTTCTACGTATCAATTGTGAAATTTTGGAACTCAGTATTGTTGGGACCACCATACCTGTGATTGACACTATAATGGAGTTTGAGGCATGATATTAAGATTTTGGAACTCAGTGTCATCAGAATCACCATACTTGTGGTTGACACTATATTGGAGTTTGAGGCATGATTTTAGAACTCAGTGTCGTTGGAACCATCATGTCTGTGGTTAACATTATATGGGAGTTTGAGACATAATGGTGTTGTTAGGACCACAAGGGCCGTGGTTGACACCATATTTGATTATATGATGATTTTTTGATAAACCATGAAATTTCTCTGGTTTTGAGGCATTTAAGAGAAATTTGAGGACTGACAAAGAAAATAATTGTTTGGCTATTGTTGGATCATATTGACATGTTATTTTCTTGCTACACTCCACATTGATGACTAGTCGGCAGAGTCAAATAATATTTGTGACCATGGAAGATCTTATATCAGTAAAAGATATAATCACCGCCTGATTCATTATTGTTTGACTTTAGTTGGATGGAGTCATATTCAGATATCACACATTGAAAATCTATTTTCTTAAAATGTGGTCACATTATAAAAATTATTCCTTAACCCGAGAGTCGTTTTTAAATAACTTGTTTTTTTTCAATTAAAATTGTACAATTGATTTTGCCCAAGTGGGAGAATGTTAGAATTTTTTATAATTGTGGGTTTCAATCAATTGTACTTTTTTATGTTTTTATAAAAATGAGTTAAGTTATGATCCATACGGGGGTGTAGTATAAAGTCCATTTAATTAAATAATCCTTTTGTTTAGGCTTGAATATCTGTAAACTAATTAGTGGGGGTAACAGTGTAGGCCTAACCCGTAAGCCCATGATGGGAAGGGGACTAGGGTTAATAAATTTGGCTAGGTCCCCTATGCATTCACAGTGTGTTAAAAAATCGTCACTCCACAACTTGCCCCATCGACTGTTGTAATCAGGGAGTGGTGTGAACTGCAGAGGAAGATCCTGATTTTTCCAACTCCGTTTTTTCTTTTCCTCTTTTCGGATGTTAAATATTTCTCAGAACATGGAGTGTGAATCAAACCCATGTTTGAAACAAGAGCAAAAAAGCCTTTAAGAAATCCAGAATCATATGAATCATATCTTCAACAATTAAGCCTAAATCTTTTGGTGTTCTAATTTCATATAATCATCTTTTGAAATCTCTTACACGGACAACTTGACTGTTTTAGCTCTCGGGAACTCTTACATAACAAAGCAAAAAATGAAAGGGTTTTCCAACATGTCACGTAAGCATAATCTTCAAACTATTGTAAGTAGTTTATCTTTATAAAAGCAATTCAACATTAATGATGCTGCATGATACACGAGGCAGCTCTATTAAATTTACCACATACGATTCCTAAAATGAAAGCGTTCGAGAAACATAGACATTACTTGCGAAGGAAATGTGAGTAAAGGTTCTATAAATTCTTATCCTCTTGAGGAAGTATCTCCCAATCTCTTTGGAAAAAGAGAGAGCATAAATGAGACACTACCACTGCTCAAGTTTAAAAGTACAACATAATTAGCTGTCCTATAATATAATAAACGCTTTGGTTAATGGTATCACTTCCTCTTCTCTCTCTATATATATATATATATCACATTTCGTCATAAAAAACCAAAAGAAAAAGAAAACATGAAGAGCCAGCAAAGCATGTCATCCTCTACCTTACCATTAACCATTTTGACATTGGCCTTTCTCTCCTTTTCCATTTGTGTCAATGCTCAATCCTGTAGTCATGAGTTTGCTGAACTTGCCCAAGAAAAAAACATCTCAGGCTGCAAGAGATTACGCACTTTGGATGCTGATTTCGGTTGGAACTGGAACTACCATAATGACACTAACTCCACTACCATATTATCCAGCATAATTGTCGGCGGAGAGCTACAGTGCTCTTCACACATCCTCCATTCGCTCTCACCTTTCGCATGAGATATTACTCAGATACCTCATCCCTACGAGGAAAACAAATACATTCCCATCATCTAATTTAGTGATCATTAATTATTAAATAAATTATCAATTAGTAAATATTTATTTAAATATTTTTAAAATTTTAAATTTCACTTTAAAATAAATTATTTAAAATTTAATAAAATTATAAAAATTAAGAAAAAATAAATTAATTTTTACTTTATTTGAATTGATCAAAACTGAAAAAATATATATCAAAACTTCAACAATATTTTAAGGAATAAGATATTTTATCTATATTTTTTTTGGCCTACCTTATTTATTGATCTTCAGTACCATTCGATTAGAATCTCACTTTTTTTTGTCTTCTCTTAAGATTCTCATCAATGATAAAAGGTGAGTAGGTAAGCTAAGTAAGAAAAAAAAGTAGGTAAAATAACATATCCTATATTTTAAATTAAAGTGTTGTAAAAGATATTAAAATTTAATGATAAGAGTAAAAATTAATTAATTAAGAAATATATAATTTAATCTATGAAAGATGTTACCTTTCTGAAAACTGTTGTTTATACAAATCTAATTTTAAAGAAATAAACTAGTTAACAAGTTGGTAATTTCATTAGCATGATGACAAGTTTTCAAAAATAATTTGTATAAATAAAAATCTTTAAGGTGAAAAAATACACACACACAAATAGTCTTTTTCCGTAATCAAATTAAATATTTATTTATAGACAAGTTATATTTACAAATTTTTTGTTTATAAACTTAACTATATACTAAGGATAATACATAAGTTAATTTATATACCATCCTTAATAGATTAGTTAAGTTTGTAAATAAAAAATTTATAAATATAACCTTACTTTAATTCTTGACAGATCAAATTCAAATTTTTGTGTTAAGTACTTAAGACAAAAACCGGTAGAGTTAGGGGTGTAATTTCCAATCCAGTCATAACAATACACTTCTCAGACCGAGAGACCGAAACCGCTTGGCATTGCATATTAGAATCATTAAAGATCGATTCGCATCACTATGCTCAATAAAAGGAATGAGGGAAGCCCCGATAGAAAAATATTTGAAGGGAAAAAGACTTCGGAGGTGAGCGTGCATGTTCCCAAGCAATAATAAGAAATTCTTGATGATATCGGGTTAGGTCGACCTACAAGGACCTACGGCGTAGTCTATATTATGCCAGACTCGGTCTATTAAATATAGTTAATTAAATAGAGTGGGCCTAGACTTTTAAAAAAATTTATTTAAAAAATAGGCTATAGACTTTCTTTTACATGCCGAGACTATAAGCCTACGGGTCAGCCTATATAATATGATTTATTTTAAAGAAAATAAATAAAATTATTATTTTAATAATTTTAGATAATAAAGTAATATTATTTTAATTATTTTTCTAATTATTGAATATTTAAAATGTTTCAACAGGCTAACAGATCTAAGTTAAGACTTTTTAAAAAAAAATATAGGTCAAACTTATAATTTTTGCCTATATAAGACTAAGAGATCATAGTAGACCTAAAATATTTTACACAAAACTAAATTATTTAAATCAAAATCTAACCTAATATATTTACACCAGTGTTTCGTGATTTCATCATCTTGTCCTTTCTCTTCGCGACACAGAGACACACTCGTTATTGTCTGTATTCACTCTCATGCAAACCACGTGTCACAACCTCCTTCAAAACCGCAATCGTTACACTACACTACTCACCAATTTCTCGCTTACATTACGTAGACAAAGAAAAGAACCGAAGGAAAGGAAAGAAGCATAGTCATTGGGGTATAAATGTCCTAATAAGGGTTTATAATTCCGCATCAAGTAAGACTCGCCCTATTGTATATAATTAAATAGAATATGTTTAAATCTAAAAAAAATCGATTTAAAAAGTAGGTTATAAATTATTTTTTACATGTTGATCTTATAAACTTATAAGTCAATCTATGTTATATTATTTTTTTTAATAAAATAAATAAATTATTATTTCAATAATTTTAAATAATAAGATAATATTATTTTAATTTTGTAATTATTAAATGATGTTTAAATGTACTAATAAATTTATGCTAAGACTTTTTTTTTTAAATTTGAACCAGACTAAATTTATAATTTCACTAACCTATCAGGTCAAATTTACATATTTAGTTTAGGCAAAATCTAGTTAGCTTAGCTTATTTACACTTGTAATAGTCATAGTGGCACACAATTGCTCTCCATGAACGGCGCGTCATTTGGAGCTCCCTCTGCCCAATCCAACATGGATCGCAAGATGGCATTTGCGGAACAACTTGTTCTCGAACTCGGCAACCCCGATCTCCGAGAAAACGGTCTTCTCGAGCTCTCAATGAATTTGGATACGGCTCATATTTCGTATGTTGAGAAAGTTTTTGTTGTCGGGATCATTAGAAATGCAATTGAGGTTACTTTCCCAAGGTGAACGAGCGGGAGTCCGGGGCTGCTCTCAGGCCCGTAGAAGCTAGGTACTGTTGTGGATCTCTGATTTAGTAATTTTCTTAGTAGTTTGAACTTGAACTCATGAATAACTGTTGTTAGATTTTTCTAATCCTATTTATATTTTTTTTATAAACCCAGTGACTTGTAACAAGTGGCGGTGAAGTGAATATAATATAGACATGTGAAACACAGACACGTGATTTTTGCAAAAGAATGCGTGTCCGACATGTGTCGGACACCGACAAATTCAAACACGTTAGGACACGCGTCCGACACGCGGTCAACTTTTTGGGACACGTTGACTAGGGGGACACACGAGTTTGACCGAATCCAACACGCAGTCAACCTACGTGGACAAGACATGTTTTGACATTTTAAAAAAAAAAAAAAAAAAATTACAATTAAAAAAAATAAAAAATATTTAATAAAAATAAAAAAGTCTGGAACCCTATCCTCTGATTCTCTCTCGCGCAGGTGTTTGAGGCAAATCAAAAAGGCTGCTGGTCGGTCGTCGTCGGTCGGTCGCCGTCTACATTCTCTGAAGGGAGTTTGATACCTGAGCTTCAGAAACCTGCCACGTGGGAGAAGCTCAACAGGTGTTTGAGGAAAGGAAGGAGGATAATGGTGAATGTTGGAGGAAGTTGTGTGGTGGCGGAGAATAAGCTTAGAGATGGGAAGGTTATGATGGAAGAGACTTTGAAGGCGATGAGAGTGGTTTTTGGGGAGAAACTTTTCGTTCTCAGTCTTGAGAATCGCAAGGACGATAGTTCCCTTGCTCTTACTGGGGATTTACCACAACCTGATCTCTGGAAGAAGGTGCTTCCAGGGCCGTTGAGATATTACGTCGATTTGTGGACGCCCTATTCTGGTTAGTTCCTCGTGCTGCTTTCTCTATTCTTGCTCATCAACTGTTTGTTTTTATTCCTCTGTGAAATCTACAGTTTCGCCTCGACCATATTTTCATTCCTAATTCATTGTTGTAGGATTTTATGACAAGTATTAAATTCACCAAAAGACAAGTCAGTCATAGCTTAAGTCGTTTGTACGTCGTTTTGTTGGGATAATAAATAACCGTGCACAATAGTCTAGTGACAAATAGTTCAAGTAAGGTTTTCTAAAATAAATTCAGGATGACTCCCGGTTATACTATATACAGATTTGAGAATGGAAAGCTATTTCTGTCTGGGGGCAGAAGGATGGTTTATTAGAAGGGTTTCGATTTTCTCACGCGGTAGAAGAAATTTTTTTGATGTTGTAGACACATCTTACGTGAGGCCCACATCTATTAAAAAAATAAAAAAGAAAAAGAAAATATTACACGCAAATCGAAGGGTTAATAGTAGAAGAAAACAACTCTCCTACGACATGAGAAAATATTTTCCCTTGTTAGAACGAAACTAACTGTAATGCAAAGCCACAAAGTGAGCGATTTGAATAATTTCCGTTAGCCATGATTATTCAAGATGGAGATGAAAATAATTGAACTGTGCGTAATCATAAATAAAATAATTTTTCTATTTTTCTACACTCTACCCTCTACACTCTTAGGATGTTCTATTTTTTTTTTTAATATTTATGTTATGAAATTTGAATATTTAATTAGTATATGAGTTATTATGAGTTGTTATATGTATTAAATGTAAATTATATTATATATATTAAAAATATTATTTAATATCAAAACGTGTCCTAACTTGTCGAAATTTAGCATTTTTTAGAATTAACGTGTCAGAGTATCGTATCGTGTCCCGTGTCCGTGTCCGCGCATCATTGGTACAGACAAGCTGAACGTAGCTTATATTGGATGAACCAGGATAAATCATCGTATCATTCTCTCTTATCTTTTCTCTTTTCTGTTTTGTCGATTTTGTGTGATTGTCGATTTCCAACAAAAGGTACCCTAAACTAATTCATCTTTCATTTTTGGGAAATTGGGGGAACAAACTGCTAACTTTCATTTCTTTAATTTTAATCTCTCTCTCTCTTCTATGTTTGTGTTGCGTTTTGGTTGAATTAGAATGATAGGAAAAATGTGTATCATTTTAAAGGATACAAAGTATCATTTTAAGTGAGAGAAAAAGATAAATTAAGGGGAAGAGTGTGGGAGGAAAAAGTTTTAAAGATGTGGATCGCACCTCTTTGTAAGAGTGAAAGGATGTAAGATGTGTCATTTAAAAAGACACACATTTTTCCCTAGAATGATATGCTTTGTTTCAGTTGAGTCAACAAGCTACATTGTTTTGGGTACCAGCGATAAAAAAATGTAAACTTTTATTATTATTTTTATTTTATTTTTTGTCTAATTTGTTTAAAGTTAGATAGCTATTTTGTGCCTATTTGGATCTCTTAGTTTTTCTTCCTTTTATAAACAGAAGTTAAGCTAGATAGATGTTGAGAAAAACTCTATTTTATAAAGAAGAGAAAAGTCAAAACCTCCTAAAACATTTTTTTTAAGCTCTTTTTTGAATTGTGCTTCTTCTTTTTTTTTATAAAGAGAGAGATATTTTTCTTGAAATGTGTATTTTTAAATAAATTTTAAGCTAAAAATTTTATATAATCAATAAATAGCTTTTTTGATTAAGTGAAAGAAATAATAAATTTTAATAAACACCGTGTAATAGAGAGTTGTATATAAGAGTAGATGGATGTATTCTGAAGTTATTTTTGAATAAATAGATCAATTTTCTTGTTACTTTTCTCTTTCGTTCTCTCTCTCTTTGGGTCCATATTATTAACAGAGTAACAGTTATATGTTCAATTTTCACTATTGTTTATAAAAAAAAAAATACAGCGTTTTCGATAAAGGCAACAACTGCAATGCACCTCATGTGAATGGTGATGGCTGCGCTAGCGGCTCTTTCAGAACTACAATATTTTGAGGTGAAACCAGAGAATCCATTTAAATAAATTAAAGAAAAAAAATAATAACTGAAATATGTTCCTTTTATTTTAAAAATAAATTGTTAAAATATATTTTTAAATTAATCAGATAAAAAATCATCACTCAAATTTTATAAGCAAAGATGGTATAGTTCAGTTGGAAACATAGACTGAATAACTGGGAAAAGAAAGTGGATTCGATTCACATTAAATACATTTTGGACAGAGACCAAGAGCTTTAATTATAACTAAGTCCAAGCTTAAAGAATCAAAACTTGTAAAAATACAGGAGGCTAATTAAGTGATAGAGTTTGATTGAAATCTTTCGTGATTTAGTTGGACCTACCAATTTGAATATTGTAGGGCCGAGGACCTGGTACCCCTCTTTCTATAATTAGTAAAACTGATGATAATATGTTCTTCAGCGACAAACAATGGCGTTTTGCTTTTATGTATTCCGACTTAAACTTTGCATGAAAGATAGTTGACTGCCTCGAAAAGCAACGAATATGATTAGAACAAATTAGTACGGACAACTTGACTGTTTTAGCTCTCGGGAACTTTTACATAACAAAGCAAAAAGTGAAAGGGTTTTCCAACATGTCACGTAAGCATAATCTTCAAACTATTGTAAGTAGTTATCTTTATAAAAGCAATTCAACATTAACGATGCTGCATGATACACGAGGCAGCTCTATTAAATTTACCACATACGATTCCTAAAATGAAAGCGTTCGAGAAACATAGACATTACTTGCGAAGGAAATGTGAGTAAAGGTTCTAAATTCTTATCCTCTTGAGGAAGTATCTCCCAATCTCTTTGGAAAAAGAGAGAGCATAAATGAGACACTGCCACTGCTCAAGTTTAAAAGTACAACATAATTAGCTGTCCTATAATATAATAAACGCTTTGGTTAATGGTATCACTTCCTCTTCTCTCTCTCTCTCTATATATATATATATCACATTTCGTCATAAAAAACCAAAAGAAAAAGAAAACATGAAGAGCCAGCAAAGCATGTCATCCTCTACCTTACCATTAACCATTTTGACATTGGCCTTTCTCTCCTTTTCCATTTGTGTCAATGCTCAATCCTGTAGTCATGAGTTTGCTGAACTTGCCCAAGAAAAAAACATCTCAGGCTGCAAGAGATTACGCACTTTGGATGCTGATTTCGGTTGGAACTGGAACTACCATAATGACACTAACTCCAGCACCATACACATTGAAATCTTGTTTGGTGTCAAGCTTAATGCCCCACAAGGATGGATAGCATGGGGGGTGAATCCAGGGAAAAGGGCCGAAATGATTGGAACAAAAGCTCTCATAGCCATTAAACAATCAGATGGAACATTGAAAGTAGACACATACAACATTACCAAGGAAACCAGAAGTGGTTGTCGACTTCTGCCATCACATAATATTGGATTGCGAGTGTCTAATATGTCAGTGAATAATATGGGGTCTATCTTGTACATATATGCTAGATTGATTCTCCCTTCTGAAGAGTATAACATTACAAGGCTGAACCATGTGTGGCAAGTAGGGTACGAATTGGTAGAAGACCAACCCTTGAACCATCCAACCTCTCTTGACAATGTCGATAGCACAGAGACCATAGACTTGACTACTAGCGATGGTCGCAGCACTAAACAGAACCGGAGTTTCCTTAGATCGGTAAGAAGTAATTTTTCTTTTCTTTTCTCTTTTTCTTTAATAAATAATAATGTTGAGTAAATATTCATGGTCATGAACACATTAATATTGTCGAGCCCTAAATTAACCGATTAATCTTACATCTCTGTCATATATATGATCCAAAGTTCAATGCTTTTATAATATATACATGTGTAAATGATAATATATACATGTGTAAATGATATGTAACAAAAATCACTCCATGTTAATTATATATCTCAAGTTAAACGTATGGGCTAACCTGTAAAGGCTTATTAACAGAGTCACTCCCCTGTATCTCCCTTGCATAGCTCATTTACTGTACATGTTTGTGGAGCAATTCCTCCTGCGTAATAGGCAAAATAGTTAGGACTTTTCTCTTTCTTATTATTAAGTAATGTTTTTCACCTATTTTGAATCCATTATTTCCATGAACTATTGCTCTATTGAAATATAGAGTCATCGTACTCTTTCATATTCTTTCTCTCAACCACACGTAAGATATATATTCATGGTGACTCCTTATAGTGATATATTTCACCCTTCAAGGGATATAGACCTAATTGTACTATAAAACAACTCAGGTGAATATTTCTTTCATGTACCTAATTAAAGTAATTATTATACAAATAAATAGGATTACCTTTATATGGGAATAATTTCTTTTTTATCCAAACTCAGTTTAATCTGATTTGAGGATTCTTAGACTAATACTAGGGACTACTCTTCTAATACCATTTTCTCTTTATCAAGAGTATAACTCGAGACCTCTATTTAATTCATTTAATTTTTTTCTTGTGTGCTGTGTAGAGACACATTATTTTTACATGGTAAGGTATGCTTGAAATTTAGGTACATGGAGTTCTAAACATTATCGGGTGGGGAACACTGTTACCAATTGGAGTAATAATCGCGAGGTACTTTCGAGTGTTTCCTGTGAAATGGGATCCAACGTGGTTTTACCTGCACATTGGTTGCCAGTTAACTGGTTTTCTCATTGGCACCGTTGGGTGGGCTATTGGACTAAGCCTTGGACATGCTTCAACGTACTACACCTTCCACACTCATAGAGCCTTTGGCATTATCATTTTCACATTTAGCACAATCCAAGTAATATTCCTCTCTCACTCACTCTCTCATTTATTTATTAATTTCTTAATTACATATGAGCATATGAATTAATTGCTTTCATTTAATACAGCATTCATTATCATTGTATATATATTTGTATGGAAATATTAATGTAGGATATATATTTGGTTTTCAGATGCTGGCTTTTCGGTTAAAGCCGAAGGAAACGGATGATTACCGCAAATATTGGAATATGTACCATCATTTTCTTGGTTATGGGCTGCTGGCAATAATATTTTTAAACATATTCAAAGGAATTTCCATTTTAAAAGGGGGAAAGGGATGGAGGTGGACTTACATTGGAATTCTAGCATTTTTGGGTGCCATCGTTTTTACTTTGGAGATTTTCACATGGGTTCGCTTCTTCGTCCTGAAACCGAAGCAGAGCAAGCCAAAAAAAGATAATCCCAAATGACGAAAACAAACCAAAGGCATCATAACCCAAATAGATGAGCAATGCAAGGCCGCGAAAATATTGCTTGAATAATGGTTTTTTTTTTATATATTTATATTTCGTACAACAATAATCTGTTTTTGTTATTGAAATAATGAAGTACTTTGAAGACATTGTGTGTGAGATAATAATTTAAGGGAAATGTACTTCTTCTTTGAAAGGAGAAGAGATTTTTTGCAACAACAAAGTTGGATGAGAATATCTGTTCATCCTCTTTAGAATTATCTTTGATAAGAATTTAAAGTCTTAATCTCAGATACTAGTTGCAAAGGGATAAACGGATTGAAATATTTTGAAAAAAAAATAACTATGTCTTACCGCATTAAGATATAGTTGTAATTTTAAAAACTTTTTTTCTCTTTCCTTAAAGACTGTCTGCTGACGTGACAGAGAGAAAAAAAATTAATATTATAATTATATCTTAACGTTAAATATAATAAAAAAAATTTAATATTATAATTATATCTTACCGTTAAATAAAATTATTTTTAGTTGTAGCAAAAAATCTCATCTTCTTTAAAAAGAGAAGTTGGAACCCATAATTTAATTGTTGAGTAAATACCTTTTTGGGTCCCTAACAAAAAACACAGTCCCCACTTTAGTCCCTTACAAAAAAAATTAGTCAGTTGGTCCCTAATAAATTCAAAGTGGACCCATTTTAGTCCTTTTGAGGGACTAATATAGGTCTTTTTTGAAATTGTGATGACCACGATATATTTCAACTAAATGGGTCCCCTTTGAATTTGTTAGAGACCAACTGACTAATTTATTTTGTAAGGGACTAAAGTGGGGACCGTGTTTTTTGTTAGGGATTGTTAGGTCCTGGATAGACCGTATTGCTATACCGTAGGGTATGCGCTCAGAGATAGTGTATATCAACTGCATACTAGGCTTATAGCCGAGGTCCCAATCACTGCGCACAATCACTACGCACAAGCAATAGGCTTGTAGCCAAGGAGTGGGTGTGTGCACAGTGTGGGCAATATTAGTAAATAGGTCAAAAGTGTTTACCTGGGGTTTTTAGGCTCTTATTTATAGGATTACCTTCCTGGGCTTGGGCCCTTTGAGCTCCCCCAATTGCAGTAGAATTCAACTCCCTTTCTGTTGGGATGTGATCCTCATCTTGTGTCTTTTGGCTGTTTGGAGTTGTTGAGATGCTTATCACCTTATCTCTTGGTGGATTGATGGGTGGGTGATTAGGATATGGTATTCATATCCATAACAGTTGCCCTCCCAGCTCGGTATTCCGAGGTTCGGGATGTCGAGGTGTTGTTATGTTACCTCGAATTCGTTTTGTCCGAGTTCGTTGATCTCTGTAACACCCCGTATATATCCGGTAATGTTACCATACTATCGTATTAAGCTGCGCTTAATTTAAAAATGCGAAATATTTTTTTCTTTTCAATTATGATGTCATTATCATTACCAACTTGCTTATTAATCAATTAATAAAACATCGTCTGTATGTAATTGCAATAAAACAGCTAACTAATATACCTCATAACATAGATAATATAAGTGTGTCTCTAGAAATCACGAGACTACCACAAGTAGGCCGGACCAACTAGCAGGTTATACAACTCCAATCCAAAAGTGCTAACATAAAGTGTCATGGACAATCCCCATGCTCACTCAAATAAGGCAACAAGCCCAACATCAGTCTCAACAACAACATAATCATAAATAGCGGAAAACATAAACAGCATCCAAATTCAGTCATGGCAGCAATACAGCATAAACATCATAATCAGCTAAGCTCTGGCCTCCTGCTGCCAGAGGCATCAGTCACCATACTACCTGAACCTGAAATAAGCATTCCCCAAACGTGGGGTGAGATCTCTAAACAAGAAATCTCAGTAAGACAAGGGGTCCTCAAGGATCTTCTACCCCAACCTCACTTACATGTGCAATATAAGTTCAAAAGCAGTTTATCATCATCAGTTCTAAAATAGTGCAATGCAGCAGATAATCATGTCATGTGTGTTAATTCTATTCTACTGGCCAGAGAAATGCAGGAATAAGTATACGTCTATTACCCACAATTAGTGCAAGACGCCACATGCATTCACCCCGGATCACCATATCGTATGACGCCACATACTCAGGCTTACCGTCAAGATGAAACAATACATGCATATTAAAAGCCATTACACATAAAGCTCAACAACATTTCAAATATTCAAAGCATGTAACACAGCATGCATATAACCACACCCCCATAGGACATGGTGGAACCACAACATGGCTAAACCGAGGACACGAAAGCTTACCTTGCAAGCTCACTATCCAAAGCCAAGAGTCCTCACAGCTCAAGTCCAACACACAGCAGATCACAATCTGATTTAGGACCAGCAAGTGTATCAACATACATAGCTCAAAAGCATTAACATAAAGACTACGTTTCCTTTTACGTTTTACGTCTTAAGGCTTCCACAAAGCCATAAGCCCTTAATCACATGATTCTGACTTAGTTCATTAAATACAAAAGTTCAACTTCATCAATTTAGGGTCCACAAACCCCCAATAGCCTACTGTACACACAGCACAGCTACTGTTCTACGAAATTCCTGAATATCCGGATATTCCTCGGGTGCATATCCGGATATCAATATCCGGATATCCAGATCCCCATATCCGGATATCCCATATCCGGATATCCAATATCTGGATATTCCACGGGCAGATATCCGGATATTTCACGTTTCGTGAACATATCCTTCCAAGGTTGGGTTTTTACAGATTTTAAACACTTAAACATGCATTTCTAGGTGTGTTTGACATTACCCAACATTAAGTTATCATCTTTTAACCTTTACATGCATCAAGGTTCCATTTTTAAGCATCACAACACAAGTTCAAGGGTTCAACCACTCACCCAAGCTTCAAACAGAAAAGAGGGATGCTCTTGGAGCTCACTACCAACACCAAAGGTTCTGACTTGGTTCCCAAAACGAAAATGGAGACACAGGTAGGTTCTTGCACCCAAAGATCACTCCTTGGAGCACCAAGTATCAAGGAAAAAGCTCCACCAACCCAAAACAGCAGCTCCACACACCAAGGTCAGCACCCTCAACTCAGAAAAATGCCACCAACACACTCCCAAAGACCACTCTCACTCACCACAAGTGTTTAGGAGTAGTTTCCATGAAAGAATAAGCCTCAAAGCTCAAGCAATGAAGGAAGAAAGGCAATGGAGGCAAGTGAGAATGTTGGTCAGCCACCCTCTCACGTAGGGAATTCTATTTTCTAGGGCATTGTGCCCTTAAAGATAGTATTTATAGTCACTAACTCAATAAACACACAGTATTAGCTTTAATTGCTACGCTTAGCATTTTAATCCCAAACTCTGGATTCTTAACCTACTCAATTTTACAAAAATTATCGTATTTTTCTTATAATTTACGAAGCACCTTTCCGGTACGCGCTTTTCAAAGCCAGTACCGGTTTCTAGCACCAGTTCTCATTATTTGGACTTGAAACTCGATTTACAAGTCCTACATATTATTCTAGTAATTATCATGCACTTATTATAATTTTTTGGGATACTTTTTCGGTACGCATTTATACCGACTAGCAGAACCGATATCTGCACTTTTCTTCCGAAAAGCGACTTTCAGCATTCTAATCACTTACTATAATTATTAAAGCCTCGTAATAATTATTAGGGTCAATTATGGAATCATTTCCTATTTTCTTATAATTTATTAATTAAAATTCCTTAATTAACGGTGCGGGTTCTTACAATCTCGGGTTTGGAATTTCGAGTTTTAATTTCATTGTGCTGGACCGAGTTGACATTCTCGGTCATGTTGCGACCTTTGGCTATGATCTTTTGGTTGACCTTTTATTTGTTTTGAGACTTCATGGCGCCATTGGAGCTCGGAAGTCGGGTTATTTGATTTGAGACTTCATGGCGCCATTGGAGCTCGGAAGTCGGGGCTTGGCCTCATCACATCTGCCTGACCTTTCGTGTCACGCCTGCTGTGACGGTTACGACGATCCACGCATTTTATGCTCATTGGTGGTTCGTGCATCGTGCAGAGTGTGCTATGTTGAGCCTTGTGTAGGTCATGATTGAGCCCATTGAATGCGTGCAAAAGTGATTTCGCTATTTTTCCCCTGGCTACTCGAACGGTTTGCATCCTTTCCCTCTTCGCGCCTATGACTTTCCTTCTCTTTTAAATACCAGCTTTTCAACTGGTATACGATTTTCGTTTCTCCTGGGCTCTCTTCTTCCATTTCTGGTTCTGTGCCTTCGAAACTTTCTTGGAGCTCTTGTCAATTTCAATGAAGGTTTTCGTGTGTCTGAGTTTAGTCCTCATCATCTTCACTTCCACATTCAGGTATCCTCACGTTCCTTCACTTTTATAAGTTTGTTTTTCGCTTGGTTTAAGTTGAATTTAATAGCTGTCCTCATTGGAAACGAGGGTGGTGTTTACGTTCCGTCCTTTCGAATCCCCAGTTTCCTTTTTCCCTCTTCGGAGTGTTGTTTGGGGTTCGTGATGAGTTCCCCTAGCTCCTCTTCTGGCCAGGCTTCTGGCCGAGGTGATGAAGTGAGTGAGGAGGTAGTGAGGCGATTGCCTAGGTCGGTCCAGTACTGGCTTTTTGGTAAAGAGTATACTGAGGAGGAGAAGCTTCAACGGCTTCTCCGTGGTCATAGGGGAGGTCGTCGAAGATCCCGAAATGGTCTTGGTAGGAGAGGGAGAGGTCGGATAGGAGGAGGTCTTCAAAGCCAACTTAGTTTTTACACCAACCAGCCTCCTTTAGCGGATCCTTCACTGCCTAGGATGAGTTCCTCACCCGAGCCCGTCCCTTTGTCCTACATACTGCCGTCCTCCCAGGTAGCTCCGGGTTCGAGATCTGTACTAGATCGGATTCCTCCCCTTGGTTTGAGCGATAGCTCCTCCAGTCTTTCTTCGACCAAGCTAGGTTTTCCTGAATCATTCGTCCTTTCTTGCTTCGATGACTCTGCTGCAAGTCGGGTACCATTTGTTGACCTTGTCAGCAGTTCTGAAAGCTCCATCCCGTTTTCGTGGAGTCCACACTCATTGCCGTCCGATCT